CAAGAGAGAAGTAGAGTCATTTTCTCATAGACTTCTATGAGAGGAGTCGCCCCCTGATGGACATTAGAGGGCGACTTTCAAGTGCAAGTTTCTTCCTAATAGGCTGCCGGTCTATAAGTTGCAGACATATCAAGAAGCCCAGGCTCCTCCACGTTTGAGGGACTCGCACAGAGTCCCTGACGTGTTGACATGTAACTTGTACATTTCTTAACATGACTCAGTTAAATATCGGGGCACTATCGCACCATCTACATCTGCTCTGTTCTCTACAGGAAGGGACACCAAACAGGAAGTGGAAGCTTTCCCTCCAAAGGCGCACCGTTTATTACTGAATTTGCCCTCAGGGAAAAAAAAACATTAAACGTCCGCAACCACCTCCGGTCCATCTGCAACTCCTGCTCGCCACATACAGTATAAATACCGCACTGCTGATAAATACACACCTTCAAGAATACAACAACACATAGCATATAAGAAATGCCTGTGAGTATCGTTTCCTTGTAGTCTATCTTGGGAGAAACTATTTTTTACAGAGTCCATGTTGTATTTATGGCGAGGCCATGACTAGCAGTTTGGTGGCACCACACCCACTCCTGCTGTAAAAGAGCGTCTTCACAGGAACTCTACTTGGCAGTGGGATCCTATACTTAGCAGGCTGGCTTCATACATGGACTAGATGAACAGAGTGTTTTATTGTCTGGTTTTACTGGTAGTAGCAGTGGTGATGGGACAGTTAAATAGAATAATACAATAAATGTTTTTCGAAGGGCCAACACTCAAATGTCCAAATTAAAATAGCATGCGTCTCCTCACTATGTAGGATGTCTCATCTTTTGGAAGTGCATTCTAGGACAGTCACAGTGAGTGACAGTCCTTTTAATATACAGCGGCCTATAAATACGACTCTCTGGCTGATTACTATCCTCATTTCAGACTGACTAACACTAGTTCTAGGTCTACTAACACCATAATGTAGCTGCATATTAATGAAGGAAAGAACAAACATACACCCAACTCAAACCAAATACAGAATTTAGATGTCTGTAATTGGTAAAAACATTTGTAGAAAACAGATGTAACAGTTGGACAAACCATACTAAATGAATACAGTCAGAGATGCAGAGTGTTCTTCAGAGAAAAGGTCTTCCAATAAACAATCCGTCTATGGTTTTTCAATTATACTGTTCAAATGAATGAATGGCCATCCGATCAGAAGACAACACTGGTCTAAATCAAGTGGAACACACACATTAACAGACACCATAGGAGCACAGCAGCATCTACACTCTGTACACATGACTGCTTTCCCGCTCTACTTTGAGCTTCTGGTTTTCATTTTTTCAGTTACAAGCCAAGACTGCGGGTGACTCATCGCTGGTTGGCAGGGGAAGCAGGAATTTGATCCACATTAAATTTACAGCAACAATTCTGATTAATATTCAGACTTCATGGTCGAACTACTGTATCAACTTTGACTGTGACGAAGGCACATAAAGCCACACTTTTCTGGTTTGTTTGCAGGTCCTCTAAATGCCTCTCTATGTGCTCGTTTCCACTGAAGGCGTCCGACTCCTGCCCAGAAAGTACCAGCATGCAGAAGTGACAGGAAATGATGCATGCATGCAAATCAAACATGGTAGACAAGACACTCTTATTGCATCTTCTTTGCTCAAATAAGCACTTCAGGTGTGGAATGATTTGGCCAATAAACTGGCCAAACGTCAAATTAAATAATGAATTCATGGTTCCGGTTATGAAGGGAAATGAATCAGATCAATTAACCAAAATACATATTTTGCTGGTGAATCATAACTCCTACAAGACTGTGCGAGGCCTCAGAGAGTTTGGTGTTATTCATGTGAGAAGCCACAAGTACCCAATGATCCTGAAAAAGAAAAACAGATTTGATTCCAAAGCTGGGAGTACAAACCCTATATTTGATTTTCACTTTTCTGAAAGGTCATTCCAGGCCTTGTGGGAGGTTGGCTGCCTGACAGCTGCACAGCCACACACTCTGGGACTGATGGAGTCTTTTGTTCAGTCTCTGTGCAAAGATACAGTCTTTGGCCAACAGGTTGATGCACGAGTTTTCAAAAACTTCCCTTTTCGTCCAGCTTGATTAGAGCCAGATATAGAGCGGATGCAGCAGATATAATTAGCCTAGCAGGCCCTCCAGTTTGGCTTTTTATCCAATTAAATCTGTTTGTCATTTGGGTTCCTGCATCTTCTCCACATCAGAGTCCAAAAAAGGAAAGATACAGCCTTTATTTGCATGCAACGTGAGCTAAAATATCAGCATGGGTCTTGAAATGTATCTCCTGCAGCAGTTGTGTGACACTCACATGAAGCACATTCTCACAGTGTCCACCCACCCACCCTCTCTACATAATGACCTCAACCACCTGCAGACGCCGCTCGCTGCTCTGCGCTCTCATCTTTGATCGTGACGCCTTGTCTCCGCTCAACATCCTGTACGCCCCTGCACTAAAGTCTGAGGTTCCACCTGAGAAGTGAAACAGAGAGCAGCATCATATCTGGGAAACACTCCCCCCCCCCCCGCACTGTAACTGCACTACTTGCATGGCTGGTTTGTGCAGAATATATGAATTTATTGTTAAGCATCAGGAAACATTTGGAAGTTCAACCTCAGGTCCTATAATCAGTCTAGTTTATAATAAACTGTGTAGCCAACATACAGACACTCGGACCCTTAACCCTCTGAAGCCCAAAATCCAATCATTATCATCAGATTTTCATCTGTCCTTGAACACATCATGTGCAACGATCGCTTACATCAGAAAAAGCAACCAAAACGAATCTTAATATTTCATCAAAAACATTTTTTATATATATATAATTTAAAATCTCGGCCGAATGAACCCTTTGCTTTAATCAGATTCTGTAAAAAAAATGCAATAAATTCTAAGATCCTCAGCACAACAGGACCAACAGTCACCTGACAGACATTCAGTGAAGCTTTGGCTGAACTGCAGGCTGCTGAGCACAGAGAGGAGAGGAGAGGTTCAAATGTAAATGGTTCCAGATACACAGAACGAGGAGCCTCATTTCCCACAACAACACAACATTGGTAACACTTGTGGACACACGGAAAAATGTTGAATATATAGATTCCATTGTTTTCCAATTTTTGTAAAGATATTCAACTTGTTTTTTTCTTGTTTTTTATCATTTATGGCAAGATATTCAACTTGTTTTTTTCTTGTTTTTTATCATTTATGGCATTGTAACTGTTATACTGCACAAAAGACATGTTTGAGATGCAGGACTAAAATGTCCACAGAGAGTAAAATGTGACCGGAGCAAAAAAACGCCCTAAAACTGCTTGGAGTTCAGAGGTCAAAAACGTCCCCATTGAAACTACAACTTTTGATCCTACGTCTATTACGGCATCAAATCACACATTATATTAGACTTCAATCTAAAGCCCTGGCTTCTAGACTTTAGTTTTGACTAATTCCCATCAGACGTTTCCTCCTGTTTGCCCTATGAGGCAAATACATACTATTTACCAACAGAGGCATTAAGTAAACAAACTGGCATTTAAAGAGTTAACATTCTGAAAATGAATGAATATTTAGTACTTATGATCAGGACTGATGTTGGTTAAAAGAGTCCTTTTTCTGAAACTGCTCAAAAAATAAAAATGTGTCAAAATCAGTATTGTTGCTAATCATTGACATATCCTGACCAGTGAAAAACAATCCTCCCAGCATTTAGTTTGAAGAAAATAATTACATTTTCATCTCTTTTTTCCATAAAGACAACAGTGGCATTATGTACAAATTGCCAATTAAAATTCTGAAATGAGTCAAATGGTAGTTCTGATTAGGACCGATGTTGGTTAAAAGATTTAACTCGGCGAAAGTGGAAAATAAAGTCATATTATTTTAGTAAAGGGCACAACTTTAACAGTTGTGGTGTTTCAGAGGACAAAGGTCAGGCTCTCAAGTAACAGCTGTTGGAGCTTCCCACCCGCCCTGTGTCAAAATCTTTGCATTAGATTGAACCACTACAAAGTGGGCGGGCTTAGAACATAGCGCCATGCGGAGCTACAGAGCACTGTGGCCCCACACACACCTCCCAGATTTAATGATGGCTGGATGTCATGACACTATTAGTTGGTGCTAGCTTACGTAAGCAGACGTCATATTTTACTTTTACAGGAAGAGAAGATGGTTGGATTTGGATATCAAAATCCAAAGAAAATAGATGAATAAATATTCACCTGGACTTTAACGAAAAGCTTTCTGTGAAACGTAAAACCCTAAACATCGATTCCCATTTCTCGCCAAACCCCTTTTTTAACTGCACTAAACCTTTGCATCGCTTGGAGCCGTCAAGCTTCTTAATGGAATCCTCCAGTAGAGAGCGATTCAACGACGGCCTACAGTATGTGGTGAGCCTGCTACATCACTAACCACTGTCTCAGAGGATAAAATCATCTAAAAATAACTGTCAGAGAGCCAGAGGAGACGGTACATGCGCTCACAGCGCTGGCAGCGGGTCAACACACTGTCGCACATCTGACGATCATATCTGGCTGAAGCAGAAACAAACATGATGCAAGACCACGCATGCTCTGCATGCAGATAACAAAAGAGCGAGCTTGTCTGTTGACTGCTGATGGAAGATAAATCTGTGCAGCGCCATGAGCTCACTGGGGTTTAGTTACTGAGTTAATAACCAGAGAGCATGTATCTTCAGGGACTGAGCTTAAATCCACGATGAGTTGGTTTTTTTGTTCTCTCTGATTTTTTGGTGGCAGCTCAAACGGAACATCGTGCAAAAAGACGAGGGCTGGGAATCATTTTGAAATGTTTAGTAGTAGAAATCTTTTCAGTGAAAAGGGTCTAAAATTGGCAGAATTTTGTTTCAAATCAGGAATTTCATATCTAACTAATCAAAGAAACACGAACCAAAACAAGTGTGAATCTAACCGGAGAAACGCATTTGTGTCAGAACCAAGAAGAAGTTCCTACCTCAAGACTGCAGAAGAGAGGCCGCATTACGACATCCTGGGAAAAACGAGCTGCCATCTGTTGATGCAACTTCCTGCTGATCTCTGCACAACTTGCTCTCGGTCCCAAATTCAGTTGTTATTGACGGAGAAAAAGGAAATCATGAAAGGATAAATCTGCTTCAATAAAACTTGGTTCTCATTTTCCTAAGTTTGTATCATCATTACTGCCAGTTACAACAAGGTGAGAAACTGCTGATGGACAGTGCTGTCCCACAATGCAATGCACGAAGAGATACAGAGAAGCTACTCACTCAAGCTGCAGTTGGCGGTGAAACAATAGAAAACTATTTAACAAAAAAGTTTTTGTTTTTTTTTACTTTTAAACATCTTATTCACTCTCAGTGAAGTGTGACTGGCAGTGGTATTCCAGAGCTGCTGTCTGATTGACATCTGGCACATACATTGCATAATTTCATCCAACCACAAACCAACATCCACTGGTTTCTCACACTCACTGTAAAAGCTCTAACAACTACTCGATATAGAAGATACTGTAAACTATGTATTGTGGAAGTGGGACGCTGCTTATCAGGTACTCAATTATGTATGCGAGGAATTAGTTGACCATTTGGAGAGAATATTATAGAACATGTGAGTTAGTAGTTTTGTTTGCAATATCCAAAAGTAGAATAAAAAGATTTGCTTCTTTTTTGGGGTTTTGCGAGTCGTGTCTGTATTCTTCCATCCCCACCAACAATGTGTTATCCTTCATACTACTCACTAAGTCATACTGTACACGGTAAGAATTTGTACAGTACATGCATGCATATCAGTATGCAACTGGGACACTGCTTCAGGGTCTGGTATCTGGAGTTCTAAGAAAAGATTAGGCGACTAAACATTGCAACCATGTTTACCGTTTTGGCAACCAAAAACTTCAGAGCGTCCGAGGACGAATACGTCTTCGACCACACTGTAACGTCTGAGTAAAGAAGAGTCACAGCGAGTGAGCCGTCAGTCTCATTCGGGTTGCTATACGGTCAGGCAGTGAGCTAATAAACTGCATTTACAGTGAATGTACAGCAGATGACGGGTGCACCTGTTCAAGGTCACGGTTAATTCAGATGAACTTTGCCTTCTGCTCCACCTGTTCTATACTATATCTACATCCAGTACAGGCCACCACAGACCGTCCAGAGATCTGAAGATGCTGACACACATTTCTCAGTCATCATAATTGGTGAATAATAGTTATATCTAAATTACTAAAATATGTATGGACTATTAGTAGTAACTGCACCAGCATACAAACATAGTATGAGTATGAGCTGATATTAGCTTCACAAAGCATGTACGCTGAAAATCATTTTCACTGCAGATATTGATTGATCTATCAATCAGAGTATTCTATATGTAATTCTGCATACCTTTACAATATTGTGATACTGCTTCTGTATTGATAAAGATATTTGTATTAACATTGTGCCATTGATTTCAGCCGGATCACCCAGCCCTACGTAAATGCTTTTGCTTTGAAAAGCCTGCATGTCATCATTTGTATGATGACATGCAGGCTTTTCAAGCTTTGGGTGGAGAAGCGTATTGTATATTGGTATCTTCTCGTAATCAAAGCATCACAGACTACAGCAATGAGTCGTCATCTGACCCGTGATAAGGTGAGAGCCGGTCAGCTGACAGTGAGACACAGGAAGGAGCAGCTGTACAGCATGGCTGCATGTTACTGTATCACAGCTTGTCAGTTACTAAATCACCTTCATTATGACACGTCAGTGCAAGATGACCCCTATTAAAGGCACACATCTTCATCGAGCAGAGTGGCAGCCTCGACACTGGCTTTTACTCGTCAGCTCCCTCCAGCAGTGTTGGCCACAGACGCTGGCGAGCGTCTCCACCTGATATTTACTTTTCCCCTGGGCCTTGCCGCCCCACCGATTTACAAGGCAAGCAAACACAACATCGGCGCATAAGGTGGGACAGCAGGGCCCACAGATGTGCAACAAAAATCAGCATCGTGCAACAGTGTGAGAGCTCCTTGGAAACAGACGGCATTGTGGGGGATCAGAGCAGGTGGAGCTTCTGAAACACCCTGAGGTTTGTGGCTTCCTTGCAAAAACCGAACGACTTTGAGAAAGAATGTTTCATTCAAATTCGAACTGCTTGTGCATAAAGGACAGCCTGATACAATATCATATACAGTGCTAAACATTGTATATACACACGTGTGTGTATATACAGCAGAGGTTTCTTTGATCCCCTGACAGCTCTGCTTGGCCTGTTGATGTGGCTGCTGGAAACACAGCCAGGACCTCATTCAGCTGTTAGCAGTGCACAACTTCATTTAATAAAACGTTAATTTTAACAAAGCTAAATGTTTCATAAAGTTAACTAATTCTTCTGACATTTCACATTAGTCACCACAGAGCAAGGCAGATGATAAACAGAAAACGTTTTTAAAAGTTACAATCAATTCTAACATTCATCTTGACCCCGCGTGCCAAAAATAAAGACAGCTGTTTGAATAGAATGCTTAAACTATCACGCGCTAAAACTGAAACTAGCGAGCAGCAGGACATGTAACTACTGCAGCTGTTTACCAAACACTTCAGCTCCGACACACCTACACACTTAACGTTACACAAGTGCTGCTGTCATTTTGCAACACAGCTTGCATCGAGAAATTAAGTGCCTACATCACTATTTGAAAAATGAATATTTTACATGGCTTTTGCTTGACGGTATAATTGTAGCTGAATAAAACAAAAAGACCTTAGAATGTCAATCTTTTGGAGCAGCGTGCCTGTTTTTCCCACTATCCTCCTCTCCCACCGAAATATATCAAGGAATGCGGCAGGAAGCACTGCGAGAGAGCTGTGCAACATTATTTATTAAATTAAAAGCTTATTCAAGTAAAATGCACAGCCGACCAAGCCTGAAAACGTTACAGTACTGTAAAATGCGACAAGCCATGTCTCCCGACCTGCGTACGTCTGCCGAACAGCAACACAACAATTATGGCCAATTTTGTATTATTTTGGCAAAGTGTTGCCTCCATAACCATGTGAGCGATATCCGAACTCTCAGTCAGTCAAGTTTCCACAACGCTGTTGTCAGTAAAAACCGCTGAACATAAACACACGAGACGTTTTTCTTTGCTTCACTCACCCAAGCTGTTTGTAGAGGAATCCATAATACGAAGCGTAACTTGTGTGAAGTTTATTCAGAGGTAAAGCCTGGACTGAGGTGGGTTTTCCATGCTGAGAGGAGTGTCAGAAGTCACACTCTGGGGACCTGTGTCAAAGTGTCAGGTTGAGCAACACGAACACCGGAAACGTGGGCAGTTTTCCTGCAAATAAAGCGCTATTGTTTATTAAAGAATACAAAAATGACTAAAACACATTCATAAATCCCGTTAATATTACGTAAGAGTATATAATTACGTCGATAAAAGTAAATAAGATAACGAATTAAAACATCAAACACCTCGCTAACTGAGATATCGAACGTGTCCACCGGAAGTTACTTACCTCATTATGGCTAGCTTAATACTAGTCGCGGGAAGGCACCGACGAAGAGATGCGTTGTGAAGTGTCATCTATGAACTACCTCCAATAGTTATTGTCTCCACTCACAGTAGATGTGGAGTACCAGAAGAGCACAAGATAAAACTTGCAACACAACATGTTCAGGCTACACATCAGCGCCTGTCAAATAAAAGCTGGGAGCCTATATTTGTTTGGTAGCCATTTGTCGCCATCTCTCGGTGGGGTTGTGTAGTGCAAAACCGTGTAACGCATTAGTTACGACCCAAAATACGGTAATACATATGCATTCTATTTTTTATTTAACGTTAGCTTTTACTTGTAACGCCTTTGTTTAAATACATTTTGTTTTAAAAGCATAGCGTACATTGTTGGGTGCCACTAAATATCATTGACCAAAATAGGCGCCCAAATACCTTTATGACTGTCTATCTTCGAGGAATGTTTAACACAATTCAATACCCCTAAACGTATGTCTACTGTACAAAATCATACAGTCTATGCGCAGAACAGGGGTGGCGGAACAATTGTTTGCGCTAATGTGTCTGTTGTTTGGGGGGAAGCGAATGTATGTAGGACCAGGAAGTTCAGCCGGCTTTACATCATGGAGGCGTCCACGGGAGGTTGATTTCTGAAGGAGACTTCATTTCTTCGTACGTTCGTCAGTTTAAATGGTGAGTATTGAGCAAGGGATGAAGAGCTAGCCTAAATATTTTAGTGTAAAATGTACACCAGTCATGTATTATAGAATATCAGGTCATAAGGATAATTTGGCTGACACTTTGCCCTAATCACCCCCTCTTTTATGCAAAAGTTATTACAAAAATATGTCCGCTTAATGTTTTCTTGGCAAATATTTATACGCAATAGAAGCTGACTGAAGAACGTTTATGAATAAAGCAGAGTCTCTAAAAACAATAAATAATGTATTATAGTAAACATTAAACTGCTCTTCAGTCAGAATCACAACAAAATCCATAGTTCTGGGTGTTGTCACTATTGTAGTAGAATAGAATACCTTGAGAGCAGATTTGTGAATGTTCAGCTGTTCACCGTGTCATGTGCATCGTCCCTCTGCAGTTCTGTTCCCTAAACGTTGGTGTGATGGCTCTACCATGAAGTGTGCCCGCTGCCTGCTCCAGCTGCAGTGCCTGAGACTGGTTGGCCAGTCAGCCAGGTCTGCGGTTCAGTATGGCGCTCTGCTCCAGTCAGCGTCCTCCAGTCAGCCCAACACGCTACGCAGCACCCCGCACCAGGTAAACTTTAATCTCCACTGTTAGGGCCAGATGCAAAAATATTGGTCATTTCAGGATGTTTGCATTATAATCAAAAGGCAGAAAAAGCACGTAAGAATGACTCTGACCTTTCCTCAATGATGAGTTTTCAATTCTGGATGCATTCAACCCACCAAGCAGCACTAACCACAATAAAATCCCAGCCTTTTTTCTTCTTGCCAACCAATTGTAGGCATTGAGAGGTTTCCACGGCAGCCCAGGGCATGCCAAGGGTCGACCTGTACCCGCGGAGTTCATCGACGAGGACGACAAGAAAAGGGACAAGTCCTTGGTTGCCCACGACGACCTGTTTGAGCAGGTGGCCAAAGAGGTCAAAACCAAGGCCACATTCAATAAAGTGGTGGACGTCTTCATCAAGAGGGACGTGAGGCGGCGGGGTCACGTGGAGTTCATCTACGCCGCTCTGAAGAAGATGCCGGAGTTTGGCGTGGAGAGAGACCTGGTGGTCTACAACAGGCTGCTGGATGTTTTCCCCAAAGAAGTGTTTGTGCCCAGGAACTATATCCAGCGGATGTTCAACCACTACCCCCGGCAGCAGGAGTGTGGAGTGCAGTTACTGGAGCAGATGGAGAACTATGGTGGGTGTCTGTAAACAGCCTGCTCATGGAATCCCTGGAATGGATTTGGAATACGTTTGACATTAATATAGCAGCATCTGTCAGTCTAAATGATTGTGTTTTCAGGTATCATGCCCAACATGGAGACCAAAGTCCTGCTGGTCCAGATCTTTGGAGAGAAGAGCCACCCCATCAGGAAGTACCAGCGCATCATGTACTGGTTCCCCAAATTCAAGCACGTAAGCCCCTTCCCCGTACCCCAGCAGCTGCCTGAAGACCCAGTGGACCTGGCTCGCTTCAGCCTGACCCGCATCGCTAACGACCGGAACGCTAAAGTCACCGTCCACCAGGTACAACTGTACGCGTTGGATTGGTGAAATAAGCCGGTTTACTTTCTCTCAGAGAGCGAGTTGGTCAGATGGGTATCGATCTCATGTCTGTGTGTAAAGTACAGAGATGGAGATAGCTTAGCTTAAAGCTAGGCCTGACTCCAGCTATAGCGTGATTTGCTAGATACAGTTGGTGGGCACAGGTTTTGGTCTCTGTACAGACACGATGGTATCAAACCTAACAACTTCACTGTGGTGACACGACTCAAGAAATAGTTGCAGTTTACAACTACCCTTATTTTAAACATTTGTTATTACAAATGTTGACTTACAGGTTAAACCAACAATATACGGTGTTGGTAGATGGATTGAAACTTGATCAGGTTAAGCTAAGCTAACTACATCCTGATTCTAGCTCTACAGGGACTGAAATACACACACAGGAGGTTGATCCATCCATTCATCTCCTTTAAATTCACAAATAACAGAGAGAGCTACGTGTTAGCCTGTGCTAAACTAGCTCCTGTAACTAAATGCAGTGTCTCATTGAGGATGTCTTTATTGTTAGTTCTGAAAAAAGTTATTTTGAGGTTAACTCTCTAATTTTCAAACCCATGATTTTTAACCACCAGTAATTTAAACAATTAATTTGTTAGCATACAAAAACTACAGCTGTCATGAAAAACTTAATGGGAGCTGTTCATTCTATATTCTTCTGTAATTTTTCAAACGCTGTAATCTTTTCTGTCTGAAAAACATCCAGCCTTTTGTTATTCCCTGTCCATTTTTATAGTTCACTACTCAACTGGTCTCAGTCCGTCAAGCTAGTGACCTTTAATCAATGACGGTCTGGGGCTTATGGGAAATGGTGTTCATTTATATAATAGAAGAAGAAAAAAACATTTTACAAAGGCGTTGCCCAACTTGCATGGAAAGATTATAAGATTGTCATGTAAAGGTTGGTCATGTTTTTTTTTTAATTTATTTGCTTTTTTGGTTAAACTCCCAAGTTGTCTAGATAATGTGCAATATTGCATTGATTTTTGAAAACTTATCATCCCTTTCTAGAACCTCCCACATAATGTTGAGTAACGTTATGTTCAGCTCTCTGCAGTTCAAACACAACAAGCAGCAGAACATAACGAACTGCTCTACTTTGTTGTAAACACTTTTTCTTTCTGTCTTTGTCAACCAAAAATGTTTTTTTGCTCTTCCCTTTAGCTGCCCTGTACAGACGTTACAGAGAGTGGAGAGCAGATCACACAGCCACATATAGTAGGTACGGAAACTGTTTGTTTGTCTCACATTAAATGTGTACCAGCGTGGTTTAGTAAGTGGATATAGGAAGAAGTCTGGGATTCAAATCGTGTATACTGCTCTGTGACATGACAGAAATATGTCAGATATTGTCTTCTTTGAGTAATAATTGCAGTAAGTGTTTTTTTAGCCTTACTGAAAAGGAAACCAGAGAAACGACAGTAACAAACCAGGAAACTGGATTATTCAGAAATGTTGTGTTGGTACAATGGTGGGGTCAGACCTATAAATATATATCCAGACTTTTGCTCATTGTCTTTGTTTTCCTTCCTTCCTGTGTTGACACCAGGTATCCAGAGCCCCAGCCAGGTGGAGCTGCTGGCGAACCACAACCCGAGCAGGCCGGTGTTTGTCGAGGGCCCCTTCCCTCTGTGGCTGAGGAAGAAGTGTGTGTACTACTACGTCCTCAGGGCTGACCCCACACCGCGCGACGAGAAGGTAGGAAAATCCTCCGCTCCTCCGATGGAAACAGATTGGGTGTCATCTAGGAATCCTGTGCTCCTGATCTTACTGAAGCTGTGTGTCGTCGTCCCCCCCCCAACAGGTCGAGGAACCCTTTGATCCAGAGAGGTGTTTGGACTATCCTCTGCAGCTTGAACTGGATTTGGATCGTGACCTCGGGGACGAGGAGAGCTTCGACGTGGAAGACGGTAAGACACCGAAGCAGTCAAATATATTTCCGTGATTATTCTTGGTGAGAATGAAAGCACGGGTGTGTACACTGAGTGTGTAATGCAGCTGTTGTGTGTCTTGTATCCAGTGGACGAGGGTCCAGTCTTCGCCATGTGTATGACCAGCCGGGGCGAACAGGCCGTCCTCAACCAGTGGATCTCCGGCCTCCAGGAGAACAATCCCATCCTGGGTCGGGTCCCCACTCTGTTCCGCCTGGACGCTGGGCCCCGGGAGCTGCAGGGGGCGGCTGACAAAGAGTCAGCCCACCACCACGGCCCAGAACCTGAGACCCAGAAAGAGGAGAGACAGCCTCAAGAAGAACCTGAGGTAACAGTGGAGGAAGAGCCGAGGACGAGCCAGAGGATGAAACGGTGATCAGCAGTCAGACTGTGCAGTTAAGACTGAAAAATCCTAACATACTGTACTGTGATGGGTAGGGGCTGGACTAGTGTAAGCTGGTTCACTAAACTAAGCAGAACCTGAGGAGTCTATGTCTCTAATTATGGTAAGCTTCTGTAATCAAATAAATTACATTTTAAAAAACTGCGCTTCCTCATTTTAGTCTGTCAACATTAGGCCAGTCAACATAACTACTTTTGTTGGACGATATATTGTTCCAGAAATGATCGTGATAATGATGTTATTGTGTAATAGCATAATAATGCAAGTAAACCCTGACAAACAGCAATGATCTTTGAATTCTTCTCACATATTGGAATTGGAAAGAGAGTCACTAAATAGTGTGTAAGAAACAACACGTGGTTTATTATACTCTTGTCTGAATTCATGACAAATGAAAAGTATTGTGTATTTTCTCATTTAATTTAATTTACTTAAGTGCAGAGTTAGTTAGTATGTGCTTGTAGTTGTCAATTTAGACAACTTAATTGTGTATCACGACATCTGGATTCAGGATTTCATCACAATATGATTTATCCAACGATAAATGATCTAACCTGAGGCATCAACTCGCTAACAAACCACCATTTTCTGACAGAACCGAAGCCTCAGACTTGGAGGTGTTGGCATTCTCACCTCATACTCAGCTGTAAACCTGTAAACCTGGTATCTACACTCTGGACTAGATGGCTTATAGAAAGGACACAATATTTCCACAGTACCTCCAATAGGACTCCCTGAGGGACACAATGACAAGTCCACAAAGCACGTACAGTGTAAGAGAATTCTGATAACTCGGCCGAGCAGAAAGAATGGTAAATACACAGATCCGCCCTTTTTGTTACCTTCTCTAGTGTGTCTTCATGAAGTTCATTAAGGTTCAGTGTGTAGATGCCCTCCTCTGCCCCAAGAAGCAGGTACTGATCTAAGAAGGGAAAGTGTTTGTTAAAGGGAAAATATTGTTTCCTGGATCACAACTCATGTTCAGCTGACCTGTGTACTAATTAATGATTTAGTACGTTTCCCCAGCAAATAGATTAAGTCCTTGTAACTAATTCATTGAAGTGTACCAATTTAACACAGTCAGCGTTTTAAATCATGTTAGTTGGTTAGTTATCAAATCAAAATGACCTTTCCAGCAAACGTCTCAGGAAATAGTTTAAAAATTAGAAACGTGTAAAAACTGACTGCAATGACAGCAATGGTAGTGAAGACAACAACTCCCATGATCCCGCACTACTTCACTACCGAACCAAACTCTTTCTTTGGTTATTGTTTTGATTGAGAGACCCCTAGTGGCAGAAAATAACACATTGTTCCTTTAATGCTAAACTTCACTCATTAAACATGTTAACATGCTAACACAGCAGGATAACATGATACATGACATGCTTAACATTAAGATATTGACATCCAAAGCTGGTAACTTTACTGTTAACATGCTACTCTAGTGTGCTAAATTACATACAGCAAAAAAGAATTGTTATCACAAAGAATATTATTATATTCTACTGCTTTAACTGTTTTCTGTAGATTCAAATAAAAGACAAAATAAAATAAATAGATAAATACATTCTAAACATGTACATGTCCAAGTATATGCAATATAAACTTGATAAACATACAATGTGACAACTTTATCAAGTCTCTGTGACTTTTGTGACCTACTAAGTTGCTTGTGACCATCCAATATTCTCAAAATGCATAAACATATACATCGATATATCCCTCCATAGAAGTGGAGAAAGGACATAGTGGGAGAGAAGAAAAATATAAATTAAATTAAAATTAATAAATACAAAAGGGAGGGGGAGGGGACTCATGACTCCGTTTCTTGCTGTACATACTTATAAATTCCTTTATTTACTGTCTAAAGGATCCTCTCAACTCTGGTCAGGAAGTTTTATACTATTAAAATGGTCTATAAAAGGTTGCCAAATATTGTTAAATTTCTCTTCTTGTTTTTTCAGAGAGAATGAAATTTTCTCTAGCTCCAAGTTTCATAACATGCCTCATTAGATTTAATTGTGTTGGTGCAGTTGTCCATTTCCAATTGATTAAAATCAATCTTGGTGCCAGCAGGCTAACAAATGAAATCATATTGTGTTTCACACCATTTTTTACTCTGTTAGAGTCTGTAATTCCTAGAACTGCCTAAGGGATCCAAGTCTATGGGTCGATGCAAAAATTCTGATAAGGTCTAAAAGATATTGCTCCAATAGTTTGATATCCTCAGGCAACTCCAGAACAATGTGTTGCCGGTGCCAGCCAACGTTCAAATGAGGGATCTATATCTGGGAATATTCTACTGAGCTTTCGTTTAGACCAATGTAAACGGTGTTGTAAAGGACCTCTGAGAATGTGTAGTGTATTTAAATAGATTGTTCCTTTTTTGTCTTTTATTTTGGACGTTTTGTCACTGGAGTCGGTGCATTTCCTGTTGCGCTTTTATTTTGAAGGTATAAACCGGAAGTAAGAAGCCGTTAGAAAGCCGTTAGAAAGCTGTGAGAAAAGTCGCTAAAGGGACGGAAAAAGTGATTTAACAAGGAAGATGGATACGGTTTTATTATTTTAGCACCTGGCCGATATAGGCACAAGTTCTTACGGTGTGATTCATTAAAGACTTATGGACCATCAGTTCAAGACTACAGACCATTATTCAGCCGGGATGCTACAGATGTATTATCTTAAACTGCAGAAGGCCATGTCTTGCACACACTGAGGTGTTATAAATCTGTTCTAAGGCTGTTTCCCACTGCTCCTCTGAAATCTCTGTACCTAGGTTGTCCTTCCAAACTGATTTCAAGTGTTCCATAGTTTTTTCCGTTATTTTTGACCACGGATTCTTTACAAATTCAGTTTATATTTAGTTTCATAAACTTAGTTCAGGAACGGGACCACGCCCAGAACACGGCTCATTTCCCCTGCACAAGTATTTAAGCTCAACGAACCTGTTCACTTCCTCTTCAAATCCGTTCTCTCATGACGTGCGATCCCCGAGCCGAGACCACGTACCTCACAACATGGACCTGGAGATCTCCCTCACTCCTTCTGACAACGATCTCTTCGAAGACGATTCTGCTGAAGTCCCGGAGACAGCACCGTCTCCCATTATCTCTCGCCGCCAGCAAGCTCAGCTGAGATCAACCATCTCCGACCCCCGCAGCGCCCGACATCTATCCTCGGACAATTCCGAAGTCGTCAGTCCTTCGCCGTCCAACAACCCCAGGGGGAGATCCCGACTCCGGCGTCCGAGGGACATCGTCCCTCCACAACGCCGCTCTTACACCCGCTCGAGATCCAGCCGGTCGAACAACGGCCAAAACCAGAGCGACCCTCCTCCTCCACGCCAACGCTCCGATGCCCCCCATACATCCAGCATTTCCGAGTGGACAGTCGCTCGACTGAAGAACGCACTCACCCAGCTCAATATCCATTTCAACCAGTCCGACAGAAAAGCAAAACTTTTCAAACTACTCACGGACGCTCAGCACCACACCTCCTTCGATCGTCGAGCCACCAGAGCACTTCCGGGTTCCCCGCGCAGCAGCTGGTGCCGCGTCACTGACGTCATGACGCACAAGGCGGCCAGACAAGCCCAGTCACACACACCAGCCCCTCCAGAGGGCCAGGTTGTATCGCACCCCCCCCCATACTCACTCTGCATCAGGGATACCTCACCCCGCAGTCTCTTTTCCCCATCCTGCACTTCCAACCCACGAACATGCATCCTTTCATCCAAGCATCTTTCCCTCTTCCCTCGCTTCTGCCTTTCCTTCTAACCCAACACCGGCTACCCTAGCCGCACATAATGCTCCAACAGCAGGATTCTACGGCGGAACCAGCAGCCAAAACCCTGCGTTTCCGCCTGTCTCTGCTTTCCCCCCTCTCTTCCCCTACCCTCCCCCTCCCCATAACCCATATGTAACTAACCATCCTTTTTTAAATGCACCCCCTTTTTCCACAGGTCCACCAGCAACCAACCCCAGCTTCCTTCTGACTCATCTTCCTCCACCCACCAGCTTTACTTTAGCCACAGCACTACCCCCAGCACGGCCTTTAGCATCCGCACGACCATCCCCCGTGCCACATACGCTCAGACAACAGATTCTCACAGGTAACTACATCGACCCTGCCCAACTCATTCATCCATCCACCTGCAATCCCCATATCCAGAGGGAATTAATCACCGCTTTCGGACCCATTGAACTCAAACAGCCACTCCCCACCTGATCAAAGGAACTCACCACGACTGAATTTGCCTACTCTTTTTCCCTATACCGTGATATCATCTGCTCTGTTTTCCCCGACCGCAGGGTTGGACGACTACATGGCACTTACTGTATATTCAACCTAGCCTTGCGGTTTGGCGGTAATGGGTTCTACACCTACCACTTCCTTTTCACATCCGAAGCCGCCGGTCGCGTGCAGCAGTTCAACCAGGGAACATACTGGGGAACACTCAACCCAGAACTGTACTGCAGAGTTTTTGCACAGCTCGTGCTTCTCTAAATTGCGAGCACTGTGGCGCACCCTCTCATCCGGCCTCCACATGCACCCTCGCAGCACCTCTGCCCCACCACCCCAGTTTCCCGCAAATGAAGCCCCCCCCGTTTACCGCAGCCTGCCTCCATTACTTCCCCCACCATCCATCACCCCTAAACCAGAAATCAACCAGCCACACACCTCCGGTGGTCCCCCCAGAGGTATGGACAAAAGAGGTAGACCAATCCTCTACCAGGGCGTGAGAATGGTGTGCAATAACTTCAACGACCTAGGATGCCAATCCTCCAGCTGCCGTTTTCTCCACACCTGCTCCTTCTGCGGGGGGGGGGGTCCACGCAAGACCAACCTGTCCCCATCAACCAACAAAGCACAGCAAGTGTAAGTACCCCAACACACCAATCAACATCCATGCCCTAGCTTCCGCCCTTAAAACTCACCCAGACCACCAGTTCACAAGCTTTCTCATCCAGGGTCTCACCCACGGCTTTCACCCAAGCGTGCAGGTGAAGCCAGAGTCTTCCTTCACTTGTAAAAATTTGCAATCGGCCATCTCCGAACCCCACACAGTCAACAAGCTCCTGGCTCAGGAAGTCAAAGACTCATATATGGTAGGCCCATTCACTAGCCCACCTTTCCCTTTATTTAGAATCAGTCCAATCAGCATCGCTACTAGAAAATACTCAGGCAAAAAGAGATTAATTATAGACCTCTCTTCCCCCCACGGTTCCACAGTTCCAAGCATTAACAGCCTAATCCCCAGCCCGGACTACTCCATGCAGTACACCACTATCGACCACGCGAATCCCTCATTCGCCGTGCCGGTCCAGGAGCCTGGTTGTCTAAAGCAGACATCACAAGTGCCTTTAAAGTACTTCCCATCCACCCCGACTACTGGCCCCTTTTCAGTGTCCTCTGGAAGGGTGCTTATTACTTCTCGGTGCGTCTAACTTTTGGGTGTAAGAGCAGCCCAAAAATCTTCGATTGCCTTTCCGAAGCACTCTGCTGGATCCTGATCAACGTCCATAAACTTCTGTATGTCATCCACCTCCTAGACGACTTCCTCACCGTCACGTCACCTTCCTCTCCCCCAGCACTCGGCCTCCACACTCTAACCGCCGTGTTCCAGGAACTCGGTGTTCCCCTCTCCGCAGAGAAAACCGCAGGTCCCAGTACATCCCTGGAATTCCTCGGCATCACCCGCGGCTCCGTCTCACTGCAAGCATCCCTACCTAACGAGAAAATCAACCGGATTTCAATAATCATCTCTAATTTCCTCCTGGCCCCCGAATGCACCAAACACCAACTCCTCTCGCTTTTAGGCCACCTCAACTACACCATCCGCATCATCCCCCAAGGCCGATCTTTCTTGTCACACCTCCTTTCAGTCGCCTCCTCCGTCACAAAGCCCTATGACCACGTCACACTCGACAAAGCTTGCAAGACAGAGCTAAAGCTATGGCACCAGTTCCTCTCCTCCTGGAATGGCATCTCTTTCTTCTACAACGAGCACATCACCAAGCCGGAAGACATCCAGCTGCACACAGACGCAACACCCTCAATCGGTTTTGGCGGCCTCTATGGCAACAAGTGGTTCTCAGCCCCATGGCCGCCCGAATTTGCATCCCTTCCTCCGTCAACAAAGACCATTGCCGTCTACTCGGACAACAGCGCCATCGTAGACATCATCAATAAAGGACGGTCACGTTGTCTAAACATAATGATGTTCATGCGTAGACTAACCTTGGTTTCAGCCCAGCACCAGTTCATCATCCGAGCCTCCCACATCCCAGGTCATTACAACTCCACTGCTGATTCACTCTCGTGTTTCTCATTTCAGAAATTCAGACGATTAGCACCAACCTCAGACCCTCTGCCGACTCCGGTCCCAACGTTTTCAGCCACCATCTTCAACTGACCCCGCAACTGGAACACCTAATCTCTGCCTCTCAAGATGCCATCCTCAACAGCGTCACCCCTCAAACACTCTCGTCGTACTTCACCGGATGGAAACACTTCAAAGCTTTCCACGCCTCTTTTAACCTTCCCTTCCCATCACTCGACATCCTTACCCTCACAAGCTTCATTACATTTTCCCATTCCCTCCTTAAGATAAAATCCTCCACTATAAGGGTATACATAAGCGGAATTAACTTTTTCACAAAACTGTCCTCAGGAACACCGTGCCCAGCCTCCACCCACTCGCATTTAGCGATGTTACTCAAAGGTCTCCGTAAAGCCGAACCACGGCCTATGCCTACACGTCTGCCCCTCACCTCGGACCTTCTCGCCCGTTGCATCCATACTCTCCACTCAGGCTACCGCTCTCCCTTCACGGCCAAAGTACTCGAGTCCATGTTCTTGCTGGCTTTCTTCGGCTTCCTTCGCTGCTCCGAGTTCACCGCTTCAAACTCCGACCACAATCCGTCACGTCATGCCACCATGTCCGACATCTCAATTCATCCTCCTGACACAGTCATTTATCACCTCAAATGCAGCAAGACCAACCAGTCCGGTCCGCCTCAGCCTATCTACCTCTTCCGACTAGACACATACCGTATGAACCCATCCGAGATTACTTAATCTCAAGATTAGCTGGCCAAACTTCTCCGCAAGATCCCCTTTTCATCACCGAAACAGCCAACGGGGCCACACAGTCCTGGTTCCACCACCACTTCCGCCGTATATATTAGCCAGATCAGGAATACCTCGGTCATTCATTCCGCATCGGTGCCGCCTCAGCCGCCTCGAGTCAAGGAATTCCAGACCACATCATTAAGATTCTTGGTCGCTGGTCTTCCACCGCGTACCTCTCCTACATCCGCTTCAACCTGAACGACATCAGAAACGCTCACAGGCATCTGTCCTCATGAAGCTATCTTTGGGGACTCTGCACCGCCAGAGCTTCCTAGAGATGGCCCCACCCAACAGTCTCCGTTCCCACCAGCCGCCGGACACCAACGGTCCCCTATCACATCCCTTCATCCCTCTACCTCGATCCCTACCCTACCTCCTTTCATCTCTCTACCTCGATCCCTACCCTACATCCCTCTACCCCTACCCTACATCCCTTCATCCCTCTACCCCTACCCTACATCCCTTCATCACTCGACCCCTTCTGCTTCCTGAACCTAACTATCATTCCATTATGCAATAAAAACTCTCGAAACTTATACTGTTATTGGTGTGGTCCTTGTTAGTGAAATTTAGTTTCATAAACTTAGTTCAGGAACAGGACCATGCCCAGAACACGGCTCATTTCCCCTGCACAAGTATTTAAGCTCAATAAACCTGTTCACTTCCTCTTCGACTCCGTTCTCTCATCCCTCCCCCCCAACCCCATTTTTGTTTTCCTATTGCTCTCTCTCTTGCAGGATTACAGGAATGACGGGGGACTCTGCACCGCCAGACCTTCCTAGAGATGGCCCCACCCAACAGTCTCCGTTCCCACCAGCTGCCAGACACCAACAGTCCCCCATCACATCCCTTCATCCCTCTACCTCTATCCCTACCCTACCTCCTTTCATCTCTCTACCTCGATCCCTCTACCCTACATCCCTTCATCTCTCTACCCATACCCCTACCCTACATCCCTCTACCTCTACCCCTACCCTACATCCCTTCATCCCTCTACCCCTACCCTTCATCACTCGACCCCTTCTGCTTCCTAAACCTAACTATCATTCCATTACGCAATTAAAAACTCTCGAAACTTACACTGTTATTGGTGCGGTCCTTGTTAGTGAAATGCTGATGACGCTGCTGTTTTCAAATATATAAAATTCAAAGCCTCGTGAAATGTTTTTTTTCTTTTTATTTGTTTTTGCAGCTGATACATGTAATTTATTCACTTACTGTACATCATTTAATCTCAAATCAGCATTTTGTGTTTCTCAACTGATTTTATAGAAATGTCTTTTTTACTTCTGTTTTTACCAATAATGCTAATCGTACAGCTTCAGAAAACGGTAACTTTTTTTGGCAGTTCAGAGATTATACCATGCAATTTCGATATGATTTGTTATTGTATATGATAAAATGTTGTTTTTACAACAACCTTTCCTTGCTAAAAAGGTATACAGGAAAATATGTTGGTGTTTCCCGTGTCTAATTTAGCGGTCATGAAACCTGATTGACACATTGTTTGGAATAGAGGGCAGTGGTGTGTGGAGGGCAGTGGTGTGTGGAGGGCAGTGGTTGTTAGATTGACTGGGAGAGACTGTATCATTTTACTGGTTCATTAAAAGTTGTGGCCACCAGGGGGCATCTATCAGAATGCACTCCAGATAAGATGTTCCTTTTGAGAGGTTTATTGACAGTACCAAGTAACCAAGTGAGTGTGTGGTTCTGAAACAGATATACATTAAATAATTAGTAAAACCTCTATATAAAGTAACAAGTCATTATACCATACAAGTCTACAATGCAACTTTACATGTCAGCATAGATGTATAGTAGATGCCTGATATGAATAAATACAAATCAGAAATAAGAGTGTAACTGAGGCATGATTTCTAAATCTTTGTACAAACATTGCTTTGTAAGTAACAAACATGCAAGATGAAAGACATCTTGCTGAATAAGCTGTAAAGTGTATACATTTCTAAGCAGAATCTCCCTTTCCTTCATTAGGATGAATGGCATGAATGAACTAGCAAACGTCATTTTCTGTACTTTATTCATCCATAAATATTGGCAATCTTACACAGATTTGAACTTTGCTTACATGTGCAGAGAACAAAGAAAAAGTGAACTCCGAACATTCACATAAACACCCTCACAGGCAATTCAGTATAATATAAAACACACATATAGTATATAATATAGTATAACAGAACATGTTTATTTATTGAGATAAATTGACCTTGTTTGTTCGGAAACCAATAGGGAAGTAAAGATCAGGAGACGTAAACATGAAGTGTAATTAGGAATAATGGTGTTGAATTAAGCTATGAGTTTTCACTGTTAATTTACAGGTCTCAATGAAATGTTGATGCCTCCATGACCAAGTTAAGCAAACCAGACTGAGGACAACTAAGAAAATATGGAAAAAGCATATATCTTGCACAGATATTATATTTTACACATATTACTGTGTGCATTCCATATTTCAAAAACAAATATTGACAATTTATTCTTTGTGGCTCAAGGGGAGGCACCGCCCTAGCGCCCTCTATTGACCAGCCGCCACTGGTTTTGAATGCCTCCTCGAGTTCTCTCTCTCTCCTTTGAAATTTGTTTTCTGATCAGCTTCTTCATGCAATAAAGCGGCGTAGAGCCATCAAAAAGGAGCCGGTGTCCAGGCTAGACAAAACATCTAGGTGCATGGCCCGTGTTGTCAGGCACTTCAACAGTATGCCCCATCTCTTCCCGTGGCAACGGCCGACCCTCACTGTGAAGGGCCCAAATAATCTGTGCCTGTGGAGTAAAATAAGGGCTTCAGCAGCCTCAGTCTGGACTGGGAGAGGTCTGCCGTCCTGGGCACAACTGGAATGGCGCTTCACCTCTGGCAGTCCGGTCAGGAGTGCTGATGGAGTTTCACAGCTTCACGGCCATGCAGAATCCAGTATTTGCGGCGCAGCTCTGCAAAGAGACGCTCTGATCCTGAAGGATGGAGGCCCTTGTCTAAGCCCTGAATGATGAGCTGGGTCACTTTATGTTCAGCACCACTGGGTGGATGGCATCTGGCTCTAGCTGGTCGCTGCGGCGGAGCCTTCCTCTAACCTGGATGAGACCCACAGCCTCATCATAGTCCGGGGCTAGGGAGAGCAGCCTAGGGCACACAAGAGGAACTCCTCAGGGAAATCTTCTGCAGGAAGACTGTCTTGATCTGCTGCCGCTCCATGACCTACTTTTACCAGACAGTTCAAACAGTGTCTTCCCTCGCGTGATGTCATCAGCTGAGCTGTTGACAGAGTGCATGTACCTCCAGGCCCAGACGTTAGCCTCGGCACGGATTCCTGTTTCTTTGGAGCCACCCTAAATTTGGCAGTTAGGAAAGACACTTCCACACGGCCATGTGAGTTCTCTGCATGCAGGGAGGCTACTGAGCCGTAAGCTTTCTCTGAATGATCAGCAAAGATGTTCAGGTCTCGCTGGAGGTTTGAAGTGTCCATCTCAGGGCCCAAAAAAGCAGCGAAGCAGTAAAATCTGAGACAGATGCTGCAACTCCTCCCACATCAGCCATGGCTTCAGCACATCATCAGGCAGTGATGGGTCGTCTCAATCTCTTTGCTTTCCCCATAAGTGCTGCACAAGGATCTTAGCCCGCATCGTGAAGGGGACAATAAAGCCCAATAGGTCGCAAAGGCGTGCCAAGACCCGGTATATATTCTTCATGGTGGGTTTGGGTCTATCCAGCATCCGATATTTATACCTCAAGATGTCTGAATTGCAAAGCCAGCGGAGCCACAGGGCGAGCTCTTGTGGGTCTGTGCCTGACTCGTTGAGCCACAACTCACTGTTTTCGGATCTGGCTTCTCTGGGCAGGCAACTGATGACCAGGGGTGTTATTGGCCCAATGGCATAGTTCAAATCCACCTGTAGCCAGCAATGTCGTCAGTTTTTTCTACCAGGTGACGGGCTTCTTCAACAGATGGGAGACTCTGCAGGATGTTGTCCACATAAAAAGAACCTGTCTATGGAAATACGGACATCCTCATCTGGCTGACTGTGGTCAAACACATGTTTCTGCAGCGAGAAAGTTGCACAGCAGGGGCTGCAGGTGGTGCCAAACGGAAGGACTTGCCATGTGTAGATGCTTGGAGGTTCCTCTTTCTTCAGGTCGCGCCACAAGAAGCAAAGGCTTGTCCTCAGGGAGCAGCCTCACCTGATCGCTGCTGACAGCAACGGTGTGGAAACGGAGGGTACGGGATTGTTTTCAATTGCTCTTTTGCGTATAAGGGAGACAACCTCAATGAGCTGCTGCTGCCTGGTCCCACTTTAAGTGGAAATTTCAGAAGATTCCAGCACAATGTGAAAGAACTCAACAATTCAGACACGCATGGAGGCAAGCATTTACCACATGTGGTGGAAGGGCATTCTTTGTGTTCCTGTTCCATGTTACAGCCCACTGTTAAAATGGGAGGGGGTCACATTTAGCCCCTTTGGGGGAGAGGTCGTCCTGCCGATCCGATGAACTAAGACACACACAGTTAATATCGGACTTCCTAGTTGGCATTTTCCGATGACTCACATGTCCAGAGAAAATCATCTCACCAATATTCACTCGCTGTCCTCATTCCACCCCCGGCAGCATTCAGCTGGTGCAGGCTGCACCAAGATAACACCTGGAAGTAATGCATCTGAGGTTGAGTGAAATCCACTGCTGGTACTGGAGCTGTGGAATTACGACACAAGCAGTTCAACAGACACCTGACTATAGGAACTCATCCGCTATTTGTGGTTTAAAAAAAATCCGATATGGCCGACATGAGGAGGAAATAGTCTCACCAACTTTTAAACTCCGACGGCACAAAGCTACTATAAGTTCCGTTACATGTTAATGATCACCAAAGGAACAATTTAAATGAAATGCATCACATGCTAATGATCATAAATTCTTGATGTCACAGATATCGTCACCACATTTCATCATGAGGAGTCAGAACTGTTACGGTCGGTTATTCTGGACCCATCCGCAGACACCGGGACGACAGGGTAGGTGAAATAAAAGGTTTTATTTAGTTGTTTGTGGAGCCGTGGAACATGCAGGTAGGAAGGTGAGGCGGTGTGAGTGGCGGCGGCTGGGCGGCGACATGGCACAGGAATCTTGAGGCAGAGGGAAAGCACAAGTTAGTTGCAAATTGAGAAAACTAAGTTAATTAACTCTAAGAAGAGGTAAAAGCTCAGCGGGACCGAGGCTGTAGCTACCACTGAGCTGACGAAACAATCTGGCGATGAGACTGAAGGAAGCCGGGGTACTTGAGCTGTCGGTGATGATGGTCTGATTGTTGGCAGGTGTGGAGATGAGCCCAGGTGCCGGATGATTGAAGCCGCGCCCATGCCACACACACACACACACAGAGAACAGAGGGGAGACGCCGAGACGAGCTGAGGTCACAGCGGAGCCGTGACAAGAACAGTAATAAAAGACATCTCTAATTATATTTAGACTGGTGAAAATAAAGAATTTGAATTAATCCAATCATAGTTCAGCTCTGTGAATTAAACTTAACTGTAAAAACGATCTAGGAGCGCACTGATCTGACTTTTTCAGTCCCGATTCTAATGGTGACACCTGGGCTTAGAGTCAATCGTTCTTAAGATAAAGGAAAGAAAATGTGGATGCAGCAGTATCAAATCTCATAAGAAGAGAGGAAAAAGGAAGCAATCAGTAGCCGTTTCCATCAAAATGTACCACAAATTTGAACCGAATTCTGAGAAAATCTGTAAAAGAAAATGAATGAATGCTTGTTTCCATACACTAGCGCAGAGGTCTTCAACAGGGGGTCCGCAAAATGTTTGGTTGATTAGACAATTACATTTTTTATTTATTTTTCTCTAAACATGAATCTGCCCATTATTTTAATAGTTCAGTATTGTATGTAAGCTAACAGGTATGTTTATAAATGGCAGTGGCACGGCCACCCTACTTTGCACGTTTAAAATAAAAACATGAATATATTAACCTGTGTATTATTTGAATAGCTTAGTATTGAATGCACAATAAAGAGGTATTCATGGTACTAGGCCTAGTTTAATATAAAACACAATGTTATACAATATATATAGTCCATATATAGCTCCATCTCTCTATCAGTTTGGGGGTCCTTGGCCTGAAAAACGTTGAAGACCCCTACACTAGCGTTATGCAATTTTTGCAATAAGCAGTACGCGGCTCCATTTCTCTGTAGGTGAAACCATTATACCATTGCAAAAGAAAAGGGCGCAACGTAATTAAAAACGCGGCAGTCGAACCTCAAAAGGTGAAAACGTGTCAATGAGAAAGATTACATCAAATCTGTGTGGAGCGTTTTTCCCTCTCTTCAATGGAGCAGAAGCTTCAGTGGACGTTGAAGTCACATGCTTCATGTACGTCATCGTTTATTCGCTCAATCTGTTTCCATTGCACTTCGCATTTTGCTTTTATTGACACATCAGCTTTTTCATTTCCAAATGTCCACGTTTCCACTCAGGTTTCTTTAAATGCAAATTGATAATGCGCATAAAAACAGGTGGATGGAAACGCAACTAATGACTTACCGTATCGTATTACTGCAGCCTGGGAAGAGCGTTTCACCGAGCACCATGATCGCCATCACAACACCAAGATAATTTCTGGAGCCCTGAAAATGAAACAAATGTCCAACACAGAATGAGGAACACCATCGTATTTGACCGGATGGTAGACATCTCCTGCGAACATAGAAGAATGTGATTGGAGTCTCTCTGTAGCTCACCTGTAGTATATTGTTTGGTGACGTTTGCCCTGCGTCACACTACAGGACGGAACAGCCAGTCCGAAGTCGATGAGCTTCACCCTGAGTGGCTGCGCTTTACTGTCCACCAGCATGATGTTGTCTAACTTTACGTCTGCATTGATCACTCCAATGGTCTTCAGGGCGTAAAAGGCTGTGGCCAACTGCAAGATAAGCAATGCCATTCAAAGGGTGGACGCACAGCATTTTGACGTTAGTGTTGTGTCTGATGCTACTGAGGGTGGGTACTGTACTGTGACCATACCTGTTAGACTATACTCCTGACGTCATGTAAATGCAGGGTTTTGACATCTCTCTGGTACTCCCACAGAGTCATTTCCAGCAACTCAAAGGCGAGAGCAGTTGTATTGTTCCTCAGTGGGAAGGAGTCAATGAACCCGACGATGTTACACTGGTCCAGGTTCTTACACTTTAACTCGTTCAGGACAGACAACTGGGGAACACAAGTGTGAGGAGTAGTTGTTGACACAAGCTTTAATCTCAGGAGAAAGATTTTTGATATTTAGATAAAAGCGATATAAACATGCTGATGTGTAATTACTTCATTGTTGAGGCTTTCTCGCTGAATTGAGGGATCTTTACAGCAACAGTCTCGTTGGTGTCCTCTTTGACACATTTGAGCACTTCTCCGAAGGCTCCCCGTCCCATTAATTTCTGCAGCGTATAGTTGCTGGGGAGGAGGTCGCCTTTGTTTAGGACATGAATATATGGATTGTATGAGAACCACATTACACACACAATGAGACGGCAGTAGAAGTGAGAGTTCACTTACACTTTGGTTGTTTCATCACATCTTTAACAGTTTTCTTGAAGAATATCCAACTTTCAATATGAGAAATTTTGAAAAAAAGAGCAGCAGCACATGCTTTCTGTTCATAAACGCATCTTCATATTGTATCTTGAAGTTCTCACATACTTTTTCTACATGAGGGAGAAACAAACTGACTTACCAGCATCACGAAGGATTTGTCGAGTCGATCAGTCGAGTTGGTTCGATTTGTCGACAGGTTGGTTTCGTTAGGAGATCAATATGTCTTCTCTGTCCACTTGTTAACAATAAAATGACAAACTGACAAGCAGCAGCAGAACTTGTGTGACATCAGTTCTAGAACATCAGGATGATGCGATGTGTTCTGTCTATGTGCCAATAAACATGGTTCTGAATATGCTAATTAGGTACAAGTACATTTTGATTTATTTTATATGTTTATCAAAAAAGTCTTTGTTTACTGAGGGAATAAATCAAGTGAGAAGTAGAGTCATTTTCTCATATACTCCTATACAATCAGACCTTTTGAAACCAGAGGAGTGACCCCCTGATGGATAGTAGACAGAATGAAAGTTTAATGTTCATATTGTGTTTTATTGTCTTGCTGCAGATTTCAGCCTGATAGTAAGGGCCACCTACAGCTGTGGTTGGTCCAAGTGTGTAGAGAAGAGAGACAGATCCCACCTCTACAAACACTGTCTATTGTGTGTGTAATAGTATGTGACACAGTGCTCTTAAAGTCAATTTCAAAAAGCCCTCACTGAGGCTATTAGAGTAAAAAGCTGAAATGTAATGTCAAAATGATGGTTAACAAAAAGAGAAATATGCTCTGGATCCATATCGGTGTGAATTGTTTGTCAAGTGTTGAACTCATTTGCTAAAACAATAAGTGCAGAATGCATTAATTAAAATGATTTGGTTTATTAGCAACTACACAAGTTAGCGTTGCAACTGTCAAAGATGCGGTCAAGAAACTTCACAGATGTGTAATTGAGATCAAATGAAGGTCGAGTTCAAAGATGGGTGTGGTCTGAGCAAGGCACCGGAAGTAGAGGGGATAGGAAGTGGGGTTGGGTCATTGCCCCCTCCCCCATACATCATGCCCCTTGTTCAATTTTGCATCTCAGCTGATGATCTCTAGTGTTATGTCACAGCCTTATGCTAAAATTGTGTAATTGTATTTCCTCAACAATCGCAATCCCTCAATACCCCATAGTGACATCACTTAAAAGGGACTTGAGAAATGCTTGACAGTATATTAAAAAGAAAATTATTCAGACCCATCACTCAGTTATTAGTTGAAGCACCATGGCAGCGGGTATGACGCAAGGAGCTATGCATACATGGAGTTTGGGCTTTTCTGCCATTCGCTGCAGGTCCTCTCAAACTCTGGCAGGTTGGATGGACAGCCATTTTAAGGTCTCTCCAGAGATGTTCGATTAGGTTCCAGTCCGGGCTGTGACCTGGCCACTCAAGGACATTCAGACTTGTCCCTAAGCCACTCCTGTGTTGTCTTGGTTGTGAGCTTTGGGTCATTGTCCTGTTGGAAGGTGAACCTTCAGCCCAGTGTAAAGTCCTGAGTTTTCTGGACCAGATTTTCAGAGGAGATGTATGTGCTTCGCTCTATTCAGCTTTCCCTCAACCTTGACCAGGCCCCCAGTCCCTGCAGCTGAAAAACACCCCATCATATTGCCCAGATGATTTTTGTCTGGCCACTCTGCCATGAAGGCCTGATTGGTGGAGTGTCGCAGTGATGGTTGACCTTCTGGAAAACTACTCCCATCACTACTCAGGATTTCATGTGCTCAGCCAGAGTGACCATCAGCACCAAACTTCTTCCATTTAAGAATCACGGTCACCACTGTGCTCTTGGGAACCTTAAACTCAGCAGAATTGTTGTAGCATTTCTTGCATCGTGCCTCGACGCGGTCTGAGCTCTGCAAGCAGTTTCTTCCCCCTCACAGCTTGTTTTTTCTCTAATATGCATTGTCAGCCATGAGGCCTTATATAGACGGACAGCTATGTGCTTTTCCAAATCATGTCCACTCAATTGGAATTAGGTCAGAGATGATCAAGAAAAAGTGGAGGCACCTGATCTAATTTAGGATTTCAGTTATTTAAGTTGTTTCATTCTGCTGGGCAACAATTTCGACACACTGGAAGGGGCGGTTCACACATTTCACACATGAAGGCCAGTTTACTGGTCATAGTGAGCACTACACAGCTTGTGAAAAGTTCCAAGTCTCAGAAAATATACCCGTTGGTGTCATAATGATCGGGGTTAAAGGGAAACGTATTGCTGATACATCAAAATCTAAATAATGTGGGAGAAAATACGATTCCCTTTAAAACGTAATTAACAATGCAGTTTAGTTGTATGGGAACATCATTTTTAGGAGGCTGTTGCCTGGCAAGCAGGGTTGAATAAAATTAGATTTGTTCCATTATGGGCCATGTGGTAGTCATGGCCCATAATGGAACAAATCATGGTAACCCTCAATTTACAGAACTCTTGCAAGATGGTTGAGGTTCAGCATTAACATCGAATGGTTAAGGTTAGAGCCCCCCAACAACAGGTTTATCCAGTCATACTGGAACATTTTGATCTGAGGTAAAATTACATAATCAATGTGTGAAAAAACAACCCCTATGATAGTTAGCCCACGGACTACAGCCACCTCGCCCGGACCAGGGAAACCGGGGCACCCTCCCGGAGCCAGACCCAGGAGGGGAGCTCGTAGGCGAGCGTCTGGTGGCCGGGCCTTTGCCCATGGGGCCCGGTCGGGCTCAGCCCGAATAAACACCATGGAGAAGCCACCCTGTGGACCCACCACCCGCAGGGACAAGCATCGGGGTCGGGTGCTATGCAGACAGGGCGGCAGGTCGGGCGGGAGGCCCGGGCATGCCGATCGCCGGCGGCATAGACTAGCTCTAGGGACGTGGAACGTCACCTCGCTAGCGGGGAAAGAGCCGGAGCTGGTGCAGGAGGTGGAGCGATACCAGCTAGAAATAGTTGGACTCACCTCCACACACAGCGTTGGCTCTGGAACCAAGCTCCTGGAGAGGGGTTGGACTTTGTCCTTTTCCGGAGTTGCCCAGGGTGAGAGGCGCCGGGCGGGAGTGGGGATACTCACGAGCCCCCGGCTGAGCGCCGCTGTGTTGGAGTTCTCCCCGGAGAGCGAGAGGGTCGCCTCCATGCGCCTACGGGTTGCGGGGAGCAAGGCTCTGACTGTGGTTTGTGCTTATGCACCAAACAGCAGTTCAGAGTATCCGGCCTTCTTGGAGTCGGTGGGAGGGGTCCTGGAAAGGGCGCCGCCTACCGACGCCATAGTTGTCCTGGGGGACTTCAACGCTCACGTGGGCGATGACGGAGAAACCTGGCGGGGGGTGATTAGGAGGAACGGCTTGCCCGATCTGAACCCGAATGGTGTTTCGTTATTGGACTTCTGTGCTTGCCATGGTTTGGCCATAACGAACACTATGTTCGAACATAAGGTGGCTCATAAGTGTACCTGGTACCAGAACACCTTAGGCCGGAGATCAATGATCGACTTTGTAATCGTATCATTTGATCTGCGGCCGTATGTCTTGGACACTCGGGTGAAGAGAGGAGCAGAGCTGTCAACTGATCACCACCTGGTGGTGAGTTGGATCAGATGGCAGGGGAACCGGTCGGAAAGACCCGGCAAACCCAAACGTGTAGTGAGGGTGAACTGGGAACGTCTGGCGGAGGACCCTGTCCGGGAGGTCTTTAACTCCCACCTCCGGAAGAACTTCTCACACATCCCGAGGGAGGTTGGGGACACGGAATCCGAATGGACCATGTTCAAAGCCTCTATTGTGGACGCGGCCGCTAGGAGCTGTGGCCGGAAGGTCATCGGTGCCTGTCGTGGCGGCAACCCGAGAACCCGGTGGTGGACACCGGAGGTGAGGGAAGCCGTCAAGTTGAAGAAGGAGACCTTCAAGGCCTGGTTGGCCCAGGGGTCTCCTGAAGCAGCTGACAGGTACCGGCAGGCCAGAAGGGCTGCAGCTGCGGTGGTCGCGAATGCTAAAACTCGGGCATGGAGGAGTTCGGGGAGGCCATGGAGAAGGACTTTCGGTTGGCCTCAAGGAGGTTCTGGCAAACCAGCCGACGGCTCAGGAAGGGAAAGCAGGGCTTACCCCAGGCTGTTCTCAGCAGGGGGGGGGGGGGGAACTGCTAACCCGGACGGAGGACATCGTCGGGCGGTGGAAAGAGCACTTTGAGGAACTCCTAAACCCGACCAACATGTCCTCTGCAGAGGAGGCAGCGCCTGAGGACCCAGGAGGAGGCTCACTCATATCCCTGGCAGAGGTCGCTGAGGTAGTCAAAAAGCTCCTTGGTGGCAAGGCGCCGGGGGTGGATGAGATCCGCCCTGAGATGCTGAAGGCGCTGGACATGGTTGAGCTGTCCTGGATGACACGCCTCTTCAATGTCGCATGGGGGTCGGGATCAGTGCCCATGGAATGGCAGACCGGGGTGGTGGTTCCCATCTTCAAAAAGGGGGACCGGAGAGTGTGCTCGAATTACCGGGGTATCACACTACTCAGCCTCCCGGGGAAGGCTTATGCCAGGGTGCTGGAAAGGAGGCTCCGACCGCTTGTCGAACCTCAGATTCAAGAGGAGCAGTGCGGATTCCGTCCCGGCCGTGGAACAGTGGACCAGCTCTTTACCCTCGCAAGACTACTGGAGGGGTTCTGGGAGTTTGCCCAACCAGTCTACATGTGCTTTGTGGACTTGGAGAAGGCTTTCGACCGGGTCCCTCGGGGGGTCTTGTGGGGGGTGCTGCGGGAGTATGGGGTGCCGGACCCGCTACAACGGGCGATCCGGTCTCTGTACGACTGCAGTAGGAGCTGTGTCCGCATTCTCGGCAATAAGTCAGACACGTTCCCGGTGGGTGTTGGCCTCCGCCAGGGCTGCCCTTTGTCACCGGTCCTGTTCGTGATTTTCATGGACAGGATATCTAGGCGCAGCCTGGGGGCGGAGAACGTCAGTCTCGGGGGTCTCGGGATCGCTTCTCTGCTATTTGCAGATGATGTGGTCCTGTTAGCCTCCTCGGATCATGACCTCCAGCATTCACTGGGGCGGTTTGCAGCCGAGTGTGAAGCGGCGGGGATGAGAGTTAGCACCTCCAAATCTGAGGCCATGGTTCTCTGCCGGAAACCGGTGGATTGCTCCCTCCAGGTGGGGACGGAGTGCCTACCTCAAGCGAAGGAGTTCAAGTATCTCGGGGTCTTGTTCACGAGTGAGGGTAAGATGGAGCGGGAGATCGACAGACGGATTGGTGCAGCAGTAAAGCAGGCGCTGCACCGGACCGTCTTGGTGAAGAGGGAGCTGAGCCGGAAGGCAAAGCTCTCAATTTACCACTCGGTCTACGTTCCTACCCTCACCTATGGTCACGAACTCTGGGTCATGACCGAAAGGACAAGGTCGCGGCTACAAGCGGCCGAAATGAGTTTCCTCCGTAGGGTGGCCGGGCTCAGCCTTAGAGATAGGGTAAGGAGCTCGGTCATCAGGAGGGAGCTTGGAGTAGAGCCGCTACTCCTTCGCGTCGAAAGGAGTCAGCTGAGGTGGTTCGGGCATCTAATTAGGATGCCTCCTGGACGCCTCCCACTGGAGGTTTTCCAGGCACGTCCAACTGGGAAGAGGCCCCGGGGAAGACCCAGAACACGCTGGAGAGATTACATCTCCCAGCTGGCCTGGGAACGCCTCGGGATCCCCCAGAATGAGCTGGAACATGTTGCCGGTGAGAGGGAGGTCTGGGTCGGCCTGCTTGACCTGCTGCCACCGCGACCCGACCCCGGATAAGCGGTGGAAAATGGATGGATGGATGGATGGATGGATGGGAACGTCATTTTTAGGAGGCTGTTGCCTGGCAAGCAGGGTTGAATAAAATTAGATTTGTTCCATTATGGGCCATGTGGTAGTCATGGCCCATAATGGAACAAATCATGGTAACCCTCAATTTACAGAACTCTTGCAAGATGGTTGAGGTTCAGCATTAACATCGAATGGTTAAGGTTAGAGCCCCCCAACAACAGTTTTATCCAGTCATACTGGAACATTTTGATCTGAGGTAAAATTACATAATCTATGTGTGAAAAAAGATCTGAAGAAATAAGCCCAAAGGTAGAAAAGGTTTATTACTGAAAAGGCATTGAAACATTCCCTTTGAACTGGTAAACAAGTCATCAAGTCAGAATTACATTCTCAGAAGGTAGCTTCCAGCTTGGTCACTTCCAGCTATTTACACCGTGTTGCAGCTGTGCAGGCAGTCTTCTATACAGCTTTGTGCTCAAACAGAACAGAACTTTATCATTTTACTCTGAATGAAAATGGTACAAAAACGTGGGTATGTATATCATAAGTGATACACAACTGTTCCTCCTTTTACTAACTCATGCAGGAAAGCCTTGGACTCTCAATACTCACAAATGAGAAACTTCTCTAAGATGGAGCTCTCTACAGATATGAATAATGCATCATCAATATAAAAGAGGAGATTCAATAAATAATGAATACCATTGCTCCAAATATTGTGAAACCGCCCGGTCTCATACATCTCACAACCACTTTAGTATTTTGTGTATTTACAGTGAAGAGGGTTCGTTAGATGTTTTATGTCACATGGTGAAGCTGATATGAACTGCAGGAGGTTTGTACACATTTGAGAAAGTTGTCTGAATACAAATAGTTGTCATGGAGGAACATATGTAAGCTTTGGGGTTTGAAGAACAGTTCTGGACACCCATGCAACAATCCAACAACTAACGAGGGTCTAGAACAACCTTGGACCTGAACGCAAGCCTGCCAGTGTAGCAGAGGAAATCTTCATACAAAACTAAGAGCAACGGTTTAGTAGAACGGTTTAGCTCTTGTGTTGTGTGTGTCACACCGTTTCTTTTCTTATAGGTATAATCTAAATTGACTGTTTAATGAATTGTAACTATTTCATATTAATGTGTCAGTGTTGTTCAGCATGATGTGATGTTTTTTTAACCCATTGAATAAATTAGTTGATTTGTTCAACAATGTTTGATGTCCATTTGTCCGTTTGCTCTTCACTGAATAAGGTCAGTTGGGTCTCTGTGGCTCCATAAGTTAATGGTGGTTTATCGGTCTGGTTTTAAAGCGAGACTTTGTAACTATTGAACGAAGGTATAACAGAATCCTATTCGAAAATGAAAGCTGGACTCATAAGCAAATCAACACACTTTTGCTCAATTTCAGTACACTACTTTGTCTGGTATGACCAGTCTATGGTGGCTAATGCATGTGTACAGATGCTAAAGCCCTCTGAGGCAAATTTGTGATTCATGATTTTGGGCTATACAAAATAAATTGAATTGAATTAAATATTTCCCAAACTGTACTGGCAACTGCTTCATCCTACAGTAAGTAGCGTAGTGAGGAAGAGGAGTTGAGCAGAGTGGCACAGTCAGGGGAAATATAGGACGTAATTATAAGTTCAGCAATGAGAAACATTTCAACTAGTGTGGGTAGATATTACATGTGGGGTCACAAACACTGAAACACTGACTGCTTGTAGTTGTTGAGGATTAAAATGGCTTAAAGGTAAAATTGAAGATTTTAGAAAGTAGAGCAGTAATATAAAATTATTTCAATATAGGTTTTTCTCTGTGTTCATAAGTCCAGGATGATTTTAGCCTAGCTTATTACAAAGACTATTTACCAGAATGTTGTAGTTCTTTAAAATCTTAGTTATCATAGCGTCGATATAAAAAATGTCCATACCGACTGTCATAAACCCACATTACAAACCTGGTAGGAAATGAGGTAAAGCTGCTCGTTGGGATGAATGTTCCCAATACAGCATTTTCTTTCAAGGTGACTCTCTATGAAGGTAAACACATTGATACAATTATAATAAATAAATAAGACAAAGTGTGGGCATTCTCTCCTGGTCTGTGGTCCTCAGTTGTCTCCTGCAGTCCTCTCCTCTGCTCTTCAGTTCCTGTGTGCTTCTGCAAAACAAGTCCAATAAGTTTGGCAAATGAAGAAACAGCAGCATACTGGTGTTCTGCTCCACAGACTAAAGCCAAGTTCATCCGACAACTTGCTGTCCTGTAATCGGGAGTCTTGAAGTCGTTGTGGTTTTCACAGTACATGACTGACTGGAGATAGGGGGTCACACACTACAACATCTTTCATATGGAGTAATCTGTGACGGTCTCCAAATTACGTATTATCCTAATCACACATGCGATAAGTGACACGGGAAATTACGTAATACCATGCAGATTTTTCGGTTCCAAAAATAGAAACAAATGCTCCAAGTTGTTTGTGCTTCTCTTCTAGTCATGCTTGTTGATGTTGCGTTCTGGCTCAATTGCAATCCGGACCTTTCACCATAAATACAGCGGCAAGCTTCGAGACGCGTATCTTGTCTGCAGTCATACTGTACCTTCCAGGGCCCCGCTGTGCTGCTGGAGCTGGCTGGTGAAGAAGCGTTCCCTCTGGGACACCTGCTCGTCCCAGGCCTCCAGTATTTGCCGTTGCTCCCTGGGCTCCAGGGCCAGGGTGTCCGGGTGGGCCTCGTCGATGTGGGCCATCACTCCCTCCAGGCTGTGGGAGTATTGCAGCTCCCCACACACCATGCACACCAGCAGCTGGTTGAGCGGATCGTAGTCCATGAGGTAGCGGTTCCTCCACACGGCGTCTGAGACAGGACCTTCCTCACCGTTATTATTCTCATAGTCGGTGAACAGAAGCTCTGAATCATCTGAAGTTGAAAGAGAAAAAGTTTTGTGCCAATTTGTCCGTTTTGAACCATTTAGGCGGTTCAAAGTGACATAGTTGATACTTCACCTTCGACTGCTGCTGTGTAACCTGAGAATGAAAATGATACCGGGTCGGTGTCCTCTGAATTGCTGAAAAAGAGAGCAGTAGTTACATTCATTATTATCCCACATTGAGCCTGCAGCAAATCTGATTTGATGTCAGTAATACTAATTTCCCACCTCACTCGATGTTCAGACTCCTCAGAGGAACTCACCCACTGACCAGAATCCTACAGTCAGAGAGAAAAAGGTTGTGGTTTGAGAAAACATAATGACTGCGATAGACAAACTTCATGCTTGAATCAAAACATACGCGATTTGTGAACAGACATCTCATCCCGCAAACATACAATTATCTTCCACTTCAGCAGGAATGTAACCTGAGTGGTGTTTTGTTTTGACTAATGTCTGTTCTTCATCATTTAATACGACCATAATAAATAGACAGAGTTTTTATATATAGTATACCTGTGTTTGTGGGTCCTGGGCAGGCAGAATGGGCTTCAAGTTGTTGGAGGTTCTCCTTGGGCTGACTCCTTTGTCCCGAATGGCCTTCCTGGCTCTCTGTTCCTTCTTTTTTATCCTCCAGTACTCCCTCTTCCTCCTCAGAAAGTCCTCCTCAGACTCCCCTGGGATGGGCTTTGGTGGAACCATGGAGGTTATAGATGCCAACTTGGTAGGAGTATGTATCATATGTGTGAGACTCTGCAGCTGAGAACAAGGGATCTTTATTGGACTGAGGGTGGAATTTAGAGTTAGAGGGGGTTCAATGGGTTGAAAGTTGATGCTGGACAGTGGGTTGTCTGGGGGCTTCAGAGTAGGGAGCGAGGGGGCCAAGTCCAGGTCTGTGCTTCTGGACATCCACTTTCGTGAACTTGGCATGGCTTGTTGCAGATTCTCATGAGCTCCTTGACAGTCGGACACGATCTGTGAAGGTCCAATGTTCACATGGCTCTGCTTACTTCTGGGTGAACAGGAGACACTGGTGACGGGCAATTTGAACTGGAGTGTGTCAGGTGACTGTTCAGCATTGCATGCTGTTGGGCTAACGAGCAGGACAGAGGGGATAGTGGTCACTGCAGTCAGAGAAGCTAGGGAGGGCTTGGGCTGGAGGGCTGGTTTCCCTGGAGGATTTACACCCTTAACTGTGTTCATAGTAACAACACCTGAAGCCTAAAAGACAACAATATGAACAGGAAAAAAATTATTTATCTCAGTTTTTCACAGGGAAGCACAATTAAATACAGCAACCAGACAATAATCTTTCTGAAACATGCACATATGTGTTTGACCCTAGCTAAACTAGGCCCCTCTCCGTCACACTCCTCTCTATTTTTGCTGTTCAAGTGTCAAATGCCAGACAGAGGTTTGTGGTGTAATGACTCAGGTTTCAGCTGGAGAGGGCACAGGCCATGTCGACAAACCTTGCACTCTTTGTGTTCACCAACAAGCCTCAAGGCAGGCACTGGTATCTTAAGCTACAAATTCAGTATAATCAGGGTTCATCATCTATTAAGGGTTGCATCCGACAGTGCTGCCCAGCAAATAGCTTCTTGGTGCTCCTGAGCTATTTGCACAAATTTAAATGAGGTGATATGAAGACATGTAGTGTAAAATATGCAAATTGTGGATATGCAAATTAGCCTAATTGCAAAAACAAAGCTAATAGTCACATGCACTTTAGAGAGTTGGTGGTAACTGAAGCGCATTCATAAGGTGTGTCACACAGACTTTCCAGTGATCATGGCTGAACTTAATGTTCTTGCTCATATGAATTTATAGTGAGCCAAAATTGCTGTTAGCCGCTGTTTCACAAATTTCTATAAATCAATAGTTTCTCATTGCTAAAACAAATCCACTGCCTGGGTAACAACTACTGTTCACAATTGAATACTGTGGTATTTCAACAAAGGCTGATTAGCATACTGTTAGCTTTCAACAACAACTAAATATCCTTAGCCATTGGCCTATCGTGAAAGTCTCATTATTTTAGCTGCTGTCAAATGGAACTCGTGACTCTCGACTAGACATTATATTAACAAGTTCTCAATATGTTTGGTATTCCAGTGGATTAAGCATGGAGATTACTGTTGCTAGGTGACTGACAAGAAAGCCGACATTGCCGTTTCCTTTTTGAGAAAACATAATTTTGTGGTGTCACGCTTGGAAAATGAAAGGAGTAGACAACAACAGTAATTATTAAGAGTCAAAAGTAAGTTCCATGGGCTCAAGCTGTTTTGAAAACACACCACAATTCCGTGGAAAAAGTCAACCCATAAATTGTGAATGTGAAATCAGTGGGTCTGGTAGAACGAAACAGTGTGAAAACTTCACATTGTGATTATGTACCCAAAATTATCAGGATACTGCTAAAATGTGCTGAAAATGTTCAAAAAGTACAGTTATACAAATACTGAATCGCCCTTTGAGGCTTATCAAAATGTAACTGTTGAAGTACTTCAATTTGGTAAAAAAACCTCAGTGTCATGTTTCAGCTTTTTAGAAAGAAGGGGTGAAACAAACGCACATGCTATTGTAACAGAAGCCAGCTAGCAAAGGGAGCAGGACTCCAGCTTTGTAAAGTGATTGATTGTTGCTTCTTCTAAACTTTTCCCCCCATGACTCCTTAACTCCGTCTAAGTTCAATATTAGCTACTTGTTACAACATTGACACAATGTTTCAACATCTACGTGTTGCGGATTGAACAAAATGATCATTATTCACATGTGTCACATCACCTGAATGTTTTTCTGGGAGAGACGACTGCTGCATTCTCCCTGTCTGTCCCTCTGCCTGGCCCTTAACCTGGCCCTTTGCTGCCTCTTCATCAGCTTCCAGTACTCCCTCCTCCTCTGCAGGCTGAACAAACCGCTGCGCTCGGTCACCACACTGAGATATCCTTGTTCTGGTCGTGAGTTGCTGTTTCGGCATTCTTCCTGTGCCTGACACTGTTGTTCACACTGTTGTTTACAGTGTTGTTGCTGTGGTTGATCCATGGGTAGGTGATGTAGCTTTGGCGGCTCTGGGGAACAGCAGCTTTGATGGTCTGCTTTTTTGGTGCAAAGCCTCTGGGTTCTGCGTGGCAAAGAGGCTTCCACGTTGGGGTTTACTATAAAGTTCGAATGGGTTTGGGATGAGTGCTCGCAGGTGGGAGGCAGGACTACCTCGCTAGAGGTTGGAAGAGGTGGGAGTGTCTCGCTACTTTGGGATGAGTCCTTGAGATGAGGGCTTGGTGAACATGCCTGTACCAAGGCATCGGAATCCGGCGGCCAGCTTTTTATCTCCAAAGTCAAGTCAGCAGCAATAGGAGCCAACTCATTCTGAGGTAAATTTGGCTCCATCTCTTGCTCTGAGGCCTCTTCCGCTGACTCTGTTTTAATGGCAGTCTGCTCACTGCTACACTCTGTCACTGAACTAAGTGATTCTTCCAGGAGTTTCTTCATAGAGGCTACGGCTAGCAGAGTGGTAGCTTGGCTGTCTGCATTTAGAGCTGGGTCAGGCTCCGCATGAGGCACTGGAGGTGGTGGTGGGGAGGTTGGGGCTTTGATATCTGGACAGATGGCTTGTTCTTGTTGAGAATTTAGGTCAACTTCTGGCATAGACTCACTCTCTTGTTTTATCTCATTTGCATGTGGCGTTACTGGCACACTGTTGTTGGGGAGAGCTTGTGCATTTCCTGTCTGGTTAGGAAGACTTCTGCCTGGTGGTGTGGTTATTGCTACTTGCTTCTGGGCCCTCCTCCTCTGTAAGGTCGCACTGGCCCTGGCCTGTAAGACGCCCTGCTTCAATCGAGCAGCACGAGCTGCTCGCTGCTCTCGCTTCTTTATCCTCCAGTACTCCCTTTTCTTTGCCATCCTCTCCTCCTCTGTCAACTCTGAATCCAGAGAGAGCGCCAACAGTGATGTTGCATTACTTGAGATGGCCATCTTCATGACACAGCCCCCGATGTTGGACCCCGCTGTTGATTCTCCAGAAACGGCATTTTGAGGGGTTTGAGGATGAGTGAGTGTGAGCTGACTAACGGTTTGGATTGCTAACTTGTGTGGATTAGGAACCGCTATGCTTTCAAATTGAGTCTTTTGTCTGATTGGGAATAGTTTTGGAGGCTTGTTGACTGACTGCCCAGCAAGAGGAAAAGAGACTTTCACCTGAGCTGGGCAGAGGGGAGGAGGGGGCTGGTTTACACGAATGGGTGTTATAACTCTTCGTTTCGTATTAGGTTGGTGCTGAGGTTTTGTAATGGGGGTGTTATTAGGAACTACATGACACTCTGTGTTGTGATCTGAAGGAACCTGGGGAATGTTAATGGTCACTGTCCCGTCCTCCTTGATGAACCCTCCAATGGTCTCAGAGGCGTGGGTAAGGCCGCTTCCTGCTGACTGGGCCAGTGCTCTGGCCCTCCTCATCTCCTCCAGGATTGACTGGTAACGTTTCACTCTTCGCATCAGAGAGTCCCTGTCCTTCAACCGAGACTTCACTTCCATCGACAGCTTAGCTCGCTGTTCGCGCTTTTTAATCCGCCAGTACTCTCGCCGTTTGGCTATTATCTGCTCAGGCGTGTCGTTGGGGTCGATTTGGGGGAAATTTCTGGTACCAAAGACTGAAGCAAGTAATGGGGATTTACATCTTATGTTTCTTTGAATCATGAAATTCTTCTGGGCATCGATGAACCTCTGCCTAGGTGTTTTACATCGTGCTATCCCTCGAGCAACATTAGAAAGATGTATATAACCTGTAAACTTTCTCATCGACTCTCCTGGCTTTCTTAAAGAAATAGAGTCACATGTGATGGCTGTCTGTGTTGTCCTGTTCCCATGTGGATTTTGTACCTTAATCCGATCTGCTTGCAGGTTAACTGTAGCTAAACTTCCTGCCCCACTTTGCCGTTTATCATTTTCCCTTTTGGCAGATGTAAATGAAGTTTTGACCTGAGTAGGACACTGTATCAGGGCAGCTCCTCTCAAAAACGACTGAGATGGAAGATGCTGAAGAATCTTGCCTCCCACAAGTCCTGTTTTTTGTCCTGTTTGCCTCCGAAATGTCACCTGCACGCTCTGCGTCCTTTCTCTGGCTTTAGCTATCTGAGCTGCCAGCTTTGCCCTCTGCTCTCGCTTTTTGATCCGCCATTGCTCTCTGCGCTTGGCTGCTCTCTCCTCCTCTGGCTCTGGGGAAGAATGGGAGTTGCTAACACCTTTGACCCTCTGCAAGGTGACCAAGGCACTCTTTGTTCCTCTTTGAGGTGTTGCGTTCGCTGTTCTGCCCTCTGTCTTTATAGTGTCTGGCACACATTGTGAAGACATAAGAATCATGCCTGTGGTCACATTGGTGGGTAAGAGTTTGGGCTGAATGCGTAACCCAACTTGTGCCTTATGTTGTGTTTTGGGGACTGATGCGTCCTGCATAGACACACAGGACTGAGGCGTTGTTTCAGCGGAGCTGCCATTGGTAGTTCTGGTCACTATGAATGGAGGCACTGAGGAACGGGTGTTCAACTGGGTTCCACTGGGTGTGGGTGAGGTAACGGCTCTGCTCACAGCACGCCTCGCTGTGGCTGTGTTGCCCCTAGCAGCTTTGGCTGAGATGGAACATGATGCTGGCAACTGATGCGAGACCCTGTCAAGTTTCATTGTATGGAGCCACTTCTCCTTTTGGTTTTCAGTGGCTTTAACTGAGCGGCCCCCGACTGTATTTCCACTCTGTGACGCAGAAGAGACAGCAACTGTTTTGCATGAGTCATTACTCTGCAAAGGAGAAGAGAAAGCAACAAAAGGGACGGATAAAGTAGAATTTACCACTGCAGGGGCATGCAGGTGTAGGAGCTTTCCGCCTTGCGTTCCCTTGCCTCTGCGCTCCGTCAGTCGGGCCCTCTGCTCTCGTTTCTTGGTTCTCCAGTATTGTCTCTTTTGGGTGAGGGTGGCATCATCGTATTCTGAGGCCGGCCGGTAGCGGTGGGACGTTGAACCACCTTTATCTTTTGCAGTTGGCATCGCCAGCTTGGACGGCCCATCAGTTCTCATCCAACAGTGCTGGTTGGCTCTTCCCTTGTCGCGCTGATTCAATTCATCCCGTCAGTCTAGAATCCTCGCTGGCATCAACTTACATGGTGTCCTTCTACATGATGTTTTGCTCTGCTGAGCGGCTGCTAAATCTCGCGGACATCACATCGGTATGCGGGTGTCCTGACGAACAGAAAGAAAGTGTTAATTGCATGTTACTTTGTAATAAACTTGGTAACAGTGGAGTGACCTGAAGCAAGAATCTATCAAACAGGTAGTAGCGAAAACATTTCATGCATGTGTCTTTAAAAAGGAGATCCCCGGCCTTCTGAGGACAAAGTGGACACACTGATAAGATGTAATAAACCCAGTGGCCATTTCATTAGTTACACCTGTTCAATCAATTCAATCCAACAACTCAGCCCTAAATTCAATCCTAATATTATAATGCTTAGGATATTGTTTACCATTTGAATATAATGTTGTCCAGTACAACAGCAACACCAGCTACGACCTCAATAATAAACATATAGTTGAATTAGCACTTCTTGGAACATTACTATCTTTGTAGAGAGAATATGGGGCAGAGCTGTGTTACTGGATCACATTAGATATCTCGTTAAGTGAAGATCATCAAACCATTAATATCCAAAAAAACATTACTTTTTCACATGTAACATTTACATGTTAAAGGCACAAGATGTGACGAATTCTCATTTCAGCCCACTGTGGTTTTATCACGTGAAACATTGTAAATGCAATACGTTCACATTATGCGATTAAAACCATTTGTGATAATACTCGGTTCACTTTGTAACTTTACTCTTAATTTTTCTTCTACTCTTTTACTAAAACAATATCACATTTGAGCTCATGCAAGTGTTCCTATTCAGAGACCCTTGTTCAAATGGTTTACATGCTAATCAAAAGACAATGCTACTAAGACCAAGACACCCATCTCCTCTCTCACAACACGATTTCCACGTGAGGCAGAGTACAGCTTATAGTTGGCTAAATCTTATAATGTCACATTTTAACATATGAATATTAAATACCCCGTCCAACGGCATCGTTGGTGATATAAACACGTCGCGTATATGTAGAAATGTGTAGCCTCGCGTTGAGCTACAGGAACCAGGAAGGAAGCAGAGTGACACTGTCCCTTTAAACCTGTCCCTTTCTATCACAAATTATATCTGTCGAGAGCCATTTGTATTCTTTATTTTGCGACTATTTGATTGAAAACGCGGCGAAGCGACCGATCTAAAGCGCAAATAGCACATCACACCGAAACGCTGTGGAACAATTGCGACATTTAGGGCGTAAATCGTGCCTAAACCGCTGTCTCTCTCAACGGCACAATGGACAAGCTCTTCCCCCTGTTGTCCACACGGACGGGCGCCTGTCTGAGTCTGCTGCCTGCCTGAAAAGAAGCGAGAAGCCCCGCACATTGTTGTCGTAAAAGCACGACGGTCGGAAACGTGTGGAAGAAAAACATGCATACCCGATACCTTTTAGTTACTCCTAACTTCCCGGGACAGTTTTTGTGAACGTTTTTTTTGGATAGATTCGTTGCCAGGACACTGCAGCTACTTTCCGCCAGCCAGCCGTGCTCTCTGAGGCTGCCTTGACAACGCTGTAAAGTACCAGGATGTGGGACCTCGATGCCTGCTCTGCGTCTGCGTGTGTGTGTGTGCGTTCACTCCGTGGCGTGGACACGCAGAAACAGTACAGCACAACGCCCCCCTCCGTTTCAAAAACCATTAAGTGGCGTTTATGAGAAATAATTTCACTAAATTGTGGCTACGAGCTAATTTGGGACAGGACACACATTCAATAACCAACCAAGAGAACGTTCGGTGACAATGCACAGAGATTACATAAAACTCGTAATAACATATAGCCTTTTACCAATTTGGCGCAGCTGGACAAAGGTCAATTGATTTATTGGCTCTTTCTAGAGATGACCTCATTTCATTTGCAGAACCACCACAGATTGGCCCCGGTGCGATTTGTGGTTTTCAATAATAAGCACAACGACCAAATGGGTACCATTAATTAATAGGCACGTTTGATTAAATAAATGTGTTGTGGCGGGAGTTGGCGTGTAATACAAGAAGTAACCTATAGTAGGCTGATGAATGTCTCTTCAGAAATATTTTTCAAATTATATTTCAAAGCGCGTGAGAGGGGCTCCAACGTCTCTTAGAATTATTATTTTTTTTAATTTGAGTAAATAACATCAAATAAGCAAACGTATAATTAAAGCTGGCCCATTAATCTCTACCAACACAAGTACATTCGGGACACGTTTGTCTCCATAAATCATCTCTAGAGGGGAACACCCCAACAAAGTAATGATATTTTTGATTTCTACAATCATACGACAAACCAATAACACCTGATAAGAGAATGTATGATTAGAGCGTAAGTGCTTAAACGTTGTTGTAAAAACAATATTTATACGCAAAAGGGCAACAAATGTTGACTGTTCCAGCTTCTTGCATGGGCATATTTAAAGGTTTTCCTGTGGTGGTAAACTGAATATTGGGGGGGGGGTCCATTGTTCAGACGTTCAGACAAAGCAAGCATTTTGAATATGTCAATTGGGCTCTTGACCAAAAAGTGGAATGTTTATCAAAGCAAATACTGGGGAGATCAATCAATAATGAAGTTCCCTATGTATAATAGCGCAGGTTGTTGTCTGAATATAGCGTGTTAAAAAGGACTACACAGGATGTGTTTTTAGAATAAAGTAGCCTCCGACCCCCCCTGGATCCCCAGCACAAAATATTATGAGCTCGAGCTCATGGGGCCCTGATTTCCAATGGACCCGCCTCGTTTTTTTAACCGATGCTTTGCCGAACCAACCCGCCTCTACCCTCGCATGATTTTGTGAGAACAACAGCATTAGTATTAGCAGCTTATCAGTATTAGCGCCCGCTGCTCTGTTTGCTCCCCCCGGGGTGGGTGTGCATTGTCGACGCTGCTACTGTCTCTTTAAATTTACCCAGGAGCCCCTTAAGGAGCCCCAGGGGCCCCTAGTCGGCTCCCCACCCTGAAGACAAGCAAGAGCCTTAAAATACATTACTGGAGGCCTGCGCCGAGGCGCTTCTGCTCAGCGCCGGACGGAGGAACGGGCACTAATCGCCGGCGGAATACATGATAGTGTGATTATATGAAAAGTTAACTTGGCTCCCGTGCGGGGCGCGCGTGGGGGGGGGGGGGGGGGGGGGGGGGGGGGACATCGTAGAGGGCTCCTCAGCGATGGGCTCGCGATAGAGCGCCTGCCAGATGCGTGTCGAACGGCGCCCGAGCGGTGCGAAACATGTCACTGTTGTAACGTGTTGTCGTTAGTGTGACATGTCCCGCTTCAGCGCCGCGGTACGGTGAAGGAAGGAGGACCACTACCCACGAGTAGAGCAGCGGCCGGGCCAGTGATGGAAGAGAAAGAACCGGGGGGAAGCGAGCCCGTGGACCTCCGGTGTGCCGAGCAGGCTGAGCTGCTCTCATTAATAATAAGCGGAGAGGAGGAAGCGACGCAAGAGGAGAGTGACTTGGGAGGTAAAAAAAAGAAGAAGAAGAAGAAAAAAAAAAAAGAGTGTTATTATTATTTATTGTGTTTCTCACCGCAAAGAGGGACTGCGTGGCTGTCAGAGCCACGGCCATTGTCAGACAGCCAGTTAATCCGTGTCGGGGACAATGCCATGGAGCAGCATGGCCCCTCTGTCTCTGTGGCTCCTATAAACAAAGGCTCAACAGCACGCAGGCAGGCGGACCCGAGAGACACGCAGCTGCCACCTAGTGGACAGCGGCGGCACAGGCCAACGAATAAACAATAATAATGACTTATTGGAATAAATAACCCGTATTAAATAACACGTAACGTGATATGTACGAAGAATACTTGGAACAGTATGCCAGGTACGTTTAATAAGGAGTAAAAGTGCTAAAAATCAAACAGGGGGAATATGTGAGCCAACAATGACAGCTTACAATATTACATTTTGAGAAAACATCATTCATCCAGAACATGTTACGTTCTGTGATTCTCATGATGCATTTTATATCAAGGGAGACTCACCTGTGTACAACCCCTGTGTGAAAGCATAGACAACAGTACATTTATGGAAACAGCACACAGAGATTGTAGTCCGACCAATACTCATAACAAAGTTATATATAAAATACAATATATACTAACAAGGACATTTTTACGGTGTAGTAAACAGGGTTGATCTGGTTCGTCTCTTGTTCCAGATGAGGACAGTCTTGCCAATGGCCACGGTGAGGAGGAATCAGAGGCCGGCATGGCCACACCGGTCACATCTCCAGGCACCAGCTACTGGAACATCACAGACGGACCGGACCAACCGTTCCTCCTCTCCCCGGTCCCCGGGCCTTCTGGACGTAAACCCAGGGTCCAGAGGGCCTCGCGTCCGGGCCTGAGCCGGATCCCGGGACGGGACCACCGCCGCTACTACCACGAGTACTGGCGCTGTGAGTACCTGATGGACTTCGACCCCCAGCGACACGGGATGATCTGCATGGTGTGCGGCAGCTCGCTGGCCACACTGAAGCTCAGCACCATCAAGAGGCACATCCGGCAGAAGCACCCCGACTCCCTGCTGTGGAGCGCCGCCGACAAGGAGGTCATCCGCTCAGGGTGGGAGAGCCACCTGAGCCTGGGGGGAGTTCAGAGGTCGTACAGCTCTGCCGCTGCGCCGTCGCCTCAGGAGAAAGAGGAGCAGCCGGACTCGGACCAACACGCTGCCGGTGGGTAGGACCCTCGGCTTTAGTTCTCTAAAGCTCACACTTGGGGGCAGTATGGGTTTAGGTCTTGGTATGGTGGAGGAGAGGATGATGTAATGATGTAATGATTCAGTGAGTTGGGGCTGGAGAGGAAAGGACTGTGCCAGGACATGAATGTGCTCAGGTGGCTTATGTTTACATATTTCAGACAACAGAGAACACATTTAATATTTAAATGCTAGATGATTACCCTTCTTCACAATGCAAGGCAAATAAAGCAAACACTATAGCTTAAATTACAAAAAACAACAAAATATGATGAAATAGTTATTGCACTGTGTTCATGTGCCTTTGGGGAAATCTGACATCTGAGATTTAAATTTCAATTCAACTAAAAACCTAGGATACAAATGCACAACAAAAGCAGATGTATGATGAAAAACAAGGTCTGTAAAATGATCCCATTTAAACAATGACATACACATGTTCATCTGTTAGCTTTAGAGGTGTTGGTCGGCATTTTTTAACAAACCCAGGCTGGCGGATTCCTGCTTACAGTCTTTATGCTAAGCTAGGCTAACCACATGTACTCAACACATGGGTATGAGATTGATAACCATTTTCTCATCTCACTCTTAAAAACTGATCAAATAAAGTGTATTTCCAAAACGCTAAACTATGCATTTAACCTAAGTAGCATAGCATTAGCCTTCTGCCACATTTACTTTCCGTACAGTCGGCCTGGAAGTTAAAAGTATCCTGTGGATCATTAGACCGTTAGTAGTGCTACGGACCAATGTGCGCTCAAAGGCAGTGAAGAAGAAGACGGCAGACGGAAGACATTAAAAATGGGCTCTTGCAAGACAGGAAATGCTTCGGCACATTTAGGCTCCAAGGATACTCACATTATGGTTTGCTGAGTAATGCTGAATGTAAACATCACTTTGTTTACAAGACAATTCCACCTTAAATCTTGTTAACTTATCTGAGCTGTAAACAGAATAAGTGCTTCAGGTATGACACATGGTTGATTTTTCAGTTTCATTGATATTAATATCATTCAGCAGCTACATGCAGTGACAAAATGTCTGTTATATACACTGATATCTGTAAACGTTTGCTGATATTTGCTAACATTAGCCACGATAAACTGCTGGTCAAACCAGACCAAGTAAGACCGCAAAAAAATAATGAGTTCAAGAGAACGAGTGTGCTCTCTCCTCTTTGACGGGTCACATCGTTTCACCAACTACATGCAAACTCAGCCTCATCAAAGACCTATTCATGATAACTTTGTGTATTAAAATGTGGCCATTCAAATTATGAGTTTGATAATAAAACTCAAAGAGTTATTATTGCATTCAAGTTGAGTTCCGATATCTTTAAACAGAAGCGCTGTTTTATTGGAGATACTTCCCTACACATCTGTCTCATCATAAAGTAAAGACACCATGCATCATGTACCCGCTCACAAAGGACGTTATGGATCATTGTTTTATTTCCTCTGTGCTAAACAGACGCTCGTACACTCAGGCCCGTAGATAATCATTTAAAAAAGATAGTTTTAAAGCCGTATGTCAGCAGAATCTGAAAACTTCCCCCTGCAGTGGAAGTATCAACAAACGACACAGTGGCCAACAGCCGTGATAAAAGCTCTATATTTTCTAAATACAGCCGAACCCCCGGAGCCGGTGACACCTCAGGAGCAGCCACAACAGCCCCCCAGTCTGCCCCCCTGCTCCGAGGAGGGTGAAGCCCCCCAGCCCCAGGAGGAGGAGGAGGAGGAGCAGGACCTCGCGGGGCCGTCAGCCCGTACCCTGGAGCGCTACCTGAACGACTCGCTGCACGCCTGGTTCCGCCAGGAGTTCCTGATGGAGTACGAGGCGGAGGCCGGCCGGCTGCTGTGCATGGTGTGCGGGGGGGAGCTGCCTTCGCTTCACCTGGATCACATCAAGAGCCACGTGCTGGACATCCACCCCAACTCCTTGGTCTACAGCTCCGTGGAGAAGCACTGCATCCTGCAGGCCTGGGCTCAGGCTCACGGTAGGAACAGGAGACGCAGCAGCGTGTGCACTCAGAAGAGAACAGGAAGTAGATTTCATCCAGAGCAGCTCTAATAATGGGTAGTTTAGTCCATCAGGTCTGTCATCTGATACGTCTGCCACTCACTCTCTATCACTGCTTATCTGAGTCAGCGTTGGCTCCTGATCACTGTCCATGTCAGCGTCCAACAATACCATCAATACTGATGATTTGTTTTTTTTTATCATTGACCAACCTGTAGCTGTTAAATACCAAAGAAGTAATCTCAGTTTATAGTTTAATCTTTCATATGCAATTTGTCGTGTGATTCTCTGCCCCATAACAGATCAGTCAGAAAACTCAATCAAATCAGAGCCCGACACCAAAGAAGGCGGGTTGGACCACTTTGCTCAGGAAGTGAAGGCCACGCAGATCAACGCAGACTTGTACCCGGAAGGCGGCGGCACTTTAACTCAGGATGCTTACTTGATTGCTGAGAACGGAGGCGTCGGAGCTCCACAGCGGGGACCCGGGCCCCTCCGGCAGCCCAGGAAGAGGCGGCTGCACGAGGGCGACCCGTGGCGGCTCCGCCTCGACTACCTGGTGGCCCACGGGCCTCAGGGCCGCGGCGCCTTCTGCATGGTGTGTTCTCAGGTCCTGCACGAGATCAAGGTCAGCAGCTTCCGCCGCCACATCCAGGAGTGTCATCCCGAGACGACGACCCTGAGCCGGCAAGAAAGGGAAGCCATGGCTGCTGCCTGGACCAAAGATTATTCTAGTGAAGGGACGCAAGTTCAAGATGGTGAGAAGCGTTTATCACTGTTAGGGTTACGGTTACTGCTATGGTTACGGTTACTGTTACTGTTACTGCTACGGTTACGGTTACTGCTACTGTTACTGTTACTGTTACTGTTAATGCTACTGCGGTGTAGAAATAGGTTTGTTTATTGAGGTAAGCAGCAGATGACAGGGCTTTATTCCTTATTCTCCTTGATTTATAAGTATAGTTTATGCTATTTTTATTCACCTATTCTCAATAGATGCAACTTTGCCTTTTATTTTACCGATGTTAAGTCACTGTCAATACAACTTGCCACTTCCTGCACAAATATTTCACATTAAAAGCTTTTGACTTACATTTCCACTTAAATTAATTTGGCAGACATTTTTGTCCCAAAAAAAAAAATCTGTGCTTTTCAGACAGTTAGAAGTTCACACAGTACTGGTTTTTAAAGACTTTTATTGTGAAACAGTTGCAGTTAGTATTGCATTACATTTGCAGTAAAAAGGTTATTGGAATTAGTGAGTGAATAAAACTTTATTTTCATTAAAAACCAAACAAATTTACAGTCTATAATAATTGAATTCCTTGAGAAAGTGTAGCGAGTGTTTGATTTGATAAAACAGGATGAATGTCCTGATGGGGATATTATGTTCTTTCTTTTAGACTCATTTGGTAATTTAGCTTGACGAGACAGATTTTCTTACATCCCAATCTTGACACATTGCACTTTTAAGATTTAAATTATGACATAACAGCTTGTGACGAGCGCAAGGCTTTTTTGTTTGTTAGCAGTCAAAGTCAAATGTTTCATTCAGCCTAACTACAGCAGCACCCTCCCTGCTGTGTTCAGCAGAAATCAAGCCGGGCGAAGCCGATGTCCTAAATACCACGGCAGAGACTAACGAGGACGCCTCCCCTGATGTGACGGCGCACGGCAAAGCTGTGAAGAAGGAGGAGGGTGTGAGCGGCGGGAAGGGCAAAGCGAGGGACGACGGCGCCGCGGCCTCCCGTCACGGCCATTACCCCGGGAAGGACCAGCGGAGGAACTACCAGGTGCGCTGGCGGATGGAGTACCTGATGGATTACGACTGTCGTCGACACGGACTCATCTGCATGGTGTGCGGCGCCACTCTGGCCACGCTGAAGGTCAGCACCATCAAGAGGCACGTCCAGCAGGTGCACCCCCACTCCCTGGACTACAGCCCGGAGGAGAAGGAGCAGGCACTGCTGAGCTACAACCAGGCCGCCCTGCACTTCATCCACTCCGACGACTGCTTCTCCTCCCAGGACCACGGACACACCGAGCTGGCTCCAGCTCCAGCACACTTTGGCACTTAGAAATACTGGAATTTCCCCCTTAAATCCGAATCTGAGAGTAAGCAGGTAGCAACTATCACAAAGGAAATGTCACAACTGGAAAAAATGTCATGGTAGAAAAAATGAAAGTCCAGCCCCCTCATTTTGAAACTAAAGAAAACAGTTGACCTCTGAACCTATTACAAATCATGAGGTCCTCAGATGAGGTTCATGTCCATGGGGGGGGTCATCCCTATGTCTGTTCAAATGGCTAAATAATGAAGGGAGATGAGCATATCTAATGCCGTTTGAATGATAGAAATTCAGCCACTGTGGAGATATTGACATCTCAAGTCAAGAACTTTGATTCAAAGAGTCTAACATCAGTACACGATAAGCTGTAGCTGGCTAATTCCTACATATTGACCCAGGGAAACATCCGCTGAACATTTGACCTCAGAAAAAAAGCTTCCTCTAATGGTTCATTGAGAGGATATTGAGCAGGGGATCATGGGAACCCATGGACATGGATACACCTCCCGTCTCTGGCTAGCTAGCATGTTAGCAGTTAACGCCAACTAGCCCTGCCAGTAGTCACTACCCAACCAATCAATCCATCAATCAATAGTCCCTGATACAGAAACAGGGCTTTAGATTTTAAAGCCCCTGCATGAGTGTCTGGGCTTTTATTTTTTCCAACTCCAAATTGGCATAATTGTATGCAATTTCACGACTCCAATTTCATATTATTTTTTATTTATTTCAGGCCCAGGAGGGGTCCTAGAAGGGATCCAGGGCTTGTTTCTGGTCGGGGCCTGAATCTTCCGCTCTCAGGAAGTTAGAGTCTTCGTTGAGGCCGAGGTGAATTAGTTTTACGATAATGTGTCTGAAGACAACACAGCACTTCGTCCCCAAAAAAAGTACTAGACCCGAGCTTTCCTTCTGTACAGCCAATTGAGACTGTGTTTGATGTAATTGCTGAAGACAATGAATGCCAGAGTGCAGTCCCCTTTCTCTCGTCTATTTAATTCCTTGTTTACAGTGGAGGAGAAGGTCACCCATTATAATGAGATATGTTATCTCTCTGTCAGTCTGCTTCCTTTCCATCATCTACATCCTAGCTAAAACTGCACAAAAAATCGAAAATGTAAATATATGAAAAAATAGAATTATTTTTCCTTTATACAAGCACTTTTATGCACCCGAGTTTCTACGTGTTTGTATTTATGTCCAGTTTTTCTACTTCATTCAAGATTTCAATGACATTGTTCTTTAACGGCGGGACGAACGCTCGTTGGACTTTTGTTTTGAAGAGTTTGCTCCAGCTTCGGTTTTTTTCATTCACTGTACAAAATGTGTGCAACAGGAGACGTTGAAGAAAAGCTTTCAGCTGTCAAGAGAAAGAAACACCTGCCATGAAATGTCACGTCTTCACCTGGAAAATGTAACTCAGGGATTCTGTTCTCATCCACAACCATCAATAGTCTTTAAGTCCCATCTGAAGATACTGGATACTAGTGTCAGCGTTAGTTGTGGCGGCGACCGCAAAACAAAAACAAATAAACTGAGATTTCAGTGTATTTTGAGAAAAAAATAATTCCAGAATAAATCTCACGAATGTGAGAAAAAGTCATATTTTGAAAAGAATCTAATATAAGAAAAAATATATTTGGAGTCGGAATAAAGTGAAAATTTTGAGGAAAAAAAGTTATGATTAAAAAAAAAAACAGTCAGTGTAAGATAATGACATTTTAAACAAATGTCATACTACGCAAAAAAAGTCTAATATTAATATTTTGAGGGAAAAGTCGGAACGTTTGGATAATAAAGTCGCAAAAGAACCAAAAAAAAGCCTGTAATAATTTAAGAATAAAGTCCTAATATTTCAAGTTGTAATTTTCCAAAATATGCATCGGACCGTCAGGTTCAAATCCCTCCCAGTGCCCCTGTTACTCTGTTGTACATTGACAGAATTTACTCAGATGAAGTTTTTGATACAAAGTGTAAAAATGAAGGACTCCACTCTGACAGCAGAGAAACGCTCATATTCTCATTTCAGTGGCCCCCACGCCACTCTACAAGACTTCTGAGATAGACAGCACTTAATTTTTCAAAATGAAGTAAGTTACAGTGAAATGAATGATGGAGCATGTGTGTGTGTGTTTATACTGTGTATGTGTATGCTGGTGTGGAGAGACCTCATTTTTCTTCACTCTCACCTTGTCTGCTCACCTTTCATTTGTACATGGCCGACGTGTGACACATGAATTCTCTCCTCCATGATGTTTGAATAAATACTCAACACTGCGAGGCTTCCTGCTGTGGACATTTACTTCTCGTTTTGTTTCCTCTGAATGCTACATATATATATATACAGTATATATACATATATAGATGAGACGCTAATTAAAATTCTGGTTTCAGAATGACTTCCTCATCTCTCCTGTAGGGGAGCTGGAATGTTCTGGCATCCATATACATTTATGCCATACGGTGAACCCCAAACATGAAGCGTTTTTTTAGATATGGATGACTTCTGTCATGGGCACCAGCGGCAAAAAGTATAATAATGATCACAATCTATTTTTACAATAAAGAGTCAAATCAATCAAGTAACAGAAATGAATTAAACTCAAAGGTCCTGATTGTGATCTAATTAACGGATGCAGAAAACATGGTAGCTGTCTTTTAAAATGTATTTTATCACTAATGAACTAACTATGAAATATTGTATCATATGTATGAACATGTTTGGGTTGCCAGGTTGTGGAAAAATCATTTTGGCTGGTGTTTATCCTCCAGAATGACTTAATTCTCATTGGCTGGCTCTTTAATAGAGAGGCAAAGTCCCGCCCCTTCCGATGAACCACCACAGGACCTTTAGTAGAATTAATAAATACAGCAGTAATAATATGTTATCTATAACAGTGGTGGGTCAGCAAAGCCTTCTCTGCTGGCCTAGACAGAATCACAAAGTTATAGCTATTTTATAATTGAATTATTTTTCATAAATACAGTATTCTAAATATTTTTTCCCATTATCTTATTTTCTCATTGCACAGCCTCAGTTGCTCTGCTTCCAGTGCAGCTTGTTTTAAGTAGAGCTTTTATCCAATCAGATTTCACCCCTATGCTGTCTCTAAGTAAAAAAATCTGCCTGGAGGCCTTCAGAATTGTAAGTGAATCCCTTTGCAGTTTAAGTGAATGGGGACAATATTGTTGATTGTCATAGTCTCCAACCAATCAGATCTTTAGTTTGACATGTTGGGCATATTCTTTGACATGTCAGAGCTTCTAGCTGGCCTACAAGTACGTGATCATTAACTTGCGGCTTGATTGGTCAGTGGGCTAGCGTGACTGTTGTGAAACTAGCTAGCAGAACTTTGTAGTAGTAAGAGTTAAAGTTTAAAGATATGTAAGAAGTTTTTACGTGACATTACATTTTTAGCATTTTGCTATGTTTGGCGGTGACAATCCCAATATCTGCTGCCTCTGTCGGGTGGACATTTTCAGCCCTCAAACGCATTAAAACGTATTCAAGAAATACAACTGGGGAGGCTCGACTGTCATCACTGGCGTCCATGACTCGAGAAGGACCTCTGGCTGGAACTGAACCGCACCGATGTTCTGTACAACTGTGTTGTTGAACCCTTTGTAGTCAAAGAAAGGAGGATGGACTTTATCTTAAAGTGAATCTGCAGTAGCGTTACTACTGTGTTCATATATGTTGTCGTTTTTATGATATGGTTAATAATGTTCCCTCTGATGTGAATAATATTTGAATGGTGCCCTTGAGTGTGTGAAGGAATGCGTGTTTTAGTGCCGCAGTGTTGCTGGATTGTGCAGAGGCCTGTTGAATCGTGTTATTTGGGTTTTATGTTATTCTACCTGCTTTGTTGTCATATAAATATATGTGACTGGTTCTTGTCATTGTGTTAATTACATTGATTTTGACTATATGCATTGTCTGTTAATGACGAAGCATCCCGTCATGCTGGCGTCATGAGGTTATTAGGAGGTTCAACTGTAGTAGGACAGCACTGAAGGCCCAGGTATAAAACACAGATCTTTACTAACCTAACCTTTTGATGCCGTTTGAATTATGCCAGGAATTATACAGCTTCTGTGACAAGAAAGTCAGTTTGTCATGATTTTAGCTAAACTTGTCCATCTTCAGACAACTACACTTTTGCAAGGATTTTGTCGCCTTGACAACAGCTCTAAGAAAATTTCAAGCCTAATTTTTCTAATCAAATCACCCAAACTCAAATCAGTTTTTATCCACTGCACCAGACTGCCATCCTGTTCATCTGTAACATAGCTGTAACTTTGTAACGCTTCATTCACTATTTAGGACTTTGACTCTATTATGTAATACCACACAGGCTTTAAATGGGATGTTGAGTCTGCATGTGACTGTTAACATTAATGGTTTTAGTATGCCGGTCTGGTCTAAAATTAGAAACTATAATCCTCTCTCCGCCCAAACACCATAACAGACAGCAGCTTCAAGTCTTATTTTAGATATTTCATCTGGGTGTTTCTTTCATACCTGCAGGCATGCTGAGAAAATATCTCGTTTCTTCACGTCAGAGTCTTTACCCAGTCAGAAGAAAACGCATCCACCAAGCCTCAGTCCTTTGACGTGTTTTTATTAATTTCACTTTGACATCAGTACAGAGACCACAAACTTTTTTATTTTTTTTGACAGTTTTCTACTTTTTTTCCTGCAACATCTTTCCCAAAGCTTCAAAAATCAGAACCAAAGTCATAGCTAATACAAAACAGAGCTGATGTTAGTGAACAACATCTAGACACCAGTAAAGAGTCCAAAGCTAAACTCTCCAGACACAAAAAAAGAAAAGAAAAAGAAGTCAAACACACTCCTGCCACACACACACACACTGCCATACCCAATAAAAACACAGGGACGAACAGGAAAAGGAGAAAAGCAACATGCTGTGAGGGAACAGGTTTAATTCATTTTATATATTACACTCTAAAGAAATAAGCTAGCTATGAATCTGAGGAGTAGTGATCCGTTTAGCCGTGGCGCTGTAGCAAGCTAACGCAGCCTCTCCTGAACTACAGTTAAAGGTGCTGCATATGGGGAAGCTAGTTCACGTTCATAGCGTCACGCTGGTTCAGCCTGAGGGTAGCTGGGTGAACATTAAAGGGTCAGTTCAACCAAAAATATATTTGTAGATTGAATCAGCGACTCAGATTCCCACCTCCACCACAACACAATGGAATGCTCATTGTGAACAGTTTTCCTTGAAACTACGTTTTAAAGAAGAAATAGTCCCAGACTCATAATTCAATGCTGTGAGCACCACAAATGACACCCCATTAGAAATCTTAAAATAAAAAAATAAAACTACAGTTCTAAATGTAACATTAGTTCTCCGAATTCTGGATGACGGGCAGAGACAAGTATGTTCTTTTGTAATTTGGTTGAAATGGCCCTTTAAATCAACTGAACAAACGTCAACCAATACAAATGTGCTCCATTAGCTTGCGTGAAGTTTAGCTTTTAGATGACAACATAAAGCTACAATATGCAACTTCTCCACATTCAAATAAACAGAATGCATAATACATTAGCAGTGTCAGTATTCAGGCCTAACCCCCCTTCCTCACACTTGAAGTCTGCTTCTTTAGCGCCTTTACAGATGCTGCTAACCTGAGGTTAGCAGCATCTGTTGAGTTGACAGCTCATCAACACCTGCCCATTTGAGGGGGCGGCTAACAACTAGCATCTACAACAGAAATGTTACATATTTTGGCTTTAACGCCAGAGTCTGAATGAGACTGCATGCTAGAGGGGTCAACCGAGACACGAGTGAGGCGACCACACAGCGGAGAGCATGCATAGGGAGGAATGTTCCAGAGAAAACATCCAGTACACAGGCAGACGTAGTAGTAGTAGTAATGGGTAGTTGCTGCATTTAGAGGCTGTTCAGTATTCAGGGGACTCCGTGCAAACTTAATTTGGGGCGCAGTGAACTGGACAGCAACACGAACACACTCATTTCCTTCTATATATTCATCCCTTAAAACAATATGGAGACGTAGCAGTGGCCAACATATGACTATGGTTTACCGAGTTCAAAAACACCATTGAAACAGTCACAAGTAATAATCATATTAAACAAAAGTCAGGGTAGAGCATATGATAGCCTATATAAAAGGGTGGGAATCTGTTTCCAGCTTACACTATGACATGCGCTTCATGGCAGTCAAAGAAAAGGAACAAAGTGACAAACTGAGCTCTATAATAACCACTTTAAACCAAAACCGCGTCCATATCCCCAGCTACACTCTTTATTCAACATCGCAACCTCTTAATCTTATTTTACTTCCTCTCGGGTCACTGCTGAGGTTTGTATGGAGTCTAAAAAGTGCCAAAAGAATAGCTAGACTTCGAATTAAAAAAACATTGTAAAAAGCAATTACAAAAACTTAATCTTTAATTTATCCATTTAATTTAGTTTAATTGATTATATTTAAAAGTGAAAGTTCATTCTTCACCCAAAAACAACAAAAAAGGACAAACACATTTGAACTTTATTATTATTATTTTCCAGAGCTGTCAGCCATATGTTAGCCACATCTCTCTGTCGTCAAAGCTCCAGAGAATGTTAGAAAGCAGACTTTTTAATGAATCACGGTGAAAGTCGATATTTATTCTGGTGGCACATTCTATACTCCACAGCTTTGGAACTCAAAACCGCTCAGCAGTAGATTTTCTAACTCACCAATTGTGAGCTGGGAAGTCGTTTTGAGATTTAAGGGCGTGACAAAACATCAGAGAGAATCTCTTAACTTAATGAACAATCTGGAATTATTTCTGGAGAGGCCTCTGAAACACCAGTTTAAAACGAAGCTCAATGACACTTAACAGAACTTTTACAATGCCGTCGTCAAGCTACTAGGGAGTCAAAGCAGCAATCATATAATTAATATCAATAATAGTAATAAGCAGTTAGAAGAAGAATAAAAATGTACAAGTGAATGTGATACCTCAACACTGAACAGGTGCGACAAAAGCAGTGCTGCTGTGAGGGAACTTTTCCTTTGATATAAAAAGCGAGGCTAACTTGTTTTCCGTACAGCAGAGAGAGCCTGTAGTCGTCTTCAGGTGGATATTTACATACAGAGAACTGTTCAAAAAAATGCATCTGATCAAGAGGGTGAACTAGACCAAATTATCACAGCTGGCTCAGTGTTCCAACGCTTCCATTTCAACCTGCTCGTGGGTTTGAAAAAATAAAAGTTCAGTGCATTGCAGAAACATACAGAAGTGCATGTGAGGCTAATGGAGGCTAACTCACCAACAGGCCGATCAGTAACAGCAAACCCGTTACCAGCCTCTGAAATTAACTCATATTAACAGCTGTAGAGCAAGAGAGCAGGATAAGACTAGCCACAATTACACCCAAAACATTTGTTTTATTACACTTTTTTTATTTATTTTTGGACACTTTTCCTTTTCTTTACTTTTCCATCTCATAAGATCCGTTTGCCTTCAGGCAAATGTGTGGTTTTAAGTACAGACATTTGCTTTTTTTTGTGACGTAGACAGCCATCATCCACCCCCTGCTCGCTCTACACGACAAAACCAGGTCATAGATTCAGTCTAGTTCACTCGACCCTGCGTGCGCAGACAAGTCGGGCTCCGCCGCGGCGCTACATCACTTCCTCGCTAGCGACACGCTTCCTGTCTGCACAGGCACAGTTCTTTTTAATGCTTGCAATTTAAGCTGCGCAGTAGTTTTACATTGAATATCGAGTAGCTCAAGAGATTTTCTACCTAGCAAGGTTCAGTGTAGTACGATGGTGATGGTTGATGGAGTAGGGGGGGAGGAGTTAGATTGGGGCAGGGGGTTATCTGGAGAGGGGTAGGAGAAGGTAAGGGGGCTCTAAGATGGAAATGGAGATGAGGATGATGGTGACGTGGAAGCTTCTAATTGGGGGAGGTTGATCATTCAGTTTTGCTGCGCTTCACAGCTCCAGGAAGTTTCTCTTGCAACCTGTGAGAGAAAAACAAGACGGGTGTGAAAAAAACTAATGGGTGGATGAAAGCTACGTCTAGAACACACTCATTACTTGATTCACTTACTTGGCCATTGTGGTGTTGACTCGAGTGCGTATCACGTCGATGTACTGATCGATCTGGCTCTGGAACGAGACGAGATATGAGAGAAGGTAAGCATCAGTGTCGGAAAATAACTTTTGACCTAAAGAAGGCAAAGGATCACTTTGAAATCCGATAACCATTTTTGATAACTAGTGAGAGCCACTCCGTCAACGAAGAACAGAAAACAAGTGGTAGCATTTTCTTTCGTACTGAGCACTGGACTTGGATGTTGGATAAGAGTTCAACATCAGTTCTGTTTTCTTGAGACGAAGAGTGTCGGGACCTTGTTCAGGTCAACTGGCAGATCAGAGAAGCGTCAGCAGTAATGTGGACATTTTGAATGGTGAAGAGAGAGCAGAGCTGTGGTCATGAGGTCTTGTCAAAGAATTCAGAACAGATGCTAATAGATGTAAACACTGGATCAGATGACATGTTTTATGAACCGTGTTGTTTCAAGCCCACAATAACACACTCTTAACCCTCTGAACCCCAAAACCCACAGGCGGGATGGAAAGCATGTTTGTTTAATCTGTCATTATAGTCGGATTGTCATCTTTCCGACGGTCCTCCTTGAACACATGTGCGACAAACGGTTCCGTCAGACAACACACCCGAAGCTAAGCTTAAAATTGTAATATTTCATCAAAAACATTTTATTTTACATGTCTCATTAAAAATCGGGCCACAAATCAACTGTTTGGCCTAACCAGATGCCGTAAAGAACATTCAATTCTGCACTACTCAGCCCAACTAGGAAGAGACCAGCAGTCACGTGACAAAAATTCATTGAACCTGTGAGTAGGATTTCCCTTTAAAAAACAACGAGTAGACTCATAGAAAATCACCACTTCTAACCCAGTAGAAGTGTTTATGTGTCTGTAGCCGCACATTCCCTGTCCTCTGCCAGGAAAAACATAGCAAGAATAATGTCGAGATACTGTATGTCGAGAAATGCCAGGGGTTGGTTTTCACCTTCTGGGAGGAGGGGCCAACTTTGAATGTTGTGTTTATATGTCAAATACCGATACCAAAAGAGTACTTCATTCTACACCCATCGTGTGAATAGAAGCTGTGTCCCACTGGCTAGCTAACTGCCGCTACACCACACAGCGCTCATACACAGTTCCCGCTAAGAACGCCTCCCCAACCAGAGTTGTCGTGCCCCCCCACTCTACCCCCTCCTAGGTTAAATGGTTAAAACGGTTAGCTCTGTCAGAACTGTTGCCAGTGTTAGTGCTGTTCACCATATTAGCATCATTAGCTACTAGCCGCTAGCTCAGATATCTCCGTGTTAACAGCCGTGTTAACAGCCGTGTGCAGGCAGGCAATCCCGGCTGTATGGGTCGTAGCTGTTGCGGTAGTAGGCCAATGACACATCGCATTACATTGAAGAATGCTTATGGTAATTGGCTGTGAGCAAAACCATACAGTTAAGTCATTTTTGTCTACTTCTCGGCACAGAAAGGATCGATTGCAGGCAACGCTTGCCTGGACAAGTTTCGATGGTACTTAGCATTGGTCCGATACTTAGCCCTCATCACAATGACTATTAAAACATTCAAACAATCACCACGAGTACATGAGTCTCAGCATCTACTCTGTGCCAAAATCCAGTGAAAAGTAATTACGAGAAACTGACCAGCAAAAGACTGCGTCAAACAGTTGAGTACATTCCCCTAAACACATAAAGTTCTCATTTGGCATGATGTGCATGGACGTGATGCTGACCCCCCCTTATTTGAGCCGTCAGTAGAATGACTTCACATTCTCAGCAGCTGGACACTGGACAGCAACAAGCCTTCAGTGTCTGATGAAGACTGCAGTCATCCAGTGAGCTCACTGCTGACGGGAATGTTCGCTAACAGCTGAAGTCATCCGATATATTCACGGTGACCGAGGACACAGGGTCGCACTCTCACCTTGTTCTTCTCGTAGACGGGAGGCACAGCGAAGAGCAGGATGTCAGCTGGAGAACAGAGAGAGAGAGCAGACACGTGAGGAACACGACAACATACTGAACACACATCGGTGGACTTTGACTGTTAAAGCAGACACAGCACTGTTTATATTCTCAGCCTGCACTCATTCTGTTGAGGGACAGTTCTTAGAGGACAAAAATAAGGCTTTTTCATCAAATCAATCATTAGATGATTTATTGAATTGGTAAATATGTAACGTCTGGTAAATAATCAAGAAATACAACATTACATGTGTTATTTGTACATTTATTTTCTGCATTTACATATTTGGAATGTGTGCCTTTCAATGTGTAAAAACAGTAACGTCTACTTTTTTTCTGAAATACGATGAATGTGAATGAGCTTTTTGGTTCCCTCAATGCTTACCCAGGATGAGAATGGTGATTCCATTGAAGACGGCTCCTACATAGGTGAACAGCCACATGACCACAGCCAGCTGTCAGTGAACAAAATTAAGTTAGAGAGAAGCATTCTAGGACACAATACCACACTTCAAATAGACCTCGTTCATCAGAGCTTCACTCCTCGATCATAGTGTCAATTCTTAAATCATGTCTTAATAGTGGCCAACAAAAACTAATAAAGGCTAGAACAACATTGATGGCAGGAATTCATTTTACTATAATGGTTCTCAAGGTAACTTTAGCATATACATGTCCAGCATGAATCCCATCACTACAGCAGGATCATGTCATAATCACAACTCTGTAGATATTAACCAAGTATTTCCATTTACTTCTACTTCAATCCCTGTTAGATTACAGACAATGACATCAAGCACTTCCTGCGTATGTTTCAAATTAAATTGGAGCCCCTTGAGTCCCTGGTAGGTTTTTAATATGAAACATTGTTTTTCATTTTTGTTTAGAAAACAGTAGAATGAGAATTGAGCGACAGAGTGACATGACTGATTGAAGTAGTAAGGAAAACCATTTACACATATTTTTAAGACTATATTGCAAAGTGCATTATAAAAAGAATATGTGTGATTCATGACCATGAGAGTATTGTTGGGGACTTTCCAGCTGATCAGAGAGCTGATCAGAGAGTGGAGGAGAAGTGAAGACTTCTGGAGCTTTGTGCTGCTGATCCAACTCTCCTGTCAAGCTCAGAATCTCGGATACCGCTCGCAGGAGGAAGTTTTTCATCGTTCTAAGAGCCCGCATTTTTATTTTGTTTGCTTCCCAAGAACTAGGAACGATCATAGTTCTTAGAACACCGTTTTCAGGGACTTTTGTGCTCCTATTTCAGAGTAGCTACTCTCCCAGCACAAGTGGAACCGCGAGTGACCCAAGTGTACGGTGATTGGTCGGACACGTCAGCCAATGCATTATCACCTTTAGCACAAAGGCTAGCCCAGTAACTTTAGCACAAAGGCTAAACCAGAGCTTTAGCACAAAGACTAGCCCAGTAACTTTAGCACAAAGCACAAAAGCTAATAATAATAATAATAATGCGGATATGTGGAGTATTATTGCTGCTTGGCTGACTGTGATGGCTGGTTGCTATAACCTGATGTTCGAGTATAACAGAAGCAAGACTTATTTTCAATAACAAAACTGTTCTTCAGTTCGGTCCTGGGATAAAATCATTGTTACATAAACCTGTTCAATCATTTATCGAAGTGAAACAAGCAGCTGTCAAACCTGTGATCCACCCATACAGGTATTTCATGTAGCCTGATGGGTGTGGACTGAGCTGCTGGTCAGTTTTGTTGCAGCTTTCAGGGAGTGACAGCGGTTTTGTTTACCTTTCTTGCTTGTACATAGTTTGGAGAATGCCTGCATATCTCTGCCAACATCACCCTGAGCACAGTTTTAATCATTCACAATGGGCAGAAACACCTGAGGGAGGGTGTGAAGGACAGGCTTTGACTTCATCACGTTAACCTCCAGCTCGGGGCTTTTCAGAGCGATGTGAGGCTTTGGTCAGAGCTTCTTCCTTGTTGTTTCCAATGTGTTTTAGAAACCGGGATGTTTTTGTCATTAAAAAGGCCACGGGGGACCAATTGACTGATTTTTACAAGTTGTTTGGTAGGCCAGTGAAGTAAGCAGACAACAACAGGAGAGACTGATTTTCTGTCATGTTTGTATTAAAATGTATACCTTCATATGCCAGTGGTGAATCACTTTATAGTTTCAGTTTGCTCCCCCTGTTGTGATTTAGAAACAATTAAATATTGTAGTATTTCTTTGCCTCCGAATTTCATATTTTCATTAAATAATTCTTTGAGTTCCAAAGGGGTTACATTTTCAAATATTTTACAATAAGATTAGAGAAATGTCCAAAATATGAATTCTTTGGGTCCAGAATTTGTTTTGATTCTTTGTACCTGTTTAGGTTGTATTATCTAAATAATTAGCATCCAACAATACAATGATAACTACTGGGGTATATCTTAACAGTACAGATCAGGACTATAATTAGAGAGGTGTTACTATGGTCTTTATGGAACAGAGTAGGTAAAGGTTTCCATAAGCAGATAAAATGACCAGAACTCAGGGTGACCAATGGACGGTGACTGAAGGTCGGAGCTGCTCACCTTCAGGGAGTCCACGAGGTCCTCGACCAGGAAGAGGCGGCTCATTTGCTTCAGGGCTCGGTTGATGTGTGTCAGACTGAAGTCCACATGCTTGCGGAAAATCTCTGGTGGGATGCTGACATCCTTATCTATCAGTGTTCTGCAGAGAGGGAGGAGGGGAGGGTGAGCACAGAATGAGGCTAAGTATGTGGGCCCAGAGTGCTGCAGGAAAACCGACAGAATTCGCCTTTGGTGAGCAGCTTTAACAAGGACACTAATGGGAGGCTTTCGTTTGTTTCTTTGTGGCTTAAAAAGACGTTGTCAGCCCTACAGAGCGGATGTCTGAAGTCACGGTTTGAGGCTTTGAGGAGGACAACGGACACAAAATGGAAGACTTTCCTTTTCTTATTAATGCTTATTTTGTTCTGCCCAACCATTGTGAAGTCCACACATAAACTATAAAGAAACAAAAGCATAAATGCTCTCCAGTGCAACAGGGACTTCAGGCACCAGCAGAGCTACGAGTGAGAACAGACAACAACGAAACTGAGAAAACAAGTGAGAGACGTGTGTTGACCTCATTTATGGACCCATAATTTTAAAAAAGTGTTAATTTTAAAGTAAATTTGATGAGAGAGAGAGAGATCAAGACCTGAAGCATTGTGACCAAGTTTGAAAAATAAAACTTCTAAAACTTTCCAAGAAATGTGTCTGTTTGAGTTTATAGAGGAACATTTTAGAGAAGATCTTAAGTATCAAACACCACCTTTCATTATTAAAGACTACTCTATTACTTGTTTGTTTTGTAACTAAGCAACCAATCTACCTTCCGTTTACACCTGAATATATTCGTTTTCAGGCGTGCTAGTATGGATGTAAATTATTTTGCAAACGATGCTGTGTGTAATTTCACATTCCTGACCATTTCCACATCATCTTAAATTAACTTGAATAGGTAAACCAGACATTTCAAAGAGATACAAGTTAAATTACAACTATGTTTCATGCATGCGTTATTGAAAACGTAAACATTTAGGTGAAGTTAATAGATTCATGTTCTTTTTCCTGTCGTCAGTAAAACAAACATTATGTTCGCTAGCTTCATGTTAGATTCAATGTTATAATTAGTCTACGATACAAACATTCAGGCTCCCCCGTGTGGCTCAAAGTGAATTGCAGATATAAATGTTAAAACACTTTGGAAGAAGTTCTGCAAATGTATTTGGTGACCCTAACACAATCTCCTGTGACACTTGTGGGTCCTGACCGTGTCTATGGGACCGATTTAGAATACCCCCCCCCCCCACCCCCATTGTATAAGAATAGCTTTTAATCAATAAATATTTAGTAAAAGGCCTCCTAGTTTTCTGATCTGCTCTTGTGTTAATCTGCTGTGGATGTTATACTTAAAACAAGTTGCGGCCACGGCTGTCGCTGGCACTGAGCAATAAAAAACTTCTACTTTCATACTCTTTTCGGTCGCTGTTAAATTACCATCAATTGGATTAAATCCCAAGAAGCAGAAATGACTCAACTCGAATAAGACTCGTTTTTTTCGTATAGTTGATGACTTGATCTGTAGAAACACTCTATATTTTGCCAATTTGAGCATCAAACTAAAAACATGTTTTGGCCTTGTTTTAAAACCCAGGTCAATCAAATCTCCCAGACAACAAGAAGGAGAAGGTAAAGTAAAGTAGCATTGAAGTTCTAGAGGACTTGGTCTTACTTGAAGGGGTGTCCATCGCTGGACTTCTGCACTGCCTGGACGACGCACTTGTAGATGCGGAATGTGATGGTGACACAGAGCAGGGCCAGCAGGAGGTAGGAGGCCACGCTGATGAAGCTGAAGGCTGCCAGCGACAGCAGCAGCAGCAGGGACAGCCCGAACACCAAGCCAGACTTCTTGGGGTCCCGCCAGTAGATCAGATCCTTAACTGCATAGAGGAAGTTAGGAGGGGGGGGGGGGGCGTTAGACTGATATCAGAATAAAATGAAATATCGTACCAAGTTGGAAAATAATAGTTCGTCTGAAGAAAAAACTGAAAACTTTACTTTTTCAATTAAAAAAACGACACTGAATTTTCAGGATGAAATCTAAATTGTTTGTTTAAGGCAGCTCTCTATTTGAAACCATTGAAAAAAGCATGGTTCTCTTTGCAGCTGAGGTAAATAAAGGCCCCATGGTAGATTTATATGGAAAAAATTTGTATTGTCCTAGTGGTCAGGCGAGCGTGGAGAAAAGCTCCAAATAAAACATGAACATGCAAACATTAATCTTCTTCGGCACGTGCAGCAGAGAATAACCGAGGAGGGCCCATTGCTGTGGATGCCCACTTTGTGTTTGTATGCATGTCCTGTGGGGAGTCGCACATGCAGAAGGAATGGCCTCTATACAAGGCAGTTATGTAAGGCTGGAATGGGCTGGCGCTCTCAGACTGCCACGCCTTCCCTCTGCGTAGGGGAAACGGCTACATTCAAAAAAGCCTTTTGTAAGTGTGGGAGAAAGCACGTGGGCCGATGCCTCAGGGACGGTTCAGGCTTCAGTGCTCCAGCTAGTTTAATGGGAACACGCGTTATATGGGACCTTCACACACACATACATCACAGAAACAGCTAACTGTTTGCTTTTTCAAAGGACAAAGATGCCAATTAATGTCAGAAATATATAATGCAGAAATTTTTATTTTTTATCTCTGTAGATAGAGCTCAGATTCATGCAGGTTCATACACACACACTCATGTTCAAAGATGCATGTCACACACATTCCTTTCTTATTAGATAAAGAGGGACTGTCTCCTCAGTCGGCCAAAATTCTGACCAAGACCAGCCTCAATTTGTTCCTCAGGGATATTCAACCACAACGCTATGATGCATGCAAATGTCTGCTGCTGACCAAGTGCAGTTTTAACAGAGCTGAGCTTTGATGGAACAGGGAGCCGGAAAAACTAAAAGTTATCGTGTCGATGGTACAAATATTTGTCTACGATAAACTGTGTTAACTCAATGCCTAGTTGGTGACAGAGCCAGCTATTGTGACTGGCTATGTTGCGTGTTATGAGCAGCTAGTCTACTATATTTGGCCTGAACCCAAACTCTCAATTATTACTGCAGTCAGTCATCTTTTGCCACAGTTAATATGGGTAGTTATCCGACTCAGTCATCCTTATAAAATAGTTTAACATGCATGCTTTGCAAACACTATAAAAGCTAAATATGTGGCTGAACGGAGAAAGATTAACTGATATTTCTCAAACTATGACGAGACTATTAGATGGACTATCATTCCTTACAAATCAGTCCTTTTTCAGTACCTTAATAGATATTGAACTGATGCTGTACAAAATGTTTTCTTTGCATTAGGTTTAACACCACCACATGGCTCGTCTGACTCCTTTACAAAATAAACTCAGCATGCCAAGAGCTGAACCTGTGTGCAAGAATGTGAGAGAAAAGCAGCAGCACTGCTGTGGGGCTCTCACACAAACAGAAAGAGCTCTATTGTTTCTCATTCCGTCAGAGCCTACAATGAGACTGCATGAAAACCTCATAACTCCAGTAAACAATGCAATTTTCATCTATCAAATCAGACGATGTCGGGAACATGTGATATGACAGATTCAAAGAGATATGAAAACATTAAACTACATGATGGTCAATCTGGAAACAAAGTTGACTTTTCTGGGATGTAATGTTTTCATCCGACAGTAACAATGAGCGGGGTTTCCTCACCCTGCACTGCAGGGGTGAGTGTGTGTGCTGCCAGCACACAAAGGGAGGCAGCGAGAAACATCCTCCCTCCAGGCTCACTTTTTAACACACATGCACAACTTTAAACAAACTCAGATGAAAATAATCTGTGTAAAATACAATATAAATAGACTATAAACAGCGTTATTTTGAAATACAGTGCTCTAAAATTACATTTTTAGCGTTACAGCTACCATTTGTTGGGGACTTCGTTATACAAGACCTCAGCTAATTTGAGTTTTAACAACGTTTTGATAACCCTAAACAGTGGTTCAATTAATTATTTATTTATTTTAGTTATTAAGCTAACCTTCAATGAATAATGGCAGTGTGCAGTGTGTCTTTGGCTTACATTCAGTCAATCAATAAATGTATATATTGATTTGAAAAAAGTCCCTCATTGAAAACAATATACACACATTTTATTTAATAAAAAGAAAGGTGTAGCATTATTTTGATACTGTCGGCAGCCTGCGGGGGCTCTGCAGGTCGATAATGTTGGAGGCAGCCGGAGCTTGACGGCCCTTGTTCATTATCTCTATCCATGTCTCTTGCCCTGACTCTAATCTGCTGAGGTCCCAGTGGCTGCTGAGGCGCAGTGGCCTGCTTTCACTGTGCTGCTCTTAAAGCTGCACACACAACCACAGGCCGAAGCAGAAACGGGCTGGACCAGCACACACGAACTGGACCGAGGAACAATGTTCTGCACCTGTCTGCTGCCATTATAAGTGACAAATCAAGTATGTTAACTCTACTGGTTACTACTTTAAAAACCTGCATCAGAACTTTGCTCATGCAGGTAAACACACTGCACCAATTCAGACCACTGGCACACTTTACCTGCTTTTACCTACATGACATCATAAATTCTGCTTTAGTTGAGTTTCAGGTCTCTGTCATGATTTAATTCCACACACAATGTACAGCAAATGATAAACTATGTGACAGCAGGGGATTGTTGTCACTACTGAATAAATCCATAGGCATGCTGGTCAATGTCATCTGAGTCCAAGCCATCTGCTATTTTGTCTCAAAGTGGACGGACTAGCAGACAGATAACTGGGCACAATAATATTGTACATAATCATGCCTAATCCAAACAGTGAACATTCAGGACAGATGTTCTTCTAAACTGGTAGTTGACCTACAGCACATGACCCTTTGTCACACTGAGCAAATATTCTGTCAGTTACTGTCCAGTGAAATAAGGATGATAAGGAGCAGTGGCTAACATTACAAATCATGCTCCTTTTAGCTCTGGTTTGGTCTCCACCACTTCGTGAGAAATATGGCTCTTCACTAGGGTCGGGTATCGGTACTGGATACCTTTAAAAAAAAGGGTGCGATTTGATCCCAATACATATCCTGACTGAAGCTATTCCTTCTGACTAAAAACAAGATGGTAACCTGAACAAGTGACATTACAGGTCCATGTCAGACACCTTAGTGGAGAGTCAAATACCAAACACTGATACAGGTTCAGTTCAAGTATTCACATGTGCCTTTTCTCCACTTTACAAATCTTCACACAGAGGATTAACACAAATCTGAGCACTAATGGAATGTTGGATTTGAACTAATCTTTGACAGCCTGACAACAAGTCTGGTATTAAAACTAGCCCACAAATAAATTTAGAGGATCACATTTGCCAACACCTTGTGGATTTCACTAACAGATGGCTGGGATGGAATTTCTGACAAGGGGGACCAAAAACTTGAAAGGAAATGCAGAAATTGTCGAGCATATCCCACATAACAGGCACACCAACTGAAACAAACTCCTCCCGCCTAATAACCAGAGTTGTGGAGCAGCACTGCAGGGGAGCACTAAAATAGCTCAAGCTCATGGCTGGAGGGGGAGGACAACACAGGCTCCTCTACAGAACACGACACAAAAACAGAGCTTCCTCTTTAACGCCAAGTCATTAATATCTCAATTAGAAAACGATAACATTATGTGCACAGCTAACAAGCTTGTTCAAGCACAGACCAATGAACATGATGGCATGTACATGCTACGGCTAGTAGCTCCCATACATTTTGCTCCAATTCTGTTTTATTTTGGTGTTTTTTTTCTCGTTTATAACTGGAGAACTTATGGCATATGACAGAATACATTACTCAACATCAGAAAATGAAGCATGGGGATTGGATTAAGTGCAGCGGTCCTTGAGACGATCACCACCCACGGCCGACCAACCAGCCAGACCTGCTGGTCCAAACACCACTGAATGCAGAGTCAACTGCCCCAGGAGGAAGAGAAAGGAGAGCCAAAATGGAAGCTAAGCTAACCCAGCAAAGACCCAAGGCTACTCCACTGTCTGGTCGCAGAAAAAGGCTAACCCAGCAACAGGAGATCGGTGACTGTTGTGCACACATCTTTGTGGGGACTCCAGTGGGACGAGAGGAGGTGGACTCTGTTGACATCAATGATACTTGATGCTAAAACATAGTCAAAGGATTCAAGGATCCTCGAATATAAAGCTAAACTTATGCCTCTTCTGCACACTTTCCCTTAGTTTCTGGTTGCTAGAGCACCAGCACTCTGTTCTCTGGTGTGCCAGCTCAGGCTAAAATATTCAACACATGTAGACGTAGCACTGACTGTGTCAGGATTACTGTCTGCATACCAGCTTCTATGCATGGGTGTGTGGAATGGAGATTTGGTTTGCAGAGAAGGAGAGGGTACTGCAGAACTGGCTAATGCAACTCTTGAAAAGTAATACCCACCAGAACTTTTGCACTTGCTCTGGTCAACTTTAAATAGAGAGTAATAACTATCACTGTAGGCTGTGATGCTTGAAAACAGGCTGGTTTATATCAGCTCACATATTCTAAACAACTTTCAGTGGGAAAAGGACAGCTGGACATAGATGAAGAGGAGGATTGGACAAGCAAGTACTGAAAGACCTGACAGCAAACCAATTTCCCAAGATGGCATCTTGCCTAAACTCAAGTGTGAATTTGCAATGAATACGCAAGTATTTTTGCATGATTTTGTTTTGTTGTACCATGCCTTGTCATGGTATTCACCAAGTGGGCTGTGGAAACTTGCATCGAAACAGAAACCCGACACTGTACCCCGTGACTTCCAAGGTTCTTGCAAGCAAACACTTGGGCGCCATATCTAAACCCCCACCCCCACTCTGTCCTTTACAGCTGGGCAGTGGTCCATTGACAGAGGGCAGGAGAGGGTCAAAAGCTCAAATGAAGTGGGGATCACTGGACCATATGCAGCCTTAGTGTCTATATAGCACACTACACTGTGGATTGGCTCCTATAATCTCTGTGACAACTGCAGTCTGTACAGCTTTAGTATACTGCCGATGACTTTCAAGACAAAGATTTGTCTGTATTGTAGCTTTATATATGCATATGTAACTAGCTACTTGACATCATCATACCTTTGAAATGCCAATGTTCATTACATGTAAGCCAAAAGGTGGTTTTCACTGGACATTTAGAGGTTTATCTGTAGTCCGCATTGAATCAGGCATTTAAACATACTGACATGAGAACACCTGCTTCAATTATCAGACTCCTTTTGGGATCATGCAATGATTTGCACTAGAGAGTATGGGTTGTAGACTGGCTCATGATTGACTAAATATACAAAATAACAGAATTCTCAAACGAAGCCAAACTTTGTTCAACTAAAAGTAGTTTGTATTTTAAAAAAAGACAACAAGTGACATAACGGTAAACTGTTGGCCGTTGTTAATCTTTAGTAGTAGTACAATTTGGTACAGCGGTCCCGTGTATGGCTTAATATCAACCTGGTTTGACATTTTTTTACACTAGCCCAACCATAGCAACTACAGTTATTTTTAGAGCCTGAAATATTGCCGGCAGATGTTTGCCAATAAATAGCAAGAGGAAGCACTTTTTTCATTCTCCACACAATAACTTCATCACTGTTCATGTGATTAAACTAGTACAAGACCATGAATGCCTACGAAGGGACACCGTGTACAGTGTGGCCTTTAAGAACTGGTAAAGTAACCTTTGAAATTAACTGTGTTCATTTGAAGCATACTAAGGCCTTTATGCTCTCCTAGTATAAGTGTATAGTATACTATGAATCAATCTGCAACAACAAAATGGGTTTTTCTCGTTGCCATAAAGCCTGTTCTTACATGAATGCAACAAGTAAAAATAGACACTTTTTGGAAAGGAGCAGGCCGTTACAAGGTGCAAGTGAGAAAATAGGTCTTTTTTAGTCTCTTGAGGGGACTGCATGAGGTCAGCAGGCCTACAGCCCATAAGAAACAAGTGTTACCTGATAAGTGGGTTAGTATTGCTGTCAAGACATGCTCAGCAAGATGATAGGCTTCAGCCACCCATTCGTCGATGGCTTCTACCTCTTTGGAATACGTGCTGTCAAACACATGGTTGCTTTGGGAACATGGAGGATTGGGAACTGCGGCAAATGAAGACTGCTTTGTAGATGTCACGCTGGGGTTAGCTTTGCTCTGGTCAGGAACCATCAACTGGAGAGGCTCCACCTCCTCTTCTTGACTGCTGCCTAACTCTTTGAGAGCGTTGATAGTAAGCCGTTCTTGTTCAAGATCCATCACCATGGTTGGAGGGGACTGGGAAGGAGACATACCGGTTTTGCACAACTTGTTATTGGAAGAGACAGCTTGGTGCGCGTTGTCAGGTTCTTCATCCTGCCTTGATTTCAGGCACTCTCGCATGAACTCCACAAAGCTATCTGTAGGCTCAGACATTGAGCTGCCAGGGGCAATGCTGTCTGTGTTGCTTGTTGAGTTAGGTGTATGGTGACCTGGTTTAGTGTCCGGCTGGATCTTTGAGGCAGTTTTCTGTGGTGGTAAGGAGTTGCTATTTGCCATGTTATCTGTAACAACACCAATGGTCATTTTCTGAATGAAAAATTGCTCATTGACGCCGCTTAGTGTCTCACTTTGGAAAGAGGAATATGGATCTTGGGGATATTCTCTTAGAGATGGCTGACCAACTGGCTTGGGGAAGGCTTCATCATCATTCACTGAAGTGAAATCGTCCAGATTTTGACTCCTTGCATTCAGTGGTTCAATGAGGATTTGAGAAGGATCAGAAAGAAACCGCTGCTTAGCATTGTCTAACCCTTTGTCATCAATATCATCCAAGGGAGAGGATGCATCATAATCAAATGATTGTCTGTCATATATATCATCTTGCATGAAGCTAGTTTTAGAACGGGAAGTCGTCTCCATGTAAGCATCTTTTGCAGCTGTGTTGCTCTTTTCATCCACCTTGGATTGAGTATAAGGAGTTGTTTCCATGAACGCAAGACCAGTTTTGCAAGGTTTGACCAGGATCTCTTGTGCTTCATTCGACCACTCGTCATCATTTTCTGGGAAGTCCGGTTCTTCATTTGAGAGTATGAAAGGGGAAACTTCATCCTTTACTTTCCTGGAGGTAGTCTGTGATTTTTCAGATTTAGCTTGATTGGATTGGGCCTCAGGTTTTGATGCAGATTCCTGATGTACTATTTCAGGAAGAGATTTGAGTATGTTGTGTTTAGGAGAGTATTCAGCATCAGAATCCACAGGTGAGGATGGAGGAGAGTAGCCTTCCATGAATTCTGTTTCTAAGGGGCGTGTTTTGGGTGGTTCTTTTTTACCGTCATCTGGCTCTGGGGTTTTTGAAGCTCCTCTAGCAAGGTCTTTTACAGCTTCATAATCCTCATCTTCGAGCTCCATTTCCATCTCCTCTTCACTGTAATTCGGCTCGTCTGTCTCAATAACATTTATTGTAGGAACCTGCATTAGCTTCCTCTCAGACTTTGGTGGAGGAGGCTCATTTTCCTCAGTGGTAAGACTGGGATTTGCAGGAGCAGGGATAGGATCATTTGAAACTGCTGGATCAGAAGATGCAGGAAGAACAGATGCAGGAAGAGTGACACTATCTTCAATGACAGTGTCGTCTGACTCTCCTGAACTGTCAGCTTCGCTTGCCTCTGGGGGCTCCAGATCGCCGGTCCACATGGTCTTCTTGTCATCTGAAACATTGTGTTTAACATCCGTGCCAACTGGTGGACTGACAGGAGGAGATGGGGAGTCAAAGCCGGAAGGAGGTGCAGGCGAAGCTGGAAGCACCGAATTAAGATTTGATGTAGCCTGGGCACCTGCTTTTTCCTGCTGATCCCACATGTAGGCTGTTGGCAAAAAGCTTAGGTCAAACTCAGACTCTTCCTCAACACTTGACTGCTTCTGTGCATCAATGAATTCATCCTTCAGTTTTGGAGCTTCAGCAGGAAAATCCATGAAAGCAGCAGGGACACCAGCAAAGGCAGCAGGAGCATCAGGTATAACTATGCAAGTCCCCTTCTCCTCCTTTGATGCAACATTCTCAGAAGTCAGCATGCCTTCAATTAAATCTACAGCATCAAAGTCTGTCACAGGAGGTAAATGAGTCTTCATCCACTCTTCGGTTTCTTCAGATTCATTCACTTGCCTTAAATCTCCAAGTACTTCAAAGGGGGATTCTGGTGACTCCTGATCAACTGAACACTCTCTTTTCTGGACAGTTGGTGTCATTTTATCAGTGGAAGATTTGGGGGTCTCAGCGTGAGATTTGGGGGCGTCAGTGGAAAGTCTGGGGGCGTCAGTGGGAGATTTGGGGGCGTCAGTGGGAGATTTTTCATGGTGGCGGTCTCTGAAGTGAGAGAACCCTCCATCGCTTCTAAAATCAGGTTCCTTCTTTTTGGCAGCAAGAGCTTCCAGTGCCTTTATTCGCTCTGACACAGGAGATATTATCGGCGAATCCAGCTGTCCATCCGGCGGCCCCGCTTCACTCCCGTAATTATCAGGGGTGAATGAGCCAGGTTGAGAAGGAAAGCGGAGGGATGTCGCAACTCCTTCGCAGGGCTTGTCGGAGCCCAGGATGACTCTTTCGTCTGCATCGGCATGTATGAAGAACGACAGCGAAGAGGAAAAAGGAGGGGAGGTCATATAAATCACAGTAGTACCCCAACACTAAACTCCCATGCACTTCTATTATTCAGCGAGGCCTTAATGTTGCAGCCCAAGCATTCATGCATTGCACCATGAACATATAAGATTCATATAATGGCTCTTCACCTTTTGCATGCCGCGTTTAACTACTCCACTAAGTTTCCATCAGGCAGCACTCAGTATGGCAACTTAAATTATTTGAATGATCGGATAAAGCAGCAAAAGAAATAAAATTTCACTGATCTCACCACGTGCGACGATGGTGACTGCATGTCAGTTGCAATTTGTATAGCAAATGTATACTTGCTATACACTTGCAGGATTGAAAGCAATTTCTTTTTGATATAGCTTATCTTATTGCTTGTTTGTGAACAACATTTCATTAATACAATTGTCAGTCACTATTACACTTGAAAAGATTTTGTCCTGTACTGCTCTCAGCTAAAATATATATGGCGATAGTGTGTGATATTGTTTAATGTGTGGTTTTTCCAAAACCCAGAATTGCCGAGTCAATACAACTTAAACATATAATTGGTATCAACTAGTCTCCTTAGTTCCATGTAATCTGAGCGGTTACTTAAGCCCCTAGTATTTTTCGGTTTCGTGTGTAAAATTGTATTTTTTTAATTTTCTAGGAAAACTCACGGAGGCTGCTACCCTCAATGTAAAAAGCCAATGTCAGTTTCACAGAAAGCATAATATAACGCCACAATAAAACTGAAAAGGTTGTAACTGCTCACTGAATTGTATAAATAACAGTAACTTCATGAGTTCTGCTAATGGTGACTGCGTTAAGATAGTGAAGTAACAAACAGGTATGAGATATAAAAAGCTTCTCAAAAAACAAGCCAAAAGGTCAGAAAGATAAAAACTGCCTGTACTTACAAGCCAAAGACTTTTTGTACTGTAGCATATATATATTCTAATTAGGGATGTTACAATAGCAGAAATGTAGTAGTCAAGACCAACACCAGTTAAAGTAAACAATTCTCGATATCCAATTCGATACCACAGTAAAAAAACTAAAACAAAACACTTAGCACTTAGAGCTAGTGTTAAGATAGTTGAATAGGTCTTAATTCACTCTGTAATATCTATTGCTGTGAAAATTACCTTCTGAGCCGCCGATTGGTCTAGAGTTCTGCTACCAACCTGAAGGTTCCCAACAAAGTACTTCTTGTTGAATAAAGCTTCGGGTTCGGATGACTTTGAGCTACTTTATTTTCAAATGCTATTTTTTCCAGACATTTCTTTTTCTCTTCTTGACTGTGCCAATCTGTATGTGCACGTTCTAAGTAGATGTCCAGTAGGTAAAGGGAAGGAGACAGAGCTAAGACAATGCATTACATTAACCTGGTAAACGGTTACAAACACTCGGAAGAGTTGCATTCATTCGTTGTGGTTGGTTACTTGCTACATAATTAGTATTTGTTAACTGCCTCAATATTATGTAATGTTCTGATACTAGAAATTATGAAAAATATGCCTAAAAGTAAAATACTGCTGTCCCAGTGCAGTTAATCAGGTCATTTGAACGCCACACAGCTGAGGAGGCGTTTATGGTCACCATGATGGCAGGGCCAACCTCCCAAGCCGTGTGGCCCCTTAGCCATCCTGGAGGCCACAGAGATCTAAAGATGTTCTAAGCAACTGTTCCAACAATCACATGATCCGTCTCTGCGCCAATGATCTCCTATGTCACCCAACATCGAGGCATTACGACGGGGAATTGGCAGCTATATTAGGCCATGAACGTCAGCTGCCCAGCTCAACCTCTGACCAACTAGTTTGACCTTTACCCATTACACAATCTGAAAAACGTATTTCCAGATCCACTAGTACTGCAAGGTCCAGGTTTTTCCTTCTACAACTTTGCAATGTTTGCTGTGTTGTCAGCATGATCCCATGACCCCTCCCCTATCCCTGCATAGACACTTTTCCTCTGATGGCCAACTGACTGGTTCACTTTGTCTTGAACTGCCACCTCCCCTGTCCCCACAATACAATGCCTTGTTCAAACTAGGCCACATGAACGGACTTTCCATCTCGCCAACAGCGTTGTAGTCCTTTTGGCTCTGTACTGATAACAAATTCCCAAACCGCTCGTGCTCCGAGAATAAATCCACAGATTTTACCCCGGATTCCAGAGGGACTATGAACTAATTCATGAGTGGCTTTATGACCATGGTTCAGATAAAGCTGTCAACAACTTTACTTTGTAATATGCCACTGTTCATGTGCCATCTGCCAAATTAAGCCTCAGAGGCCTTCCACGTCTGATTTATATAATCTGCTCTCTACCGTAACTGGGGATGAGTGATCATGTATGGTCTTTTAACACTTGTCACTCAAATTAAATAAAGTGGGATGAATACCTAAAGTTCAACAATATAGGCATTTACTCTGAAATCCCAGGCATTGATTTACTGATAAACTATAGTGATGCAAAAGCCAAGTCAGATATCGTTGCTGAGAAGCAGAAGTCGGTAAGAGTTCAAGTTCCACAGGGAGCAGTCACGTCCTGTCATTCCTCACTTACGAGTGACTAGGTTGGATGTTTTTGATATAAGTGTATAATGGTTACATGTGACTAAGAATACTTTGTAGTTCCTGTTATCATCTACCCTACTCTACTTAGATCCTAATAGAGAACTATTAACTAATCACTTTTACTGGCTTTTACTTTTATTTGTTCACACAAGTATAAACCTCTAACACTGATGAGAATCAAAGCACAAAAATAAAAATGTGGAAAATAAAGAAGCAAAACCGATCAAAGAAGACCTACTACTTAATGCTTAAGCGAGGATGTGACGCATGCACAAAGCCAGAAGCAGATAGGGGGGTGGAGGGCGAGTGAGCAGCCACAGGCCGCTGGGCGGTGGATGATACCTCCAGTGCCACTCATCCTCTGGGGCCCGGCTGCTACTGGGACTGAGCGGAGCTTGAATACTAGGGCAGCAGGAAGCTGGTGCCCCCCCCAGAGACACCAACCTGATCCATTTTTAGGTTTCTGCTCTTGTGCGCACAATGTGAACTTGAACTTCTCTGCTTTCTTAAAATAAGGTGGCAATCTTGGGATTATCTTGAACCTACAGTGAGTGCTGCTGACCTAAATAATGATCGCTAGCAGGCGGTAAAAAGTGAATTGGATCAGATTGCTAGCAGCTGCAGAGGGGTGGTTTTACTGGACTGATTCTTGGTGTGTGAAGATTCTGGAGATAGGTGAGTAGCAGTGAACGGACCAAGACTTGTTTTGATTGGTGCTAGTGACTACTGCTGATTTATGCCAATTTTATCAATCACCACCAAGGCAACTGAGGCACGTTATCCAAAGTGTACCACATGTGCTAATGTCTGTACAAGCATCAGCTGGTCAGACTATGGCTATGCCTGCAGCCCTTACAATAAACTAACAATGTAACCTGTCAATAGGTCAAGATGGCTATTTACAGCATGAGCTAGAAAGGCTTCATCTCAAGTTACAGCAGGGGTTGGGGGAGGTGACAAGAATCACCAATACCATATGTCATTGAGGGTAGCAGGAGTTGTGCTGCCTGGCTAACTTACAATTAGTGCAGCAACTGAGGGTCAGCAGTGTTGGAAACAGATGGAATAGCATGACAAGGTTTATAGGATGAGGGGTGGGTAAAGACCGGTCAAGCTGGGAGAGGAGCTGGGGTTAGAACCGGAGTTCACCACGTTGCTGGTTTCTTTGCAGGTTCGTGTTTTGACTGGACTCTGGTGAGCAGGAGAGGGGCACTAGAAAGAGGGATGAAGTAGAGCGGTACAGCAGCAGGCTGGCGAGAGAGTACAGGACAGAGGGTGAGAGATGGCGAGCAGCGTAAGCGAACCATACACTTGCCTTGAGGAGACTGAATGAGAGATACAGGCGAAGAGGAAAGAAAGGAATCTGAAAAAGTAAAAAGGACAGAAGAATGATCATCCTAGAAGAGGAAGAAAAGAAGTCCTATCCACTGAACCCATTCAAAGGAAAAGAAGACAAGAGTTAACTTATCCAGCCTTAACAATTCTACAAAAGAAAAACTTTAGATAAAGACCAGGAAATGATAACAGAGTAGCCCTATTTATATGCTATTTGTTTACTTCAGTAAACCTACAATGACTTTAACACATGCACTTATATTTGCTATACAGGAAAGAGACCAAGACAGTTTAATTAAGAAGCAGACAAAAGCGGTTCCCACTTTGCTTTAGTGTTGCTATGAGCAAACAGAAAGGCTTCCCACAAATGAACTACAGTCAAAAGACCATTTCTTCTTAAGTACTTCTCCCAAGGCTTATGTTGCTACCATGGAAACTAAAGACAAAAATATTTCATGCGCACTAAATAAACTAAATAGGGATGCTAATTTTCTTTTCTTTTCCCCTGACAGATAGGCGACCCTTGTTAACCAATCATTAACTCAACTGACAAGATGAGTGCCTTGCTGTGGTTGAAGTGCAACAATAACCGATGCACAAACGGGTTGAATCCATCATTTATCACCAGCTTCAGTGTATGAGCCAAACAGGCAACCGAGTCCTCGGTTGATCCGTCAGGAAGAGTTGGCAACCGCGATGTTGCGTGTATCTTCGTGGACTCATGCAGCCACTTTCCCAGTAAGTCTCCACCGCCTCAATTAGTTTAGCTGAGAGGTTGTCAGCTGTGCATCGCGTCAGTGTACTGCACGCCCGACGTAACGTATCTTCTGAGCGAGCGAGAGAGAGAGAGAGAGAGATGCGGAGTATGAAGTTGGCATTAACGTCAGAGCTGTGAACGCAGTAGTGCAGTGTGTACGGTTTATTTGTCGATGAATAAATGCTACAACGCTTCAAGACTCAAGCAACGTTCAAGTGTCTTATTTGCCTGCTGATAATTAAAGTGAAGGGGGTTAGCGACAAGTTTGGCCCAGGCTCAATTAAGGTGGGTTAACCTTTAAGGTGGACTAGCTATTCACATTTTATTGACAAGTCGCTCCTCCAAGTTTTGCACAGCTTTTAAAAATATTTTTTGCAGTTTAACAGATTTTTCAACACATTAACTGCTTAATTGTTATCACCATTCAACGGTTAACTATTAACATTCCTGGTCAAAAGCGGGCGACTGTGGCTAAATGGAGAGCAGGGCCGTCTTTCAATCAGGGGGGGCGGCGGTTCAATCCCCGGCTCCGCTAGTTGCATGTCGAGGTGTCCTTGCGCAAGACACCCCAAACCCCAAAATTGCTCCCGTAGCCGTGCCTACGGTGTATAAATGTCATAGAATCTGAAATGTAAGTCGCTTTGGATAAAAGCGTCTGCTGAATGACTAATGTAATGTAAAAAGCTTGACCCGGTCCTTTTGTCTGGGGTTTGGTCTAGGCCCTTTAGTTAAGGGAAATCTTACAGCTTCAAATCATACGTCGTTCTTCTATTTTTGGCATCAACAGTTTGTGTTTGTCCTTTTCCTGTCTCAAAATGACGATGTCCCTGTGCACAAAAGCCAGCTCCATAAATAAATGGTCTTTTCCAGTTTATCGTGAAGAACTTGACTGCTCTGGTTTCGAGGAGAAGAGGAAGTCATTAGGGAGCTCACACCTCATTCGGTTGAGAATGCCAGGACAGAAATATCTTGAGTCATGGGTACGGACTGAAGATGTGTGAGAGTTTCAGGTTTACTAAGGGAGGGGCTTAAGGTTCAGCTCAGTTGGAGTTTCTACATGCTGAGTAGGTTGGGGTTGGTGTAACCTTGCAGTGCAGCATTCCTTCTCTCACATTCATGGGGCTGTTACCGTCTGAACGCACCACACCTTCACTTTTTAAGTGCAGTGCCAGCTCTAAATCTTACTTGTGGTTCCACATTTGTCAAATTATTGGATGTTGAATTAAAGAGGGATGAGAAAAGATACGGGCCGCTAAAAAATATATAGACCTAAATATGAAAATTAATTCACAAGAATTAACAACCCTGTGCACATTAAAAATGTGCATAAATATCGTAATAAAGCTATGTTGTAGAAATGTTTTGTTTTTTGTGACAATAGTTAGACTGCCTTCAGTCATAGTGTAGATTCCTATTAGTGCAGTTATTTATTAAACCTGACAATAAAAAAACAGTTGGAAGCTTTCCACTGAGGCCTTGGGCGTGTCCAGCTCATCTGCTTGTGGAAGTGATGGTGCAGGGCGGGTCTACTGCCATTCCTGCCATTGCTGCTCTCGCTACCCTGTACTGTCTACCCCTGAGGGCTATCTCATTGCCTCTGTGACCTCAGTGATGTGGTCCGCTCCAGCAGGGAGTGGGGGGTGGGGTGGAGAACTCGGTGTTCCTTGAAGCTTCGCTTGTGCGCTTCACTTTTAGGTGCTTTACACTGAACACCTTTCTTGATGGATGAGTCAAAAGCATTTTCGGTTCACTGATATACGAGTTAATTTCACAATATTGATAAGAATAAATTGAATAGAAGTAAACCAGCATGGAACCTATATTTCCAGTCAGATTGCAAGTTTAGGAAGGTAGGGTGTGTTTATTAGTAGAGCTGTGCATCGCTGCGCTTGGGATACTACTAACGAACAACAGTAATTGGAGTTATGCTTACTCATCTAAATGGTAGATTGTGATTTCAACAATGCCAAAGCAGGGGAAAATAATCTGTTTTTCCTCAGTTCAGCTCACTGAAAGGTAATAGATCAAACTGAAAGGTGGGGTTTGATGCCTCCAGCAATATAAAAGGTTAGACTGCTCATATGAGAACATTCCTATGAGGAAATATGAGCCCAGAGACAGCTGAACAGGCAACTACAGTTATCAAACTGTGAGCTAAGGATCACTGTTTAAGTCTCTGCAACAATCTATAACATGATAATGACCTTTGATAAGTACTTTTCATTAAAAAAAAAAAACCTGTTTTCGATTGTGAGATTACAACCAACGCAGCAATACATGGATTGATTCAATGGCGAACTTCCTCTGAAAATCTGATGCAATGTAGTTTGAGAAATAAGGTCCTCATTTTTAAGTGTGCCACTTCCTTTGTGACTAGTGTCACTCATCAGTGTGCGAGTCAAGTGAAACGGGCTCAGCTACAGACAGGAGAGGCAGGCAGGCTGGGCCATCTGGTAGCAGTGATGTCCACCGATAAAACTAGTGTAGTTTACTACTGAAAATACGAGGCAGTACCAGGCCTGGGCCATGTGGACTAAATGTCATCTTTGACAGAATACCTCGATATCCGTTATGTGGCAATATTTTAGGACAATTCAGTATTTAATAATAGTAGTTCCAGAATCATGGAAATTAACAGAACTGTGCCGTACTCATCACTCCACTGAAAACTCTTTTAGAGAGAAATAATCTTTTTTATTGACTTATTATTTCCAATTGTTCCGACTTAGCTGTTTTGTTATTGTTAAACCAGAGACAAGACAGTTTTACTTGTCTAACGTTAGTCAAACTGTGTCAAGATTTTAAGCTAACTTCAATGTACGTTTCATGATGCTAACTATGGCGGTTAGCTGAGTAAATATCTAATGTCAGCAAAAGAAAAAATAAATACATGAGGCCCTGCTTCCAAGACAGGAAAGATGATCTTTGATTAAGTTATCATTACAAATCCACACTTCCTGTAGATGTTTCACATTAAAAGACAGTGGCAGGTTTTAATGTGAAACATATGTTCAAGAAGTGTTCAGTTTTATTGAGTAGCTTAACTGAAAAAAAGCTAAGTGAAAGTGCTGTGAAACTAGTGAATGAAAAACATTTGTCATTGCACTGGTGGAATTCATTCCAGTTTTTAATTAATAAATTAAAACAGGTTCAGATCAGAGAAGAGGGAAGCTTCTTCTAAAATGTGATCAAATATACCTATAAATAAGGGAATTAGGCTGAACATGTCTCTGATTTGAGCCTGTATCCAATTAAGGCCTGGTTATATGCAGCTAAAGTAAATGACTATAAATAAATGAATAAATAATGCTATATGAAAATACAGGGACTGTTCATATTTCACTGAGCTTGACTGATCTTCCTGTCCTTTTACAGATATATTACCGCTTTTACATCATAGTGAATGTTGGTTCAAAGAAACAGTGAATCTTATCAAACCTGTCTGCCTGAAAACACTCCAATCCATAAATAATCATTTGTGGTCGATGATTTCACAATAAAATGAATAAAATCTTCATTTTTTGGGTTTCACGTCAATATGTCTTAAAATACAAAAGTTGACAAAAATGACGTCCAGTGCCAATACTTCCAAGCTTCAAAGTATGTCTGAGTGGGAAGATCCAAACACTGTTTCCATTTGACATGGAGGCAGAGTAGGGCCCAAAGCCCATATTTTGCAGTGACTCAGCAGTGCTGTAATGACTCAGATTTGCAGAGGGCAAGGTCTGTTATCCGTCATGGAATGTTTAGAAAAAAACATCCGTGATCATTCTGAGCTGCCAGAAAACTATTCGTTTTTACAGACATCTTTCCTGGAGTCTACCTTTGAAATTGGCAGGCAAAAACTAGCTGTCATGCCTGTGTAGTGTATGCCACAGCTGTGTGCCCCACCTCTAATTATTTAACATACAGGGATGTAAGTTTAGTTAATTAATTCCGGGCTATAAAAAAAACTATCCTGCATGAGATATCATCAAGCACCAAAATTTCCAAACTCGCTCATGGCTGCTAAATTTGTGAGACTAATAAATTATTATTCGGTAAATTTTGTCATATGTTTTTACTCATATGTTACATGACATGATTGAAAGCATGGAAAATAATGGTCTTGAGCGCTTTCTGATGTGAATGTGTGCGCTTCCTGTTGTGTCCCAGTAGCTTTCTATTACTCTTATTTTATTTCTGCATTCCTCTCCTTATTGATATCAATTTCCAAGACCAAATCGAAACTCAGTGAGGCATCACGAGCCACACCCATGACCACACGTGGCATCATTCTTCAAGGCCTACAATCCCTTTGATTAACAGAACATCGCTTTTGAAGGATTTTCAAATGGCTCACATGAGGTGGCTGACTGAGCCATAGAGTTCAAATCAGAAAGCTTAACACACAGCCACAAAACACGCTGTGTACACACACACAGACACACACACACAGTGAAGCTGCCACTCCCTCTAGCACAATAAGCTGTCAATTAGCCCATGGGAAACAAACGTGTTCCTTTGTTTTTAATTAGGCTCGTCTGGGCTGTGAAACCTGAAAATCTAAAAAACACTGAAAACTGGAGGTGGTGACAGGTAGTAGACATACAGGAATGATGGTAGTGCAGCTCTTTAGGCTGGATGGTTCGTTCTGGACCTGTTTTCATGATCAAGACACAAAAGGGCAGTACGCCTTTAAGAGGTCCTCCCTTCACAGTAGCCCAGTAACAATGCATCTGCAGTGCACCGCATCGCAACATTTAGCACCGATAACGCTTTGTCACCCCACACGTTATTGTCAAAACTGTCATGTAACGTGCATTTACTCATCAACAAACATATCCACCAAGTAGAACATGACGCAAGGCAGCAGTAACAGTCATTAAGATAACGTTTCAATTTGGCTAAGACCAAATGCCCTTAGAAGGAAGTATTTTAATTCCTTTGTTTTATTTTTCCCCAATCACGCAGTCTCCTCGTGGATGAATTAGTCTCCTTTGGATAGATTGACGCTGCTCAGTAATGAGCAATGTTGCCCCATAATTCTGGGTTTCGTTGCTTGACTGATCGAATATACGGTTTAGTTCAATGTCTTGCCTCATGCTCTACAACATTGGCTGTAACATTCGACTGCGGCTCCGCTTATGACATTAAAAAAGACGTTTAGCAAGACATTGTCGAGGTAAAAAGACGTATACCGTACCCAGAGGCAGGCCAAAGCTATAGGGCATGTAGTAGCAGTGTGTCCGGATAAGTTCACTATCACAGGTGTTTCCAATTATAGCTTAAACACGCTTAATCAGCCACACACAGGCCAACAACACACAAAATAAAAGAGAAGGGTTTCTACATTACAGCTTAAATATTCAAAGTTGAATTATTGCGTTATGGTATTGACGCAACTTAAACCTGTGAAATCCTTCATGCCTGCAATTAAAAACGAAACACATTTGGTTTAATAGTAATTAATGGTAAAGGAATTGGTTAAAAGTGACATTTGGCTCGCTGACTTAACGTTAGTGTGTTTCTTACCGGATAGCTTTGATTCTTTAGCAGAATTCTGTCCATCGGCGAGCCCTTGCGACGAAGATATCTGGGCGGATTGAGTCGTTGGATCCATTTTACTGTAGTTACAATGCACACAGGCGATAAAATGTCTGGCGTCTCAATGTAAATGGTCGGTTACTGTCCTTTGAAGACGTATATGTCGTCTGACTTTACTCAAATTTCCCCAAGAGCGAGACTCGGATCCGCACCTTAACGCAACGTCCGAGCACTGACAGAGCAGCATAGATGGCAGGAAACAAGGCGGACTAGAGAGGCGGAAACCAAACATGTCGGGATGGGACACGTTCAAAGTCTTCGCTCAGGCTCCTACATCTGAGGACCAACTTTAATGAATACGACTTGTATCTGAGATCAAGTACAATAACATAAAATAATAATGAAAAAAGACTACCAATTGTCATTTGTTTACTTATCTGCCATCCTCTCTGCAGTTTGAAAATATATTCCAGAGACCTTTGTATTAGTAAAATTCAACTGTTTGTCTTTTTGTGGTGAAGTTCATACTCGATATAGAGAAATTCGACAGCATGTGAATGCAGCATAAGGAATATTCTTGAACACAGACACCATGTTATCGTTTATGTTCATACCTGCTCTCAACAACAGTGGGGTTTTGTGTTTCGGACATTAACTGTTATAGGCTGCATTACACACATTTTGAGTAAATCATATCAAAATATTTATACCAAACAATTATGAGATACATCTGGATAAATATTGGTTGAATGCATAAACTGGTGTGTGTTTAAGTTGTGTAACAAAGCCAGCCATGGCCATATTGATAAAACTGTTTTTTAACAATGATGACGATGCAGTGACTTCACGGCTACACACATGTCGAAACTGTGTGTTTTTAATGTAGCTTGTTTGCCATTATGTAATGGTTACCTTTGTTCCATTTTGTAGCACTATATTAACATACTAACATACTAAAATCACAGTAACCTAATCTTAAAAAGGACATGCGAGGAGTAGTTGAGATGCATTTTTGAATTTATTTTGTTCCTTAGATTACTGATAACATGTCCCGTTATTTCCCTCTTAAAGGTACACAACTTGTTTTGTATGGAGACTGCACAAGCTAAAGTTTTCAGCTTTGTACGATAACTGTGTTGTTGTTTTTTTTAGCATCATACTGCCCTCTACTGGTGGAGTTTACAAATACGATCATATCGACTACATTTCCCAGCATACATGAGACGGTCCCGTGTGCGCAGGGCTTCAGAGCTGTAACCATGGGGATGGGCCTATCCCCGTTCAACACCGACGTATCGATGTGAGATCTGCTCCGTTACGCAAACGTGGAGCTTGGGAGCACACTGCAGGTGACTATCGGGCAGACTGAACTGCGCGGCAAAAGAAGGGAGACACAAACAAAAACATGTGGCTGAGGCTGTGAGAAAACGGGTAAGTTATCTCTTACACATTGCTCCGATTGTATGCTGAAAAGAGTTCAGAGTTATTCAGCGGCATATTGTGGCGATATATTTTGCGGGAGTAGTAGGTTGATGAGCGTTATCCAAAAGTGAGTTTAGCTAACTAGCAGCTCGTTAGCTTGTTAGCTGCTTCTGACAAACAGCCGTCATTCAGCCGGCTACTACGGAGCTGTTAGTCACAGTGTGTGGCTCACTCTGGTCCAGGATATGTCTCTACTGTATCTCAATTAATAAACAGCGTAACGTTAGTATTCATTCAACAAACTAACACCGTTAGCCAGCCTAAATGGGTAGCTAACGGTAACTTAACTTAGTAAAGTTAGCTAGTTAGCCTACGTCGGCTAACCGGGCTTTCAAATAAATGAATCAAACAATATTGCGGTCTGTATTGAAAGACGGCAAGTATTTGTGATGTTGCGGAGACATATCAACGTATTGAACGACATCCCGAACCCAGATGTTTTCATCTTTTGAATTGAATGTGGCTAACGTTAACGCTACATCAGTAGCGGTAGGAGTGCCCCGCCCACCAAAGCGCCATATAGCGGCATTGATGTAACCAGCATGATGCAACGAGTCAAGCTGCTCAGCTGCGGGTCAGTGTCTACTAGGTTTATGTTGTATGTGTTAAGCGTGCGTCAGTTATAGTAATATGGGCAACATTATTATCGTTGAGATTATCAACGGGACGTTTATTAATGCCGACAAGTCTCCAGACTAGCTCGATAAAACCTATGACAAGAAATGTTGCTTTTCTTTCAATAAAGCGTGACACAAGTCTGGTTTCTCTGTAAACTTGTTCACCACCTCATGGGGAGACCCAAACCTACAATGAATGTATCTACTAGTATTAGAAGTATTGTGCGTGTGTCAAAGCCGGACCTATCTTCCTCCTCTGGGTCCTAGAGCGATAACGTTCAATGAGCCTCACTGTTCCTTCATTAAGATGAACACACGCATTGTAGCTTATTTTGACTCAATCCCACATACAACGACCTGCAGCCACACCAAATACACCTAATGTGGATTACTCCTCCACTGAAAATCCCTCAGAAATGCTCCATATCCTCCCGTGAGAGTAACGTTGGCTATAAAACTACAGTGGCCAGCTCTGAGCTGTTTTTATAGATTTATGTCCTCAATGGCTTGGAGAAAGCAAATCAGTCTTCCTTATCAGGAAGGATTCTTCAGAGCCTTTTTCTTTTTTTAACTCTGCCTACTTTCTACAGTGTGTGACATTGATGTGGAGTGTGCTGTGTAACATTTAGTACGGCAGGTACTGAGGAGAGCATTGGAGTTGACCGACCGTGGACGTCATGGGTTTGCAGTCAGTTCAGAAGAAGCACTTCCCCCTGCGGGGGATCGACGGCGTCGTTCAGCTGTTTGACGCCGAGCTCCGCAAGTCTGAGCCGGACCTGGCCCTCCTCTCCCTGGTCCTGGGTTTCGTTGAGCATTTCCTAGCCGTAAACCGGGTCATCCCCATAAACGTTCCGGGGGTCCGGTTTGAGCCTCTGGAGCCGGACTGTCCCAACTCCTGCTTCCCCACGGTGGAGCTGGGCATGATTTCTGCACTTTACGAGCGCTTCACGGCCCAGATCCGCGGCGCGGTGGACCTGTCCCAGTTCCGGAGGACGGCTGCAGGTTCCAGCAGGGAGCTGGTGAAGAAAGTGTCCGATGTGATCTGGAACAGCCTAAGCCGCTCTTACTTCAAGGACCGGGCCCACATCCAGTCCCTCTTCAGTCTCATCACTGGTACCGCATCACGAGGATTACCGTGTTTGTTACCGTGATCAACTTAAACTGAGTGCTGTCAAATTTATGGAAATAATTCTTTATTAAATCTGAACCAGGTACCAAACTGGACAGCTCTGGTGTGGCATTCGCAGTGGTGGCAGCCTGCCAGGTTCTGGGTCTGAAGGACGTCCACCTGGGACTGTCTGAGGACCACGCCTGGGTGATTTTCAGCAAAAACGGGGAAGAGACGGCCGAGGTCACCTGGCACGGAAAGGGCAACGAGGACCGGAGAGGGCAAACAGTGGCAGCGGGAGTCAACGAGAAGGTGAGGCCTACCTCCACTCAATAAGGACGAGAAGAAACCCTCAAGCACTGTTCAAATTCGAAATTCAAAATATAAATAAAAAGAGGGCATCAGTTATTTTTATGGTGGGTACAGACCAGTATGTTTTTACACCTAATGTTATGAGTAAATGTCCCATTTGTGATATTTTGTGCTCCTTTATTTCCTCAACCTCTCCAAATGAAGGAAACAATTAATAATGCCTTGTATTTGATATCCACATTCCTACAAACCTCTCCTTTCTGTGTCTCCCTCAGAGCTGGCTGTACCTGAAGGGCTCCTACATGAAGTGTGACAGAAACATGGAGGTGGCCTTCATGGTCTGTGCCATCAACCCCTCGCTGGACCTGCACACCGACAGCTCCGAGCTCCTGCAGCTGCAACAGGTGAGCTCTGCAACTTGTAGCGAGCAGCGGGTCTTCACATATCTGTTTTTGTTAATCTCCCGGAACACTCCACAGCTGTCAGTTTCACAGTTGAGGCTGGAGGAAGTGGTAACCTAAATGTCTCAGAGACGGTCTAAAACGGAACCATTTGAATTTCTCTTTTGTCTCTTTAATTACTCACAATTCATTCTGCACAGTTGTTTCTTATTTACAGCTTACATTGTTGTTAATGTTTATAATCTGACACTTAGTGTTTGTGAGATGCGTTTTCATGAGCTGCCTGTGTTACTCCTCCTGCTCTCTTTATCTAACAGAAACTCCTGTGGTTGCTGTATGATCGAGGCGACCTGGACAGGTGAGTTTGCGTTGATGAAGTTCATAAGAAATGAAACGTGACATGTAAGCCTGCTAAACTCCACAACCTCCTCCTCTCCTGTACTGTGTTCCAGGTATCCTATGGCCATGGGCACTCTGGCAGACCTTGAAGATCAGGATCCAATCCCAGGCAAGGAGAACCCCATGAAAATCCACCTCAAGGTTAGTCTGTAGAGAGGAATCCACCAGGTCACACAGCAGTGAGACTGGTAGGATGTGAGGAAATGTTTCTTTAAGCTCCAGTATTGAACTATTCCAATCAGAACGGGTTGATGATTTAATAGGAATTCTTCATGTGTTTCTGTCTCTCTCTCTGTCTCTCAGGCTGTGAGCTCTGCTCAGAAGCACTACAACAACGAGCACATCTACCCCTACATGTACCTGGCTGGTTTCCATTACAGACACAGGGCTGTGCGGGAGGCGTTGAGGGCCTGGGCCGAGGCCGCTCGGGTCATGCAGGAGTGAGTTCACGCTGCTTTAACACACTGGTGTGACGCAGGTTAAAGTTTAGAAGGAATGAGTTTCAAGCTCAAATGGGAACTGTGGTGTTCAAAGGCAACAAGACAATACGCGTAATTAACAGTAGAGAGTTGAGTCCATGATCAGTGTTAATATGATTGACTGGTTGCATGATGTAAGTGTGTTGGGTACCCTCCCAGCATGCACTGGGGCAATAGATTCCTGGACCAAAATCTCGTTTTATGTGTTTCCGCACTGTTACTGGTGTCATGGTGTTTTCCATGGTCCTCCACAATGTTTCCTCACTGTCACCACTGTCTGACGGTCAGATAGTAGCAGTCAATGTGTGATGGTGGCTGTATGATTGGTGGAGATTCCCTGTGGACTTTTGTGAAAATGAAACCTTACTAAAATCTCTTAAAACCCAGCTTTAACTGTGTGAACCGTTTTCAGCAAAGTTTGTTCTGCGGTCATTATTTAAGTATTATTGCTCAAATGACAAATACCTATTTTAATGTCACATGTTCTGGCTCCATTGGTCTGTTAACAGTTCAGTGACAGTTTGCTCGAGTTAATCTCTTTTTATCTCACAGTATTTTAAATTACATTTAGGATTTAGTTTTATTAGTTTTGTTACATATTCCATTGTGTTTAAGTATGGGTCACTCTTCATTAAAAAGAATAATTGGCATAATTACACCAATAGATTTAGGACTTGCTGCTCTAAAAACAATTCCAGGTGAATTTTTAAGACTGATTAAAAAGATCCAGACTTTTCTGTCAGTACACTGCTGTTTTGATGCCATTTCTTGTTAATTTTTTTTTGAGTGGAATTCTAGAGAAATTCAATTTATAAATAAATAACTTCTGAAGACCAGCAGGGCTAACAGAGAGCAGAGACGTAATGATGCTCGGATGCTTACTTTTTCATTTAGTTCTCCTCTCACTTTTATTGTGCAATGGTCATCAAGCAATATTTTTGACATAGTTGTTTTTAAAATGAATAGAAGAAATCGTTTGTTTTCAAAATGGCCTGTGTGTGGCTTCAACCGGCGCCCTCAGTTGTTATTTCACCAGGCGACCACAAGATGGCAGTAAATGCAAAGCTATCTTCCCTGACTTGTGTTGTGACCACAAAAAAAGAAAGAAATGAACACAGAATGCATTTCTCAGCCTTCTAATCTAAAATATAGGTATTAAAGTCAAGTGATGTGACCGCTGAGGTTAAGTTCTGGTTGAGATTGTCCTCTGTGGTGGCTTTCCAGTCCCAGTGAGTGAGAGGGTGTGGCTCCTGAGCCAGGAAGTGTCCAGCATCCTCGCGCTCTCTCCTCCCGTTAAACACACAGTTAAAAATACCAGCTCGGACCCACCAGGCCACATTCCCTCTCCATCCATCAGCTTCCTTTTCCTGCTTCCCCCATTGTTCTTCAACTTCAGCTCGCCCTCTGTGCGCTGTCCATAAGAGGGAGGAGTGTGTGTGTGTATTTCATAACAGTGGATTCTTAGTAAGATTATGCAGCAGAGTTCACATGTCTGGACTGTTGCAATGACTTCAATAATCAACATGTTGCCTCCACCCTGCAGGACATCTAACAGCCCTTTCTTAATTTAAGAACTTGATGTAATGATGTCTTTTGTAAAGCAGAAGTAGATGAAAATCCATTTGATTTGTAAAATGACATTCTCAGTCTGATCTTGCAGAACATATTCTGACTCCCTCCCCACTGTTATTAATAGTCCTCCTCTCACCTGCTCTTGCAGGTATAACTATTTCCGTGAGGATGAGGAGATCTACAAGGAGTTCTTTGACATTGCCAACGATGTTATCCCCACTCTGCTGAAGGAGACGGCCGCTGCTGCCGAGAGTCCTGGGGAGGGGGGAGAAGGGGGGGGAAGGAGCTGACAAGGCAAGTATCCCCAGCCAGAGAAGAGCTGCAACCCAGCACAATACATCTTCAGATCTGGTCCGCTCATTTGTTTTACAGTGTTTGCTTTTTGGAGACTCCACCTGGTATTAAAGGGAGAGTTCAGTTGTTTTGAAGTGTGGCTGTATGAGGTACTTCTAAATAGTCCGTGTTTTACCTCCTGTAGACTTTGAAGAAACAGACAGGAGTATCAGCACGGGAGCATAGCGATGCATTGCTGTAGACGGGGGCAGCAGCAAAATGTGTTTAAGACACCTAAAATAATCAGTATCCGTTTAAATGTATGCTATATTTACAATATTTTCATCCTTTATCTTGCTGTCAGACAGCCCTTACCAACAAGGAGCTGAAGCTGTTATCGATGCTCTATTCAAAGCCACAAGACTCCTTTCACAAAATCACTCATTTTACCTGACAGGACACGGGAGCTTCCGGTCTACCGCTGCTGGAGCGGTTAGTTTGTTTGTGTGATCGTGTCTTTTTGGTGTTTTATAAGGTTAGTTCCGATTCACCAAAGTCACACAAAAATACAAACTAACTAGCTGCTGGAGACAGCTGACTAGACCAGCAAGTCCTGTGTTGGGCGAGATAAAATTGCAATTTTTGTCAATGGAGGCTTGTGACTGTGAAAGAGCATCAGTCAGAGAGGGCTGTCTGACAGCAAGGTAGAGGGGTGAACATCTAATGATATCAGCAGCCTAGTTATAATGTAAGTGTTTGCTATGCGGAGATTCATGCATGACTGAATTAAAACAGGTTGCACCACACAAAGCAGTTCTCCTGTAGAGTTACATTGTTACTGCAGGGTAGAACTGCTGTTTAGCTGAACCAAATGAGAAACCCTCTTTGCTAATGAATGACTTGTTCAGAGAGGTATACATTATTACACCCGCGTTAATACCGGGTGAAACTAACTAACAGTCAGTACTCTGATTTCAGGAGCACCCCAAGCAGGCAGCAGCCCTCTCAGCACTCCAGGACCCAGAATGCTTTGCCCACCTGCTGTGTTTCTATGATGGCATCTGCAAATGGGAAGAGGGCAGTCCCACGCCGGTCCTTCATGTGGGCTGGGCCACCTACCTGGTCCAGTCTCTGAGCCGCTTTGATGCTCAGGTGAGAAACCCAGAATAGCTCCGCCTTTGAACTTGAAAATGACCGCAGCCATTACAAACTGTCAGTAGAGAGATGTGGCCGACATGTGCGTCGATGCTTTGTAGCTAAAATTGGGTTTGTGGTCTGATTCCAAAGGTGCGCCAGAAGGTGTCGATCATCATCAAGGAGCCAGAGTCCCAGGATGATGACGACATGTCCAGCGACGACCCCCGGGAGGGCCGCAGACGAGGACCCAGGAGAGAGTCCAAGCTGGATGAGCAGGGCTCTCCTCCTCCTGGTGCTCCCTCCTCCCCCTCCACTCAGCCCCCAGCTGCTACAGCAGCAGCCCAGCCCAAGAAGATAGGAGAGGGAGGGGGCCGTCGACGCTCCTCCCAGGGCCTGCGGGCCGGGGACGCCGAAGGAAAACCCAAGTCCCCCAGCCCGGATTCTTCGCCCTCATCCCAGCAACAGGCATCCCCGTCCCCGGCCGGCCCCGTGGTCGCCTTCCAGAGCGAGAAGATGAAGGGGATGAAGGGGCTTCTGTGTGCAGCCAAGGTGAACTCCAGCGCCATCAAGCTGCAGCTTACCGCCCAGTCACAGGTCCAGATGAAGAGGCAGAAGAGCACGCCGGCCGGGGACTACTCCATGTCCTTCATGAAGCGGCAGCGCAAGTCCCTCTAGACGCCAACTCCTGTTGCAGGAGTTGGTGAGAAATGGGAGGAGATACTGTGAACAGCAACACGGAGACCCGATTAACCTCGCTTTTGTTTGTGAAACGTTTTTGTTCTGTTTTGTTACCAGTGTTTTCATCCAGACGCCCGCTTCAGTCAACATCCTCGTCATTCCAGCAATATATTTGACTTGCAACACTCGAGTTAAGCGTCACATATCAGGTTTAAAAAGGAAGGAGTGAAACATTTCATTCTGTTTTTATTTACGACTTTCTGGAGGAACTGTCTGGTTTTCTAGAGATTGTAAACACTCATTCGTCATTAGTTTGTGTTTTAATTGGCAGCCAATTGCACACTGACTACTAACTTGTCATTGACTTACATGTGGATGTTTTGAAGCCAAAGTAACGAGGATGACCAGAATGCTGCGTACAGATGTGTAAATATCAACTTGTACCGTTGGGACCCTGTCCATGACTGAAGCCTTGGAAGTGATTCATTTAGGATAGTTACTGTGTAACATTGTCCACTTCTGCTCTATCGACAGCTTATTTCTTGCCAGCTCTATGTTGCCTTACTTTGCCTTTGTTCTTATCTAAAGTAGACGGCCTTTAGTTCTGAGAATAGCTACACCGGGCCTATTTCTAATGATTAGAGAAGACCAGGAAGACCATGCACTGTTGAGACCGTGGAGCCACATTAGGTGGCCCCTGTTACATCCTATTTGCTTGATGACTTGTGGTTTTTGTTCTTGTTTTTTTTGTATCTGCAAGTAATAAAGACCTGATAAAAACAGAATGTGGGGATGTGTGTTAGATATAGAAGTTATTATAAGGGCATTACTTCACAGGTGACTGAGCTGTAAGAGGCTGCACAGCAGGGGGAGAAGTATATTCTACATTTAGCATGAAGACAATGGTGCACATACACCCTAGTTTGTAACAAGCTTTAGGAAAATAAGAGCATAAATGAATGGAATGTGTTGAGGCAGACAAATGAGGAGCAGGAAGGGAGCTGCACGGAAAGTAAAAGTTTGGTACTTGTCATGTAGCTGTGGTTTAGCAGAGGTGTCTATGAGATACTACAGTTGCAGACTGATCAGTGATTACCGGTGACTGCAGGCTCATGCTAATCAAACTTCAATGGGACTGCAGGTGGCACAGTTCCATTCTGTCATGAATCAATGCGCACGCCATACAAAATATGTAAACCACGACGTGGAACAGATTCAAGAGAACGTGGATGTGATACAAGACAGTCAACGACTAATAGTATTCAGCCCTTTCCCACCACAAGAGAAACAAATATGAAATGTTTTTAAATGAGACACAATGTCTATATATTTGAATCAATAATTCAGACTTTTTAACATCAGAAATGTGAGATATTTGATCTATTTTGAATTATGTGTCAAATGTTTGACTTTAGTCAAAGATATGAAATGACAGGTCAGGATTCTGACACTTCTGACAAAATGATGAGACGATGATGTGTGCACATACATTTTGACTTCAGCTCGTCAGTTATTTAGTTAACAGATCAGAATGTCGACTTTGTAAATGAACATCATGTGATACGAAGTCAATATTATGAGAAAATAAGTCAAATTCTTGATTTTTATCTCACAGTTATACTTTTTACCACCTTAGCTTAGCAAGTTAACAATTTTGTCAACTACTCAATTAGTTGATTCAATCGACAGATCTATAAAACTGAGTTTCTCCACAAGGACACAAAAGCGGCATTTTAATGTTGTGTTTACCAGAGATGTGCTCATACGTTTCTTAGACAGAAGACATGCTCAAAGAAGTGATCGACAAAAGAGGTCTTCGTTGACTAATGCTGCGTTCACACCAAACGCGTCGCGAATTCATCGCGCCGCATATTCACGTCCATCGCGCCACCGGTCAAAACGCCGGGGACCAAGTGTTCATTCGCGTGAATCGCGCCAATCGCGCTGGACGCGCCACTATTAATTTCTCCTCCATTGTTTCTGATTCAGCAACGGCAGGACGTCGCTGATGACAGGGGGAGCAACTCAACGCTGATAGGCTATCGCGCCGGGGCGTAACGCGAATATTTCGCAGAAGTTGAAAAATTTCAACTCGCGCGTCGGGGCGATTTGGCGTTTGACGCGGATTCGCGTCCATCGCGCCGCAAATTCACGTCCATCGCGACGCGCCATCGCAGATTCGCGCCGCGACAGTCTCATCGCGTCTGTGCATAGACTTTGTATGTAATCTACTCGCGCGAATAATTCGCGACGCGTTTGGTGTGAACGCAGCATAAGGATTAGCACAGATTAGTCGACTAATCGAGGAAGAGCGGGCAGCCCCAGTCAAAACTGTGACATTTTTATAAATTGTAAGTAAAATCCAAATAAGACTTTTCTTTCTTTGTAAAAAGAAGTTTGGCTTTTTAAGTCAAAGTCAAAATGAATAGACTTTGATATGTAATAGTTTTCACTCCTACATTTCTGTCTTCTTAAAATGGAAGTTTGACAGACTCTTGAATTTAGTTTACTTCATTTCTAAAAATAATGATATTTAATAGTTAATGTTATTTTGTCAATATTTATCATCATAATGACTAATGGTATTTCTTTTGTCATCACGTCTAAATGTTCAGCTATATTTGTCTTGTTCTGGCACAAACAGGCTTCCATAGCTCACAGAGGTAAACGACTTGTCTTGAATTTTTTTTTTACAGTGTGCAGTGACTTCGCTCATGAGTGATTTGACTTCAGCGCCACTCGGGACTATTTGCACACAGACGCCTCTAGTGTGTCAACCCGAGCGGAGTTGCGCGCGTCTGCCAGCCGGATCGATACACCAGCGACAATTAGCCGGATCGATAAGTCAGCGACAATTAGTTCATATTAACTAGTCAGTCAGTCAGTCAGTCAGTGAGCGCGCGTTCTTCTGCTGCTGCTTTCTCCCCGGACAACTACAGCCGGGATGTGTGAGTAGAGAGCCCGCCAGGCTCACCCACCACAGAGGAGTCCCCGATCATGGACAGGATAGGGGTGTCATTCCTGGATCCTTTGGACGACTACGAGCTGGTCCACCGGATTGGGTGCGGTACCTACGGAGATGTGTTCAAGGTGAGTGAGAAGAACGTTTCCTCGTGTTTTCACCGCAGCGGAGAGAAAAAAACACCCTCCACCAGAGATTCTGTCTCTGCTCACACACATCGGAGTTATCTCACTTCCTCATCAAGGTGACAGTGTTTGTGGAGAAGTCCGATATATTTTCAAATATAGTGCTGCATTTGGGAGGTTTTCATAGCCTGAGATATAATATCAAGAGATGTGTCGTATTGTCTTTGTAAGGGTTAAACTGCTTTTTCACCTGCAGATCACTCAATCCGATACATATCATATATCGTATATGTCAAAATAATGTTCACATTATAAGAAAAAGATACTTTAAGAGCTCAAAATTATTTAAGAGGATCTTTGGGAAATAGTCAGTGGAAAGGAGACACAAAACACTGCGTGTGTGTGTGTGTGTGTGCGCGCGCGTGTGTGTATGCGCGTGTGCCATTATGTCATTACAATAAAGTCATTTAACCATTTGAACCCTTAATAAAATAGACGTATCCCTTTTAAACAGGCAGGTATTTCATCAGCCTGTTGCATCAGTTGTGCCACAAGTTCATATAGTTTTCATACAGGTGGGCAAAATTGATAAAATCTCCTGTCATGATGTGATTTCATATTGTGATATTGATATATATCATAGTATTTCTAATTACATGGATACTGTAAGTACCCAGACAGGATAGTCTGTTTTCTGCTGATTCCAGAATAAAAATACCAGACTAGAGCTGCAGCGATTAGTCGATCAATTGTTCGACGGGAATTTATCTGCAACAATTTTAATAGACCGATTAATCGAATGAATCACTTTGACAGCAGAAATGTCAAATATTCCTGCTTCTTAAGATGTCGAATTTATCATATCTAATAGAGGTCGCAGTGGGCTTTAAAAAAATGTGATTTTGTCATACTTTTCAAAATACAGGCGTTGTATGATAAACAAAATAACTGAAATAAGTTATTTTCAGAATAACTAAGGAAATAATCATACTTGTGGCCCTATATCTAACTAATCAACACACTTGATGTTAAAATGTTAGATATAAACATATAAACAGTCTGGCATAATCTCTGAAGGTTGATGAATGTATTTATATAATCAGAGATTATATTGTAATATCATCTGACCTATGTATCGAGTAGAAAACTGGCTCACGTCACGATTGGAGCGTCAGGATGCAAACATCCTGTGCAGTTAAACCGCCCCGGTGCCTTGTGCATCCTGCAGAAGCAACACAAGAATTAGTATTGTTTCTTTCTTTTACGTCCCATACCAGAAAGATGGAGGGCCTTTATTATAAAGACCAATGTTTCATCTGCCTGCGATAGAAGTCTTCACAGATTCAACCCGTTTTACTGCCGTTTTTGTTTCATTCTCATGAGAACTCTTCTAGTGTGTCTCCAGTTTTTTTTTTTTTAGTGGTGGTGTGTGCATGATGGGCATGCCAAACTGTGCACGTTATGTTCTGGGCTGAGCATTCCATCAGTGCAACAGCGGCTCCGGAAACTGTGCTGCCTTCTTACAGCTGGATGACAAGTGAAATAAAAAGCCCCGTAGTGTGTCAGTAAGGCCTCCAGCACAGCTCAGTGCTCCTCCTCACAGATTCTTCCACTGTGAGCTCTGCTGGAGGGCTGAGCCACAGACAGAGCAGGTTCGCAGGAGCATGGCAGAGGCGCTTGTGTCCTGTATGTTGCATTGTCCACTGTGGTTTTTCCTATTATTTGCCAGTGTCTGGAAGTGAACATGCTGGGTGAGATGATTGAGTTGTGTTTTTCAAAATAAACTTTAATTTGGCAAGTTTTATTTTGACTTCTTGTTTCCTGTCTTCACTCGTTCTCTCTTAAATCCAAATCCCAGATGACGTTTGTTCATAATGTACCCATGACTCTTACTTTGGTGAGTAGTGCTGATTGTAATACCTTCGAGACCTTTTTCCCCACATGTCGGCACCGATTCACAGTCAACTGGACACAATGAGTCTGAAGACCACAAGTCTGTAGAGTAAATAAATCTGTTAGAAAAGAAGTGTACTCTATTTTAGCTCTGCTTTGGTCTCCACCACCTCCTGAGAAAAATATCAGTCACTTTAGCTGCTGAATGCTTCACTGTGCAGTGGCTTTGTCAGAGCGGTTCCACTGAATACAACTACTAATGACTTTGAGGCGCAAAGTCTGTGAGGGTTTAGTTCTGTCCCACTGTCAAATTGCAGAGTGTTTGAGGACTCTCTCGCAGACATTTTGAGCCCTTAATGAACCCTTTCCCTACGGAAAGGGTTCATGGTCATCTGTGTCATTATATGACACAGATTTATTATTTCATCGAACGTTTCATTTTGTCATTGCAGGTGTTTCGACAAAATCGAGTAAATAGATTATCTGAAATGACCTCATCTTGTGAGGAAAGAGCCTGGAAGACGTTCAAATTAAGGAGTAAAAAGTTCAAATAAATACCCACAATTGTACACACTATTTTTTGACGTTGTCATGGTAACGTGATATGTTGCAGCAAAGTGTTGTCCCATTCGTATTTACAACCATTTACCAGATGATGCCAGTTACAGTAAAGCAAGCGACCCCTTACACATCACACATACTCCTTCATCTTTTGGTGCAGCTAGGATTTACTTGCAGTACACACAAAGAGCTCCATAAGAACTCAAAACGCTGTTCGAACTTCAATCCAAACATTCTGACA